AAAGCAGGGCATCGAGAAGTCTCCAAGCTGTTCAAGGAATGGTAAGCTACAAATCGACGTCTTGATATAGTAGGTACGGTGCTTGAGTATGAGGTGCCCACGCAACGTCATCGAAATCCTGCGCTTTTGTGCTGTTTGCATTCACTCTGTGGGACGAATGGCTCGAGTGAAGCTGGACCTCTCCATCTTGCTCCCAACCCACCTGCGGTCATCCGGATCACACAAATCCAAGGGCTTCACAGTTCCTTCATGCTGCCATTTTTTATATGGACAGTCCACAGCTTTATTTAGGGCATTCTCGCGCCTCAATCAACATCTTTGGTCCATAGTGGTGCTTGACTTTGCACACCAGACCCGGTTGCCAGCTGCGAGCCTCTCGGGAGTTGTTTTTCTGCCATCTGCCAGCACTGTCACCAGTTGAGCTACATGGGCCACTGGCAACGAGATAAAGACTCCTTCTGCCTTCTTTGTTTACCTGCTCTTCTCCCCGCTTCCTCAACATTCGAACCTGCCAACCATCAAAATCACATCCTCACCAGCCAAGCATCCAACAGCAGCCTCAGTTCTTTGCGCCTTTTCCACCGTCAGTCTCATTCTCAGAGATAATTTAGGACCGGACTGGGCGGTTTATTTATCTTTTGCTTAGGCTTTCCCCATCGTCCATCTTTTCTCCTGCTGAGGGAGTATCTTCAGCCCAGAACCTGTCGGCTACAGAACGTCAACTCTTCTTTCAAGGCAACCTTTGGCAGCATCTAGCCTCTACTATTTCGTCTTTCAGATCTCAAAGGTAAGTGCTTTCGTGATCATGCACATGTCTCTCTTTTTCCAGCCTCTATCTTTCTTTCCACCCCATCCCCCTCTCTTCCCGCCTGCTCATAAGCTTGGTTTGCTTCCTCGCTATGTATATCTTCTCTTTTCTGCTGTACCCAACTTCCCAATCTTCTCTTCTTCCTTAACTATCTTTGTTCTTAAGTAAAGGCTGTTATGTTAACATATCTTCGCAGAGCCTACAATGCCGGCTCACTCTTCTCTTCGTCATCCGAAGAAGACGCTTCTGAAGGCCTCATCCTTCGATGTCCTGCGTCAACTTGCGTTCGATACTGAGAATGCCTTCAGCCCTGGTATGAAACGACCGCTATCTTCTATACCTCGTTCTCTGTCACTAAATCTGTACAGGCCCGGGCAACTTGCTAGGTCAGGATACTGCGTAAGTACTTTGCACATCTTATGCTTCCCCTCCTTAAGCCTCCACCCTTATATTCTAACTAGTTCCAAGTCCTAAGCGACCGGCTTCATCTGGCAATTTAATCGACCAGATCACTAAGTGTGGTGAGCAAGAAAGGTATGCAGGGATCTCTAGCAACCTCTTAGTGGCGTTAGTTTACATATTCTCTGTAACTGAACTTTCCTCCTCATAGCTCACTCGCCTTTCAAGTTGGAAATGCCAGCAAGTACGATGTTTTTACTGATCGACCAACATCCGGAACGGATTACAAGGATTCCTCCTCAAAAGGAACTGATGATAGTATTGAAGAGCCTTCACCTGAGGCCTCGCGGGAAAATGGCAGTTGGGCTCTGGTTTCTCGCCAGCCTCCTTCAGTCGACGCTCAAAACATCTATCCATCGTCGGCCTGCGTGTTTGTCGCCAAGTGAGTTATTGCAACACTGTCTAGATTTAACTCTGTGCATCCGCTAACGACTTCTTTCAAGCCTAACCCAAGCATTTGACGACCGAAAACTAGAAATCGAAGTCACTAAATGTTTCTCGCAGTACGGCACTGTCTTCGTCAAGATTCGTCGGGATAGCCGTCAGATGCCGTTTGCTTTCTGTCAATTCACAGTAAGCCATGGAAACAATGCCCCAGCAACTAGCCGGGAAGGAGAGACAAAGAGTGTACGATTAGTCTAACTCGACTTGCAGTGCGATGCCGACGCAGAGAATGCCGCCCACCACGGAAACGGAGCAATTATACTCGGACGCCCATGCCGCGTCGAAAAGGCCACTGCTAACTGTATTTATTTCTCACGCTCTCGGCTCGATAAATGGACATGATGGACTGACGGTCTTGTTTCGCAGCCTGCTTCGTTGTATACAAGCTGTCCGGCGCGGAAACAACCAGACAAGAAGCCATCGATCTGCTCGGCTCCTTGGGCACGATAGCCAAGGTCCATCCCCTGGACCTCAACAGCCAGAAGACGGACAGGTTTCCGTCGGCAATGGTAGTTCACTATAAGCGCTACGACTCTTCGCGAGCTGTAGTCAAGGTAACGTTTGCGATCATGCTGCCTCTGCTTTCCCCTTTCTCAGTTTGGACTAACAAGTCAATTTCTCCGGTGGTGGCAGACCTTCGAAGAACACCCCGTTTTCCGCGTGGAGGCATACGATCCCAAGGCCGAACTGCGTCAGCAGCACAAGAGAAGCGACCAGCAGATCTATGCACAATATGAAAAGGATCGTCGATCGGCATACTTTGGCAACTTGCCATTGAACATGACTACAGATGTGTTGAAAACACTGGCGAGCCAGTGCGGCAGCGTGCTCTGCGCTGATGTTGCGACCAAGGAAGTGCCTCAAGCTGGCGGCAGGAGTAAGTCTCACAAACTCTTCTCATGCTCCTGATTTATGCACGCATGGCTAATCTTTGCTTTCAGCTGCTACGACGTGTTTTGGTTTTGTAGAGTTTGTGCGTCCTGACGCGGTTGAGAATGCCATCATGAACTATGTGAGTTGGTTCAGCAGTCCAACGTAGGTCATATCAGATCTAGTGTTCACTGACATTCCTACATAGCACCGCAAACCGATCGACGGTCACATTATCAAGGTCGAGAGGAAGCGTACACGAACGTTCAATGGATCCTCATATGGAACCAATAGCTCTCAGCGAGGATCATTCGCCGGCGTGTCGTCTACTTGGCACGGGGGAAAAGGCGGCAATGGACACGGCAATCGACTCATGGATGCCAATACTTTTGTCCCTCCCACCGCAGGGCTCTCAACGTCATTTGTTCCACAGGGGGGTAACATTGGTAACATTCGGGCCCAAGACGGTATTATTACTTCTCCTATAAAGGCGGATGGATCTCCTCGCCTCTCTCGAACAAACGCCAGGCCATATACCCAATCCATCACTACCAGTTATGCCATCAATGATGGAAGCTCTAGTGCGGCAGTCGCTTTCGCAACTGCTTGCAACTACACTCCCGATGCACAACTACCGAAGCTTGGTGACGAACGGATGTCTGGGTCCCGAGTCACAGCAGATGACAAGAGCACCAACAAACGCAATGAGCCAAAGCGTGATGGGAAGCTGAGTCTCAACACCGGAGGCAAAGACGGAACGGAAGGACTGAAGTCTCCTCTCACCCTTGCCGAAGCCGCCACCAAGTCTGAACTTCTCGCACATGCGGTTCTGCAAATCGAATCGAGCGAGCACTTTCGCGAGCTCAAGGGCAGTACAATGATTCCGCACGGGGCTAAAGACGACAGTAAGACCGCGCAGACTCCCATCGAGTCCCCTATGAATCCCGGCGCAAGGACTCCTCAACCCTATGGTGCCGAATCAGCCGCAACTTGCTACTATCCACTCATTCATCCTTATCCTTACTCTCCGTATGGTTTTCACCCCATCCAGCCACTCATGGCTAATCCCATGACACCGCAGGGCGGGCCTATCATGTATAACACGTTCGGTCAGGCATATTATAGCCCCACACCATACTCCGACATGTTTACCATGTACCCGATGATGCAACAGTATCCAGCTGCTATTGTGGAAACCCCAACTCGCCCTTCTATGTCTTCCAATGGCATCGAAGATCGAAATGAGGTCGGGAAGGAAGCATACGGCATGTTACCAGAAACTGACAAGAAAAAGGTTGGGAATGGCAAGGAAAACGACTTCTGAAAAGGGAGTGTATGAAGCGAGCCGCGGCCATCTGCTGTTCATCAAATCTTTCATCCGCTTCTTCGCATATTTCCTCTTCTTTTCAATCTTGGCAGTTCTGTCGGTTTCTGAGCTATATGGGCCTAGACACCTGTATTTACCACCGTCTTCAACAGTCAGTTTGTCCAACTGAAATAGTCCAGACAAAACGACCCCATCCCCGGTGACGACCAAAAGGGAGAGGAAAAGGTCCAGAAAGCAAAAAGCGAAAACTGAAATTAGGCTGGTATGGGGCCATCGCCAAAGGAAAAATTCTTCCAGTAGGTACTATCCAGGCCTTTCACCATTTCACTGCACCCCTTCAAGTTCCGCCACTGGCAATCTATGTACAATGTAATCTGTGGAGATATCATTCCATTGGTACAACGAAACGCAAATCGAGGTTGGCGGCCTCTATGGGAGATATATGATTTCCATGTCATTGTTTGATATTTTATGTTTCAGTGTAGGGAAAATACGACACGAGATGTGAGACTTGACCTAATAAACTAATATAATTATATGATCTCTTCGTAGGGCATGCAATACCTGAGATATGAGAGCGTATGAGATGCACATGTTTTTACTGCCCACCCACCTATCTATCGTACCTTGCTACCTTACCCAGCGCTTATAAGGTACTACCGACCTGTAAAAGAAGTGTTTGGGCTCGCTATTCATGAAATCATTAAACATGAAACCCCTGGCATTTGCATTCCTTGGAGAGCATAAGTACTTCCTTACCTCAAGGAAGATGTAATAGTAGACCACTATACCTACTAAAGTAGGTATATCAGTAACGGCAAGTAAGCTTTCTACCTCGTGTAGTGCTTAGTAGATAGTAAGCCAAAAATGTACACAACTTCACCTCATCTTAAGCTGCTCAAGTGCCTAGTAGATATGAGCAGTGGCAGGTGATCGCAAGCTTACCAATACCTAATGGAGATTTGGCAATACTGGTACTGTAGGCACATGTGTACCTAGTAGTAGGTACTGTACCTAAGGTGGGTTAGTAGAGGTACCTAAATAGTTTAGGTAGGTACCTTATGCTTGAAACATTTTACAAGGGCTTGCACGAGTGTTGCTGCATCTTTAGAACTATTGAATCGAGACCAAGGGGCTGACCAGGAACCGCCCTGGCGCGCGACGGCAGGAACTACCTACCTACCTACCTTAGTAGTACTTCGTACTTTACCTTAAAAAGACGCAGATTTTTTTTTTCCTCCGGTGGTATGGTACTACCTTACTCTTCCTTCTTCTCTACCTACCTGAGGTAATCTGCCTTTCGCTCCAACATCGGACTTGGAACAAACTCACCGACTCTGTGAGGAATTCGTATCGACAATCCCACTATATTCGTTGACATTGGTTGCGCAACATGGGCCAGCCGTCATTCGCCGCGTCAAACGCCATCATCTATGTCACCTATGGCTTCTTCCTGTGCGTATGCGCCGGCTCCACCTGTTTGATGCTCTCTCTTCACCTCACGAGGGGGGAAAGGTGAGGAGGGCAGAGCGAGACACTGTCAGAATGATGAAACAGCAAGGACGGTGTTGGGGAACAGTAGAGCGTGTCTTCTGGGGCTAACATGGACGGGCATTCTAGGGTCCTCGGCACGGGCATTGCTTGGAAGATGAGAAAGCAGCCAAACTCGGACTTTCTCGCCGGCAACAGGACACAGACTGGTCAGACATTGCGCATACAGCACTCTCGTTCCTTTTGGGGCTTTTTGGGGCACCCTCTTTGATCAGCACCTTGATGGACTTTTGCTAATTGTCTGCATGATTCACAGCTTTGCCTCTGGCCTTCAACTTCATCGCCTCCGGTGAGTCGTGAATGAGAGTAATCTATCTGCTCGGTGAACTCTGTCTCGGACAGAGGGATATCCACGGAGCGGTAGCAGCAACGTCGACTACAGCGCCTTGATCGCATATGGCTGGCTGAAGCAACCGCCCACGCATGCCATATGGCGCGCAATTGTGCATGAAGAGGTCGCAGAACTTCGTCTCGCTTGCTGAAGTAGGCCAGATCAAGGAACACCAATTCATGGAAGAGATGACTACCTGACTTGGGTATTGTCCAATAGGCTGAACAGGTTCGTGCTCCCACAAACGCAATCTTCATCTTCTCCCCCCTCTTGCCCCCCTGCGATACGATACGTCTCTCTCATCCTACTACTGACCAAAGCGGTTCCTGCGGCGTCGGTTCATTACCTTCGCCGCTACGGGTCTGAGGAAGAAGGACAATGACGAGGAAGAGAAGGATGAACTCGAGAATGAGAATGAGAAACAAGATGTCCATCGCTGGGGACAAAGAGGGGGGAGAGGATGCGGCTCACTACGGGCGCCGAGTTGAAGCAGCGTTGCGAGATCCAACCTCCAGGCAGATGTGGTTCGGGCATTCTGTGCCTAGGTGCCAATGGCACGGCCTGCTTCTGCCTGGGGGAGATGTTGCGGCCGCGGCAACGAAGCTGAGATTGTACCGTGAATACTCGATCAAGTTAATGCTTGCGTGGGAAACGTGCTGCCGCTCCAGATCCCCCTCCCTGTCACCCCTTTCCCCCTTTGAATTGTTGTCGTGCTGACTGCCGCAGCCCTGGGATCCGGCATCCTGTTTTCGTACCCGGAACTCGCAACCATAGCTGGCGTTCAAGGCGTCGTAGTCTACGCCTTGGCTTCGGCGCTTCCCTTGCTTGTATTCGCAGCTCTTGGTCCCATGATTCGCCGCAAGTGTCCTGATGGATTTGTCCTGACGGAGTGGACGCGCAACCGATACGGTACGGTTGCTATGCTGTACCTGAGCTTCATGACGCTCGTCACCTTGTTCCTCTACATGGTGGCAGAACTGTCGGCCGTTGGACAAGTCGTCAACGCTCTCACGGGCCTTGACGGGCTTCCCGTGATCATTGTGGAGTGTGCAGTTACCACCATCTACACCTGTAAGTCCAGCAAGTGGTTGGTTTATTGCCGGCAGCCACCACGGCGGTGCGGCGATGATACTCAGGTGGCATATCTGGCTAACCAACATGCGCGTCTCTGCGTGTTCGTGTTCTAGCTCTGGGCGGATTCAGAATCTCTTTCCTGACGGACGTGATTCAAGGCGCCATGGTGGTTGGGCTCATCATCATTGCCACCATCACGATTGGCGTCAAGGCTGAGATCGACCGCGACCTCATTGACTCATCGGGACTCACCAAGGCCAGCCTTGTGGGATGGCAGCTGGTGTACATCCTCCCCGTGGCCGTGCTGACAAACGACTTCTTCCTGTCCAACTTTTGGCTGCGCACCTTTTCGTCCAAGACGGACAAGGACTTGTGGGTGGGCATTTCCATTGCTACGGTGGCCGTCCTGTGCATCCTCACCCTGGTTGGTGCCACGGGTCTCATCGCTGCCTGGACTGGTGCTTGGCCGGGAGACTCCGACATTGATGGGTCGCTTGCCTTCTTTGCCCTGCTTGAGCAGCTACCAAGCTGGGTCGTGGGCATCGTGCTGGTCATGGTTGTCAGCCTGAGCGTCTCTGCCTTTGACAGCTTGCAGTCGGCCATGATCTCCTCCGCGTCCAACGACCTGTTCCGCAACCGCCTCAATATCTGGGTCATCCGAGTCATTGTTGTCCTGGTCATCATCCCCACGGTAGTGATCGCTCTCAAGGCGCCGTCCATCCTGCAGATCTTCCTCATCAGCGACCTCGCGTCGGCGGCCACGATCCCCGCGCTGTGTCTCGGGCTATTTGACAAGTTTTACTGGTGGCGCGGATTCGAGGTCGTCGTGGGCGGCCTAGGCGGCATCCTGACCGTCTTCATCTACGGCGCCATCTACTACGGCGACGCAAAGAGCGGTGGCGAGCTGATACTGCTTGAGCAGGGCCTGTACGGGGGTGACTGGGGCGCCTTTGGGGCCTTCGTGGCTGCACCTGTTGGGGGCATCATCTGGGGCTTCATTGCTCTGGCGCTCAGGCTCTCCGTGCAGTTCACTCTGGCCAAGATGCGAGGCGAGCGCTTCGACGCTCTTGACCGCCCATTGGCAGAGACTGGGGAGGAGGATGATGCCCAGCTCGTGACTGAGATTTCCACCTCGGTTCCCGGCAAGTTTTTTTGAGCTGGCAGACGGGAGACGCTCAGTTGGGGTCGTTGATTGTACCCTCTAGGGCTTTTGGAAATACGCAAGGAGAGGACACAGCTGAATCGGCCCCCTTCTGTAAGAATGTGGTCGGTCTAGCAGCAGTACTTGTATTCGGAAACAAAGGACATGTTGTGTGTAACGTAGGCAGCTCATGCAGAGCTATCTGCATGTGCTCCCAGGGTGGCTGCAGGTACTGCTACAAAAGAAACCAGGTACTGGGTAATAGTGATAGTAATACTCAACACTTTGGAGGTGGTGATAATCGAACGAATTGTGCCAGTTTAATCACATGTTCCGGTCATCTCTTACAGCTTGACGGAGTCAATAAGGGACGCTTCAATGGTGAGGGTGATGCCGAAGTACGACACCCGACACCAGCTTCGATTGGCCGCACCAAGCTCAGACGGATTCTTGGACGAACTTGCAGCTCCAGGACGGCACCAGCCGCTTTTCCCTAATTCCAGCCACTAAAGAACCCCCGTCGCGTTGCAGCTGTGATCTAACAAGTAAGCCGCCCATTGGCTCCCTGAAATCCAGGCGGGTTACAGGCAATCGAACCCCTATGAGATGCACTGACATGGAACCTAAGCCTTCCAGGTTCCATTCCCACTGGTGCTCCAGCTTGCGCGGCGCAACTCTCTTAGCGAGCAACATGTACCGCCCGATACAAGGCCGCAGCCAAAAGCGCCACCGCTCCATAACGCCAGCTACTTGTGCGAGGTAAGGCGACCTGAAAGCCAATTCGACGTACGACCTTGGGTAGCACAGCAGCACCCTTTTATTGTCTGCAGCCGCACTTGCATCATCGAGCCTCGTCCCAGCAGTACCCGCCAACTCTTCCAATTCACATTTGATCTCTTTTCCCTCCCCTTGCCATTTCTTGAGCCTTGTAGCCAGCTTCAACCCGCACCCTTCGACTTCCACATCCTCAATTCTGTCCTGTTCAACCGAAGCGTTCCCAAGCCCAAGCCCAAGCCTCAGCCTCAGCCTCGCCCCTCGAACCGTCACAGACGTCTCTCAGCTCGCGAATATCCTCCGTCGTCCCGCCTCGCCTCATGGCCTAAACCGCTGGCTGTCTGCGATTGGCGATGGCGAGGGAGACTACTCCTCCTCCAAGCTACGAGGCCGTGTCCGCAGCCGCCGCTCCTCCTGCCCCCCTATCCATCACGCCGCCGAGAGTCACGAAGCGCCCCGTCTCGTCTCCGTCATCGCCATCGTCCTCCAAGTCCTTGCCCTCCTCCAGGTCGTGGTCATCGCCGTCGCACCCGTGGCCATCATGGGACTCTCCGGCTCCTCACACGCCTCTCCCGCGGCAGAGGCCCGCGTCCTCCAGCCTCTCCGCCCCGAGACCGCCCGACCTGACCGCATTGACGAGCTTGACGCCGGCAGCGCCTGTTGATCGCTCCGGACCAAGCTCCAGCTCCGGGCCCAGCGCGCAGAACCCTCCCGTGCCGTCCATGCTGCAGCCCCGTGTCGCCGTCGTGCTCAACGTGCCTCAGCCGTGGCATCCCTGGCTCTTCGCTCTGCGCCTCTGCTCCATCCTGCCGGCCCTGTGGTGGGGGTTGCCCTCGCTGCTTCGCCTGCTCCTATACTTCCTGCCCGGGCCGCCGGATCAGTTTATGCTCGTCAAGCAAATCGCCGTCTCGGGAAGCAATGTCGACCTACTGCAATCGACTTCCTTATCCTCGTGCTCGCGGAGTGATGGTGAAGCAGCTACGACAGCTGCAGCCGCAGCCGCCGTATTGGCGGCACCTTACGCTATTACCGAGACAGCCCTGGCTACTATATGGGTGCGTACAAAATATTCCATTCCAACGAAAAAAAGGGAGGGACAAGCTTCAAGGACTTCACTCTGCAGTACGAAATTGGGTTGGAGGTAACTGACCTGGGGCTACTCTAGTGCTTTGCTTGCGGCTACCTCGCCTTCTTCTTCACCGACTGCCTCATGTCCCGATGGTACGTTTCTCTTCTTGGCCTTTGACAAATTCTCCCTCCAAAGAAGCTTGCCAGACGACCGAAACTAACAACCAGCTTTCTTGGCCCAGGCTCATCAACTACACCCCTCAAGCCACCGTTGTGCGCCTCCTCTCCATCAACGCCGTCAATGCCTACCTTACTCTCAATGTGCTATCCATTACCGGTGGCTTTCAAGACCCTCGATTGCTTCTCCCCGGCTGGGTTAGCATAGCAACAGTACGAACAAGTTCCCAAGCTCCTCTCTCCTACAACAACGAAACATGCCAGGCGTCTAAGAGCCGCATATGCTAACTATCGCTGTCTACCCAGTCCCTCACCATCTGCTACCACGTCACTCACCAAAAGATCAACATTCGAAAAGAAACAATCACATCGGTCAACGTCTTCTCGATAGCGAGCTACATCACGATGATTGTGCTGCTGGCTCACATGCAGTTGTACCAGCCCGACTACCCCACCATGCCCATTGTGACGACGACCAACCGCCTGTGGCAGAGTGGCAAGCGGCTCGTAGCCAGTATACAAGGCGCCGCCCCTTGACCAACACGCTGAACCATGTACGAAGCAACGAATGAGCACGAACTACTTATAACGAACGAAAAACGGCGAGAGCTTGCGATGAGGTTTCAAGAAGCCTATGAGAGCCGAGAACAAAAGGAGAAAAGAATCAACGAGAAAGGGGGAAAGTGAAGGATAGTAAAGGCAAGCAGAAGAAGAAGAAAGGAAGGCCCGGAAATCTTTAGCTGCAGAGCCGGATATACCAGCACTGTCTTTTAAAGGTCTCCTGCTCCTTTTCCTGTGGCCAACTTTAGTACTGTGCTTGGAGGGCTTTATATTGTTCACCTTGTTTGTCTGTCCAGTCCTCTCGCCTGGTTTGTTTCGGTCTGGGTTTGGATTTTACTATTCGGCAGTATAGGCGTTGGGTCTGGCGGACAAAGCTGTATGTACATTGGGTTTCCCTTGCCTTCGTCTGCTGCGCTTGATAGATATTATTTGTTCTTTGGGTTATTCTCAGTTTTGCTCGATTAATGTTTACTGGCGTTGGTCTAGAATGGCGGGCAAGGCTGAGTAATTCCTTTTTGATCCTTGTTTTCCTCCCCTTCCCTCGGAATATATCACCTCGATCATACCTTAGGTACTAGGTATGCAGCAGTATTCGGTCAATTCCTTGGAAAAGGATCCAAGAGCGGTTTTCATGCTCCTCATTTCCCTCGTTCCATGTGCATTCCTAAATCAACCTTGGCCCCTCTTGACTGGTATTGCAGGTCCAAGCAGGAGCAGAAGCAGACATTCACGCAGTATCATAATATTCGCACCACTTGCTTTGGCATTATAATCTCTATTAGCCCTAGACTACGGCTAGGCCCATCCGAAAACACGTCCCGAATGTTAGAAAGAATATTTCAACGGCCAGTTTGAACAATCATCATCGATCGACTGACAGGGCCAATTACTTTGGCCCGTAGCCTAGACCTTTGTCGAAAAGTCAAGAACATAGAGAAGCGTTGCTAATTCGAACTACTGCGCCGCAGCGCAGCAGATGTAGTGGCGCAAAAGAAGCCAATAAGACTGTTTCTCTCCCTATCCCTTCCTCTGTATGGCGTCCGGCCGGCCAGACCCTTCAGCAACGTTGCTACACGCACGCCAGTGGATTGTACCGGGAGAGGGCCGATATTAGGTGAAAGCGCTCGAAGTGCCTCCCAAGAAGATGGGGCGCACAGCGATTTCGATTAGACAATGGGGTGTGCGGTAGGCGTCAGTGTGAGGTTTACAGGCTGTTCGAACAGCCCCGTTCCGATACGCTCATCACCAGCATGCTGTGAAGCCAAGTCGCTGGAGGGGCGGCGGGGGCGGCGGCGCGAAGAGGACGATTTAGGCACCGTGAACGGTGATGTTATCGGGGTTGAGACCGAGACCGGCCTTCTTGTCAACGAGGAAATCCAGGACCTTCTTGCGTTGGTCGCCCTGGAGCTGAATCACCTCGCCGGCCTTTTCATCATTGACCTTGTTGCCATTGCAAGCTACAGACGATGACTGTCAATCTTTGATGTCGCCAATGATGATGACGCGAAACGCAGGGAAAGGATGTTGACATACCAAATTCCTTCCTGAAGAAGGTGAGAATCTTGCCGGGGTCGAACTTAGCAGGGAGACCAGTGACCGTGGTCAAAGACTTGCGACCATTTCGCTCTGTAACATGACATTAGCAACTATAGCACGGGAAGGAGGATGAGCTTGTCGCCAGTTGATTGTCGGCATCGCGAGGGGTAACGATGCGCGCCAGGCTGAATAAGGCACAAGAAGGATGAGCAAGCACCTACGTTGGATACGAATATGGATATGGTTCTCGACCTTCTTGATATCACCGGTGTCGTCGTCGGCTTCGGCGAAGGGGTCTATAGTAAGACGCAACGGTCAGCAAGTTGAATCATTATAGGGAGCGTATCAGACGCTAAGCAGGATCGTGTCAGGCTGTCGCGCTGTCTGGATGCGCATTGCGACCCATCTCACACGACAGCCAGCCCAACCCGAAAGGGCAGGGAAAGCGGGCGGGCGAAAGATGACGGGAAAGGAAACGAAGCGAACTTGGGGCATCAACGTACCGAAGGACTTGAGATTTTCGATGGACATAAACTCGGATGTTCCTGGGTTTCTCGTGGGAAAAAGAAGAAGAGTTGACAAGAGGGTGATGACCGGCGGTTGCGAAAGGCGACGACGGTCTCTTTGAGGTGTTTTGCGCTTGGTGGGACACGAAAAGTGTTTGGCGGGGGTTGTTGAGGAGAGAATGAAAGAAGAGCAGAGAGGGGCTGTGGTGCCTTTTTTTGCTTCTTTTCTCTGGGGCTCGACGGCTTTAAACGCGCTTAGGTCTGTTGACGATGACAAGGCTTTGTGTCAGGTGAGCAGAAGGCGAAGGAAGTCTGGCGGAAGGTTGAAGAGGCAAAAGGTAAAAGGGGGGAGAAATCGATGGGAAAAGATTGGTTCAGGTTTGACGCACAGAGAAGGTGGGCGCAAAGGTGGGGGGAGAGCGAAGGAAGGAGAAGCCCAAGGGAGAAGCCAAAAGAAAAGTTGTGTGCGAGGGAGGGGAGCGGTACCTGCCCGGCTGCGGGTGGCCGCGGCACAAACGCAGGTACAGCACGAGTACCAAGTACCTCTGCCGGACGCTTCAAGGGCAGGTGGCCAAGAGCGCAGGAGAGGCCGAGAGAAGACACCAAAGGCAAGAGAGGCTGACCAGGGGCCCCACTCAGGCGGTGGGCGCACCGCCTTAGAGTACAAACGAGGCGCTGCTCCAGTCCAAGTCCAGTTCTGCCAGTGCGGAGAGTTCGAGGGGAGGAGCAGTGCACCTACAAATTACGTACGTCTCGCCGGCACTGAGCCAACAGCGCGACGCAGAAGAATCTGTTAGAGTATCTGCGTTGTTATACAAAGTGCGCCATTGGAGAGGCGATTAGAGAGGTTGATTCAACACTGGCCGGTTGCTTATCGGCTCGAGGACTTGATCACTTATTGTGGCCATCCGTACTGTGCATATCCGCATGTTGGCTCCCGATTTGGTGAGCTGAGTGTGCTGTCATCAGGGACAGAGCCCTGTCACTGATTGTCATTTCACACTGTACAGGTGTCACACTGTGCATGCTAGAAGACGCCACGCATCTGCCCAGCAAATTGACTCACTCGCACACAGCTGACAAGGTTGTCGACTTGGACTGACAAAAAGGCACACCGCCATTGTCGCACTGTCTGTCTGTTTGTCTCAGCCATGCATGCGCGCATGAGGAAGCGCACTGCGAGCGACGAGCTGGTATGCAAGGTGTCGCCACCAAAAAAGGACCAAAAGCGATTTGGGCTGAGCTGGGCTTTGTCGGACCTCCCGTGAGGTTGTCACCCGTCCGCTTGTGTTGGCTTCCCAGACCAGACCGGAGGAGTGCGCAATGCTTCGTATCTTCGCAGAGGTGTTGCAAACACTTCCGTTGGACTGCAAAATTCAAAGTATTCAGGGTTCCTCCTCTTGTTGTGAATGCGTCGGTTTAGGTAACCCGCTGTAGCATGATGCCGGTGTAGGTTTCGTCTCACTTCGAGTCGGGAAATGCATTTCATCATCTGCTCGTAACCACGCAGCACCGCTTACAGGGCTGTACCAAGTTGATGGACGCATTTGGACCGCATTCGCCGTTGCCGCTGCCAGGGCGACTTTGACAAGTCATCTGCATGGCCGACACCGCTCACAGTCTGCATTGTTATTGGATGACCGCCCGACAAAGGATGGGAGAGAAAAAGGGGCAGGGGATGCTTTTCTTTGCTTGGTACAGGGTAGCCCATCTTGCGCGAATGGGCCATGTGGCTGCTGCTGCATTGAGACAAAATCACACGTGCTCTTCGTCAGTACCGGAGCAATAGTCCCAGCTCTGCCACACTTCCTGTCAAATGACGTGCATAGAGTTCCGCACATGTAAGGCGCATCCTTTGTTCTCGTTGCGAAAATAACGACGCCAGGAGTTCAATTGTCGTCGCATCTGGCCATGAGAAAACATGTAATGATGTAGTTGACGTGATAGAGATGTGCGAAGGACTCGAGTAATATCTCCTGATTGAAATTGCCAATAGCCTGCCGGATTCTCACTGTCCACCACAAGCAAAGTGAAAGGGAAGCAAAGCCATGGCTTGTTGGCGAGCCAGATATAAGAGACAAAATTCGGGACTCGCAGAACCCTTCCAGAATGCCAGCTCTTGACAGCGACAGGACAGGCTTATGTATGTTTCGAGGAACAAATCCTGGCTAGAGACGCAGGCACTCAACTCATTCTAACAACCGCCCTCACTTGCGTCATTTCTCTTGCATCTGCCTCTGCTGCTGTAGCCTCATCTGCGAATATCCATATATCTTGCAGTTTCCTCTTGGCGGAAGCTCTTCCGACTGGCAGAAATCAAGACTTGCTTCGTTCAAGTTCCATGAAAGAGCATGGGCAAGCAAAGACAACTCCCACCGGAAGCCAATCCGACTGGTAGTAGAGACGTTGGTTGCATGATTCAAACCCCATGTTGGCCCTCCGCGTAACGAAACATGCGTCGACTGGGCATTCCTCTGGCCAGAAACCCAGAAGACGGCATCACGGAACCAGATCCGGTTGGCAGTTTTGCTCGACAAAGACCCCCCGGGGATGCTGTGACAGGCATGAGATGCTCGAATCCTTGAATTTCTCATGCACCGGAACCAGATCCGATAGGTAGCTCTTGGGGAGGTTTCATGCCCCAAGTGATGTCGGTTGCAGATGTTCTGCGCTGGAATGCACGACCACTTCATATCCGCGTATTTCGATTTTTTCTCATGCACCGGAAGGGCTTCCGATTGGCAAAAATGGTTGAATATGGAGCTTTTCACTCAAGGGTTTGATGCGGATAATGCCCCGAGGCGATGCCATCCTTGCTTCCCGAGGCGAGGCTTGTTGCTCCTGATGTTGGAGGGAGCAATACCCAGGGTCAGGTCCGAGTGTACTGTAGCCAGGTGCTCGAGCTTTGTCGAGGTAATCTGAAGGGAGTGCGAACAAGAGCTTAAACACATCATCCAGCCTGGACAATTCCGATAGTTGACTCGATATCACTAGGCGAGGTCGACAATTGGGAGGCTTGTTTTGTCGAATATAGCTGAGAACATGGGAATCTGCGAGTCTGGATAGAATCCAGAGCAGTCTTGAAGGTGTGCTACGTCATTCTGTCTGGCGTCGCGACTGCAATTTTGGACACGCCACAAGCTGCCCGAAGTGGAAAGCATTGTGCATACGGTTATCGATAGAAGAAAAAATAAGGCGCCCCAGAAGACGGACATGCACTAGAAGCTCTCAAACTCAAATGAAAGCATAGCGACTCTGATCTGTGAAGCTTCCATCAAAGCAAAAAGAGATAACAGACCTGCTCTGGTTCGACCGTCTCCAAACGGGGTGCGGTGCGCAGTGAGGGGCTCCTCAAACCCTTGGAGGGGTCGTTGGAGGGCGAAAATTTCGAATTTTCTGATGCAGACAAGCGTCACAGATCACTCTGGCGATTACACGAGAGTCTTCCAAGATACTACAGTCGTCTTGCATGATCGAGGATCAGATAAGAGAAATACAGTGTGACTTACTTGTTCTCGTCATCTGGGGAGTTTGTTCTGGCTAGGGACATGAAGTTTCAACCCTCAGAGATCCCGCCTGGGACGCCGGCCTTCTTTCATGATGCCGCCAACCGCACTTGGGTACCCCTATACAGCCATGCCTGCTCCTTTGGGCCGGACATCTTTGTGGACAAGATGATGAACCTCATCAAGAACCCGAACCTCAACTCGAGCTGGCTCTTTCGCGCCGACATTCTGTACGACGAGGCCAAGGCCACTACTCACAGCAGCAGCAATAGCTGCAGTGCTACGTCTGCTGGTGATACTATCACGAGAAGCAGTGCCACTGGTTCCGAGGCCAGTTCTAATACTACTTCTCAGTCCGATGCCAGCACTTACGAGGCTCAACCTTCATCTCGGACCGGCTCCGAGATCTGCCCCGTCGCCGTCGAGATACGCGACATGACCCTTGAGCGCACCCTCGTTCGCAGGCTCATCCCCAGGAACGAGCGGAGAGACAAGCCCCTGGAGCAGACATGCCTCTTTTACAAGAGCGCGACTCCCAGAGACTTCGCCGTAGTAGGCTCGCTCGAATCTGGACAAGAAGGCATGTCTGGATCTGAGTCTCCAGCGTCTCTCTCCACACTGGTCATATACATGCCCCATTCGCCCTCAGCAGACGCTCTCCCCTTCTACCACCCCAAAGTCCAAGGCATCGCGCACCTTCACCAGTGGGACCAGTCAGGCAAAGGCACCATTTCCATCCACTTCCTCCCCTATCCAGAGCACCCTGTGACCGACGCGAGACTCCAGCGAACAGCCTACCACCTCCTCGAAATCATTGACAAGCACGGCCACGGCGCGGCAGAGGGCTACGTCAAGAGAGTCAATCACGACGTGGTCATCCCGCAGGACAGGTTCCAGAACAGGTACGCACTCCTCAAGAGCAAATACGCCCGGCGGCTGGTCGACTCGTGGGCCGAGAAGACGGACCCGACCAAGCACGTCTTTGAGGACCTGGGCATCGCCGCCTTCCTCATCGAGCTCTGGAACGACATGTATCCTCCCGAGGGGACGGCTCCCTTCCCCGGCTTCGTCGACATCGGGTGCGGCAACGGACTGCTGGTCTACCTGTTGACGCAGGAGGGCTACGCCGGCTGGGGCTTCGATGCAAGAGAGCGCAAGTCGTGGGCTCAGTACAGGACGGGCGGTCAGCCCTCCCGTTCGGGCTCGTCGCTGGAGGAGCGGCTGCTGCTGCCCGCCATGATCTCCAGAGAGAGAGGCGGTCAAGCTGAGGCTGAGGCCGACGCCAAAGCCGACGCAAACCTCATCGACAACGACGATGTCGTACACGATGGAGCATTTGCCACGGGCACCTTCATCGTCTCCAACCACGCCGACGAGCTGACCCCCTGGACACCGATCCTGGCCGCCCGCTCGCGGTGTCCCTTTATCATGATCCCCTGCTGCAGCCACAGCCTCGCTGGCGACAAGTTCCGCGCACCCCCTCCTCGGGACAAGACGAAGGGCAAGTCTACCTACGCGTCGCTGGTGGACTGGGTATCCACCATCGCGGAGGACTGCGGCTGGAAGGTCGAGACCGAGATGCTGCGGATCCCCAGCACGAGAAACACATGTCTGCTGGGGAGGACGCGCACGAAAGAAGTGCAGGAGGCGGATCTCGAGGCCCTCGTCGCAAAGTACGGCGGCACGGGGGGCTACTACGAGAATGTTGCAAAGCTCATCAAGTCAGGGCCAAGAGGCCACTGATGGCTGATGGTTGATGCCAATATTCTCTGCCTTGTCTCATGTCATGAATCACCACAGTCACTGATGTCATGAATCGCTACAGTCACTAAGATGCTTTGCTGTTCAAGACATTTCGCCGAGCCAACTTTTGGAATAGAAAGCGGGATACTACTTGGTACAGGGTGAAATACACAGCCAATGCCGAGAATCACAGCAATTTGCCTTATCCGTCAATCCAGATCAGGCACCGGCAAGTGGTCCACGAGCTTCGTCTTGAGACCCATCCTCCGCATCGCCTCCATAGCGTTCCTGTCTCGCAACTCCTCCGTCTCCTGTGCGCTTGCCAGGACAAACTTGTGCCTGAGCAGCAAAGTCCCCTGGGGCACGCCATACTTTGCGGCGGTATCCTCGTCAACTCTGTCCAGGTCGACGACGAGGCTCGTCTTGACACCGAAGACGACGTCAGATGTCTCATATTCGTCGCCGCGGATGAAGAGCGTCCTATCACAAGACGGCACGATATCAGTTCAGCTTCTGGCTTCATCTCCAGCCACAGCCATAGTCACGGTCACTCAGCTCTTGCAAGCATTGCTGGCTTGTTTTATGCTTGGACGGGGGCAGAGAGGGAAACCGGGCCTTGGGCAGAGACATGAGCAGAGACATGAGCAGAGACATGGGAAGAGACACGGGCCGAGGCTGGAACAAGCGCGACGAGTGAACCCGGAGCCTGGAGCGGCGTGCAAGGGCAACTTTCCGTACGCACAAATACAAAGTACGAATGTGCAAAATACCAGAGGGAGGAAGTACCTACGTGATGAGGGGATCTAGGCCTTGCTTCTCAAACATGAAGTGCATGTGGGCCGGCCGACAGCTGTGCCGCTTGAGCAGCCCCAGCAGCCTGCCAACCGGACCGTCATCCGGGACCGGGTAGCCGACGGGCCTGATGGCCCTGAACCAGAAGCCGCCGTCCACGTCGCTCGTCATGACGCACCGCTCGCTCGGCGCCTGTCGGCTGGCGTACTGCACGTCGTAGTGGCCAGAGGAGTCGGCTTCCCAGATGTCGACCTTGACACCCGAGAGTGGCCGGCCAGACGAGTCGCAGACTGTGCATAATGCAAGCAGGGGCTCGCCCGCAGTATCAGTGGTCATGGACGAGCCTATGGGGAGATGGGGCGCATCGCTGGTGTGGAAAGGCCCGAGAACGGAGCCTTGAGTGCAGTTTGGTGGCTTCGGATGATCGATGGAGTCGATCAGCATCGAGAGGCCAAGGACATCGGAGAGGAGGATGAACTCCTGCGCGGAACTGTCAGCCCAGCAAGTCACAACTTGGCAAAAGCAACAAAGGACATCAAAATGGCCCATGAGGACAGAATACGTTTAACTGAGTGTGATAATGCTGAGCCTATGAATCTACCTGGCACATGGTGATTAGGAGGGGCCAGGAGACAAGAGAGGGAGGGTGACAAGGTGAGGAGGGTGCATGAGGAAAGACGCCCCGAAAGTAGGGAGGGGGAGAAAAAGCAAACAAGGCGAAATGTACGGAAACATGATCAGGCCAATGCAGCACAGGCTACGCAAGGAGCTGAGAACAAGAAATGATATGCCACTCATGTGTCATGACAAAAAGAAGAAGAAAAAAAAAAAAAAGGAAATTGAAAGAGACAAGAGAAAACAGACACGAGACAACAGAGAAGAGAGAGCGAAAAGGCACACACCTGGCGGACAGGACTGCACATCTGGCCAGTCTGGGTGAGGAATTGGATGGCGGCCATCCATTCGCTGGTGCTGAGGCGTGTTTCACGCGCAAAGTCATGGACGTGGGTCACCAGCCGCTCCATGAGGTAGTTGAGCCGCGCATCGCCACTCTGTGAGCTGGCCTGCACCACCTTCTCGGTGATGTTGTCGATGGTGAGGTCCGGCACAAGAGGTTGAGTTGGAGCAGAAAGGGGAAGGGTGTCGCTAGTTGTGGGTGCCATCGTTGAACTTGTCAATGCAAAGCTACCGTGGCATCGGCGTCGTCGTATTCGCGTCTCTTTGTATCTGCAGAACAGAGTGGTATTCTACCAGGTGTGCTTCGTAGTAGCCTCTGAGAAGGAGAAATACCACGACAAAGTACCGGCGACGGCAAGTGATGGGATGGTGCCCAAGGCGACGGCAGCTCGTCAAGTCTTCTTAAATATACCCATCCTATGGTATCAATACCCGTCCGTTGCCTCCCCCATTCGTACTGTACATATGTTAGTCGTAGCAGCAGTATTTGCTGACCCCGTCGAGATGTCCGTCAACTGCTATCCCAGATGGTCGTAAGCAATCAGCACATAGCCAAACACAGTCATCAGCCTGTTTGAACTCGCTCACCAGTGAGAAAAAGAGACGACGGGCTTGTCAGTTGTCGGTTTGGCGTCAGCAGCCCGGCAGCCCACCATCCAATCCAATCTCGCCTCTTCTCATTCTCTTGCCTCTGATCTCACGCGGAGATTCTTAGGCTCAGCATCGCCCCATCTGGGGTCAATCGACTACTAGCAAGGAGATCGGGCTCCGGCAACAAGGGAAGGGGAAACAAAGAATAGATCTCTCAGGGGGGTGTGTGGTCCATGAGGATTGCGCTATGACTGATAGGGATTGAAAGCGCTCGGCTTGCATATGCCATGGCTTGCTGCATTGCACTTCTGCACAACTGCAACATGCTTCCACTGATTGATAGTGTCCTTTACCTCCTCCGTTCTTCCGTCTCGGCGTGCCTGCTTTGATTTGCTTCTGCTCGATGCATCTCTCCCTATCTCGCCCACTCAGGTACATGGACATATTGGGGGCCAGACCAGCTGGGAAAGTTGGCGGAGAGAGAAGAGGACCTGGGTCCAATTATCGAGTTGAAGCAGGAAAATAGCCTCGAGGACGGCCTCACCTTGCTAGGGCTGACATGGACCATTGACCAGCATCCATATCGAAAATCTGGATGCCTCTGTTCACCCATGGTCGCCTTTTCACCGAGTGGGTTCTCAGCGGTAGCTCCCGGCCGATCACTCGCTCGGTACCTGTACATCCCGAGTTGCCCCCTTGCCCTGAGGCCATAGTTCAACCCCCCTGGTCGTTGTGGCTGCAGCACACACAGGCGCCGGAGAGAAAGGCTCCCCGGTTTCAATCCATGCTCCGAATGGAGCCTATTCAGAGGTAAGGCGAGAAGGCTCACAAGTTGGCGAATTAGACGCGTGCTCTGGCTGCTGGGTGTGCCGGCAAAGACCTGTTCCGTGTCTTGGTGGGGAACCAGTGTTGACCTCCATGCACCTTTGCAGGTCCCCGAGACCGTACGGGGATGGAGCTATTCTGCCAAGGACGAGTGGGAGAGCCCGTCCTTGGAAAAAGAGGCGTCTCTGAGGCTTGCGATGTCTATCATGGATGAGTGATTAGTGGGATCGAGAGACAGACAGAGAGTGAAGGGAAGAGAATAGCAAACCAAGTTGGAATCAGATGGCTGGCGGCTATAGGCGAGCGCAACACCACGCAAGGCAAACGGGCAGATAGTAGATGGCAGTACATGGCCAGAGGATCGGACAGACAGACGGATACTTCCCAGCTGTGTCACTCTGACCTTCTGCCTTTGGGCTCTCTTTGTGTGCCTCTTGTGCCCCCCCCTTCAGGGATAGACGAGTATAAAGATCTGGTTTCCTCCCCGAACTTCTTGGTCGGGAACTTTCATCTATACAGGGTCGAACGCCACCGCCGTCTTTGAATGATCATTTGGCTTCCAGCTGCATCTTCTCGAGCTCTTCATCCTTGGAGGATCTGTTGCTCACCACAGCTGCCCGCCAATTCGACACTGCTTCTCAAACTTCATTCCTCTCCAAAAGCCTCACCCCCGGTTTGAACTGCTTCGCCTTGCCCAAATCCTCCCGTCCTTCATCTGCTCTTCTCCCACTCGTCCTCATCTTTCTCTCCTCCCTCCTATCTCCACAGCTTTTTTTTATCTTTTGCCTCTGATTCCCTCACCATGTCTGCCTCGCCCCCTGCTAGAGACCCCCAAACGAACCGGGTGATCAGGAAGAGAAAGCCAGCATTGCACCGGAGCGTTTGCCGTATCTGCAACCACTTCCAGTACTGTGACGATTATGAAGAAGTGCACGCCAGAGACGGCCGGCGCACCTCGCGAACTCAGATCTGGGGCGATCCTGGCTCGTACGTGATCCGGATCCATACGAATGATCTCCTCCGTGATGGCGGCGATGTCGAAGATACCAACCGGCTCCGCAACTGCCCCTATTGTCGCTTGTTATACGACGCCCTCAACCTCTTCTTTAACGACGCGTCCCTAAACTGGATCAGCGATGCTAAGACGGATCTGACGAGAAACGTCCGCGTGAAATTTCAACGGGGCTCGCCTCTGATCTTGCAATGCGAAGACGCCATCCAGTACCATTTCCAGTTCACATATATTCGAAGCGATGTCGAAATCTTCTCCGCGGACTGGGGCAATATGGCCCCGTCCGATTTCCCTACCGCCCGGCTGACACCACCGACGGCGGAACTGGGGGCTGTAGACAAAAAAGTCGAGGGCTTCTTGCAGTACTGGTTTCGAGGGTGTGCGGGCTACTCTGATGCCACGGATCAGTGCTACAACACCCCTAACCGATTGCTCTATGTCGATTGTTACACCGATGAAATCAAGCTGTGGGAATGCGAGTCGGAAGTGCCGGGGATGCCGGAGCTATACAACCCAATGGATTATGCGACTTTGAGCCACTGCTGGCTTGATGATGACCCGATGCTTCCCAAGCTCTTAACGTCTAACATCGAGGAGTGGAGGCAAGGCCGTACGATTTCCGGCCTGCCAGCGGCCGTGAGGGACGCCGCCAAAGTGGCCAACCTCAACGATGTTAATTTCCTCTTCATCGACTCTCTCTGCATCGTGCAGGACAGCCAAGAAGATCTCGACGCGCAGCGGCCAATGGTGGGCTACTACTTTCGAGATTCAATCCTGACCATTGTTGCGGCGGCTTCTCCTTCGCCGGATGACGAGTTTTTGTATCCCCCTGAAAGGGACTGGACCACCAAGACGGTTGACTTCAAGGCTCCTTCTGGTGCTAGCACAACCCTGACGATGCGTAAGAGGTTTTCGCGTCCCGTGTCTCCCTCTGACGCAGTCGACGAGGCGTCCACTCTCAGTCACGTCTCGCCCGGCTCGTTTCGACGGACCGGGCCCCTCTACGCACGACACTGGTGTCTTCAAGAAGCTCTTCTGGGCACGCGAGTGGTCCATTTCACTTCGGCCGGCATCATGTGGGACTGCAAGCGTCACGACTGCACTCGCGAAGGCGTGAGGGTGTACAAGCGGCCCGAAGTATTCAGGGGGTTGCCGGCTCGAAGTAGGCTTCGCAACGACCTGGACATGTGGCTCGAAGCGGTCCAGTTCCACACATCGTGCGATCAACTGCCCGGGAAAGATAGACTCTCAGCAATCTCTGCTCTGGCCGCCATGTCGGAAATGGGCATCATTGATCGGTATGTTGCAGGCCTCTGGTGGGGAAACATGACTATGGGTCTGCTGTGGGAAGTCAAGTTGCGGCCGGGACAAACTAACACGACCAAGATAACGATGCCGTACAGCGTGCAAAAGGCGCCATCCTTCTCCTGGGCCTCTGTCGACGCGCCTGTCATATTCCAGGACAACTTCCGCTGGTACTTTTCACCCGAAGCGAGGATGATTGGAGGTGGTTCTCTCCCCCAAAGAGCAGACGATCCCTGCGGCAACGTTGATGGGGCCTGGATCCGGTTGGAGGCTTACATGAAGAAGTGCGAAGTCAGCCAAACACTCGGGGGTGCGGCGGGAGGCCACTGGCAGTTTGTTTACTGTCGCAACACGGACGGGACCACGACCAAGATGCATCCGTTTGTCGGAGACGGCTCGCTGGTCGTGGTCAAGGGCAAGAAGGCAACCTCGGAGCGGCTGCGTAGAAAGCGTGCCTCCAGAGCGAAGCGTCGTCTGCGCAAGAAGCAGTCAGGGGCTGAGGATGACAATCCGAACCACTCGCATGCCTACTTGGCACGAAACCATTTTGAGTTCCGGCGGAATATGGTAGGGCCCGGAAAGATCACAGGGGTAGCGTGGGTGCTGTGCGTCAGGCGGCGAGGACAGTTCGATGAGGAAGAACAAGGCATCAAGTACGACAGATTCGACGGGCTGGTGTTGACTCGCTCGATGAGGTATCCAGGAGCGTTTGAGCGGATTGGCTGCATCCGAAATGTGCCCAGTACGTTGCTCGACTTCAGCGAGAGCCGTCAAGAGATTACACTTGTGTAAGAGAAGACGACGCCTTCGGGATATGTGCTATTGTCTTGTATTTCCTTGTGTGTTTTGTCAGTATGTTTGTTCACAAAAGCGCATATCCCGAAGGCGTCGTCTTCTCTTACACTTGGGCAGATTGGGGCCTGGGGGGACTTGGTCTGTACCGCCGTTGGATCGTTTGGTTGATCTTGTCGCTCCTTATCATTTCCTTGGTACTTATGTATACGACTGTCATTTCCCCTGAAATATAATGGTTGATGCACATGACCGTAGATTGCAACTTATAAGTTGTATTCTTTTGCCAGTTGTGCTGTTGGAGGATGCAATGCGATTGGGTGAGTGAGGGAAAACAGCGGTAAGAGGCGTAGGGCGATGTTCACCGAGGCGCCGGTGGTCCAACGGCTGGCATGGATCTATTACCGAAGGAAGAGATCGAGCGTCGATCCGACTTGTCGGAAGAGAATAGGGGAAGAATCTCAAGAGAAATGGAGAGCATGGAGAGCAGGATGAGGAGAAGGAGGAGAAAGAATGGAGAGTTCAAGTTTGTAATAGATGAGGCGAGGTTAGATAAGGTACCTGCCGTGATCATGGTGCGATCCCGAATGCTCCTTCCGAACTAGATGTTGCACGGCAGTTCACGCAACGGCATGACGTGAGTTCCATGTTTCTGCCTTACCTAAGGAGGTACTGATAATTGCAAATGAAAGGACAATCGCATTTGTATGCGAGATGAAGAGTTTCTTGCACCATTGAGTCAAGTATCATAGAGGCTGATTCTCTCATATCCAAGTATGTACACTACCTAGTAGTACTACCTATAGACACATAAGTATTCTTTTATAGACATGTATTTACACATCCTCTTCCCTCATCTCACTCTCATCATCATCGTCATCATCATGACTACCACCCTCAGCATCTACCCAGAAGTAGGAATCACTCCCGTCGGTCCAAAGCCGAGATATTCAGACCCAATGTCCGTCAACTGGCCCGCGTTGTTCAGGAAAGTGGCATTGGGACCGACGTTGCTAACGTTGGACCGGAACGCCCCGAAATAGCTGTACCGCTCCAGGTTGGCGAGGCCGTCCATGTAGTCGGCGCTGGCGTTGAAGAACTGCTGCGTCGTCGGGAGATCCTGGTTGGCGTACGCGTACTCGGTCACCCACAGCTTCGTGCCGGGGAATCTGCAAGTCTAGTCGTTAGTATGAAGATGCTGATGTCCTGACTAGACCGGAAGGGATGAACTCACGCTGCAGTGTAGTCGGCAATATGGCTCTTCAGGCCATCCAAGTTGTCATACCAATGCAACGACGCAAAGTCATACGGGCAAGCCCTTCCAAGCTGCTGTGTGCAGTTCCCCACGAACTGGTGCAGCCAGTCCAGCCCGGACGGAGCTCCTGTACACGCAGGCAGCCCAATCTTGACACCACTCTGCTGCAGAGGCACAAAGTTGGCAATGTACGCAAGAGCCGCGTTGGCCGGCGTCACGTCGCTTCCTCCCCACGCCGCCGGGGCGTCGGGCTCGTTGAAGCTCATGACGTGGCTGATGGGGGTGCCGGTGTTAATGAGGTTGAGGACGCTGTCGCGGAAGGCAAAGTCCTGCGAAGGGTTCGGTCCAACTCCCCACATCATGGGGACGAACTCGAACTGGGACTGCGGGATCGAGGCATAGTCTGCGCTGGGCAGGGTGTTATAGTTGTAGTACCAGGTCAGGTCCGAGTTGGTCTGCACCCAGATGGAGTTGTCCTGCAGCGTGGTCGAGTTGGGGATGAAGATGAGGCCACGCTTTGCGGACCGGGACGCCTCGGCGAGGAGAGGCGAGAGGAGGACCACGCCAGCGGTGATGAGAGAGCGGAGGGCCATTGTTACGAGAGGGACGAGAGAATGGAAGAGCTGCTGGGGAGGACAAAGACGAAGCAATTGGAGAAGGAGGGTGCAATCCCTCTGCTGATTTCAGAACCACAATATCCTCTGCCCCTGGCCTCCTGATTGCGTCCACGAGCTGACTTTATATACCATTTCTCAGGACTATCGACTGCTGCTGTCCAAACTCATCACCAATCAAGCCAAGAATAACTCCCGCCGTCCCCATCGGATCTTGGTCCCCTGTCCTGTCATCTTACTTCCGCAAGATGACAGTCATGGCCATGGCCAGGCCTTGGATTGTGATTATGGAAAGTACTACTATCTCGAAACAACGCCAGAAACTCCCGTGCCAACCCGGCGCTCACTAACAGCTTACACGGGACCCCCGTCCACGAACGCGGCACGTAATGGCACTTATCGGACCGAGCGTTCGCGGATAGACTCCTCTTGCGCGGACATGCTAGTGCTTCTGTCTTTGTTCCTTCGTCTCCTTTTCCTGCTAGTGTTCCTCCTATTAACCATATACTTTTAAGTTCCGCTCCCGAGACTCCCCGACCTGTCATATGCCTCATCTATCCTGCATCACGGCGATCCTCCAGCCGCGCCCCTCTCGCGAGAAGATTCGATTTAGGGCCGAAGAGAGAGAGAAACCCCAAAAGCCGGGCTGCAACGGAGTCGGCCCTTAAAGTGCGGATCAAGTCGTTGCAAGCTTCCTGCTCGAGGCTAGCATCGACTTACACTGACAGGGGTATGCACGGATTCTCGCTGGGATGTGATGGGGGATGGCCTCTTGCTTTGCTACCAACTGGTGACATGATACAGGAACGTGATTAACAAGCAGTCAATTTTGGTTCTCCTATTCATGCTGTCTATCACATACCGTACCTGTTGAGAGATAGTACATACTTTGGGTCTTGTTCAGGTGGTGCTATCAATTCGAAAGCTGTCAGCCCATATTGGACACTCCCAACAAGAGAGGAAAGTCGAAACTTGAAACCCCAAATGCCTGCACGCTCTGCTACTTTATCCGCGACTCCGTACTCGGTTCTAACCCGCAGCCCGATAATACTAACAAATATCAGGTATAATAATCGGTCCAGACTATCCATATTGCGCTGCACACCCACTGCCACTGCCGGACGGTCTCCCCCGCATTATCCGGCATATGCTTCCTCTTTCTTTCCTCGTCTTGCCAAGCTGCATGCACTTCGAGCCCGGGGTGCATCAAGCATGCAAGCGAGATATTAGAGAGAACCAACGCGAAAAATAGTCCCGCCATGTGTGCCCCCTATTTTCAAGGAACCCGCACCAGAACAGCCAACGTTGGACATGCAGGTGTTGGATTGCAGATAGTAGTTACGCATCTGTTCATCCTCTTCTTTTGGTTCATTTTCGAATTCGGGGAGATGCGCGGAAACAAACAAATCCATAAGTCGCCGGCCCGATGCCAGGAGGGCGAATAAACTGCTCATTTTACAAGGAATGACAGGGAACAACGTAAGCAAGCAGCCAACTCACCACGTTGACACATGAAGCTTTCCCCAGGCAAAGTCTACGAGGTTTGCCTTTGCCAATAGTGGCTGGAATATGCTGGCGCTGTATTCCACTTTGGCGGTCGTCCATTTACGATAAGAGACATAAAGACAGGAAGAGAGAGGGAGGGAGTGTGTGAGTGTGTGGAAGAGAGGGCGAGAGTGTAAGACGAATTCATCCAGAAATTCATAAGCTAACCATTTCCCCAGGAAAAAGTACAAGTAGTCAAGGAGAAGCAGACAAAGGACCGATACAAGGTTGCAAAGACAGCAGAATGAAGAAAAGAATCCATGATGAAGAAATAGGAAAAAAGGCATCAAGAATAAGAATACACGACGAATAGTGAAAATGAAAAGAAAAGTGACAAAAGAAAGGAAAAGAGACAAAGGGACAAGAAACGCATAGAATCGCAAAATGGAGCATAATCCAAGTCTATCCCAAGGTCGCATGCTCTAAAGCCAAATCCCGAGCCCAGAAACAAGGCAAAGCAAAGGGACAAGGCAAGATAAGATGGTAGGTAGTAGTAGTTAGTAGTCGTAACTATCGGCCTCTACTGGCCGACGCGATCCCTCCAGCGAGATCCTATATACATCCGTGAGAAAAAATAGTCGAGCAGCATTAACGATAATGCCCCTTTATATGTATGCTCGCTCCATCAAACAAGTTTGTTCCCTTTAAGCAGCCAAGACAACGATCAAAGGTCAGCCTTTCTTATAACAAACGCCTTTACAAGCATCGCATCGCATCGCCGTAACAGGGTCAACCCGCCGCTCTCCTTCTGCTGCACATGACGAAGTGCTCGATATACATCGACCAACAGCCGGCACATATATGCACGCTTGGCTGCTGTGCTTGCGCATCAGGTTGACCATCGTTCTCCCTCGTGAGATTTCGCGCGACCAATGGTAGATGAAAACAAAGCAAAGCGACAAAAAGAAAAAAAAAAAGTGGAAAAGAAATGCGCGTCACTGTAGGCAAATGAGACAGGTCGAGATGGAGCTTTTATTTAGTCGTAACCAGCACCACGCTGCCAGGGGCTATACGGACAGGAGTCAGTCACGGTTGGATATGCTTGAGGGAATCATTGGGTTGAAACATACCTTGCGTTGTTTTGTGATCGGTAGCCGCCTGGGCTTGTATTGCTGTTGCTACCAAACGATGGACTATGTCTCATTCCGGACGGTGATGGCGGTGCCTGGCCATATGACGAGTGAGACTGCTGGTCATTGGCCGGGAAGAGCGGCACAGACGGGTTGACCGGCGATACTGAGCGCGCCGGTTGGTAGAATCCAGCCTGGGGGTTCATGGACTGAGGAGCATAGGTCATGCTGCTCGTGGCGTCCGCAGGATGGCGCTGCTCGTTGGACGTGATGGAGGACTCCTCGTCGTCGCCGAGCTTGTAGCCGGCCTTGTCGCCTCTGGCGGTAACCGCCAATGCGTCCAGCTCGGTGGCGGCATTGTTGTTCAGCTGGGTTTGCGACTTCATGAAGGATGCTCGGTCATCTGCCATGAACTGGTATCGGGCATCGGGGTTCTTGCGGACGATAGAATAGACGGTTGAGGCGATCACCATGAGCAAGAGGACCAGCGAGAAGATGGCGTTAAGAACAAACAAGATGACACCCACAACACCAATGGCCAGGAGGGGCGCGCCAAAGACGTTGGTGAAGATGAGCAAGAAGATGGAGTTCAAGAAGTTAATGACGTAAATGGCGATGTTGAACGAGTTCGTCTTCTTGTCCATCCACGGGCGCAGCACCGACGTCGCAATAAGCATGCCGACCTCGAGGATGATGAAGCCTATAGCCTGGGCGACGCTGGTCTTTTGCGCAAAGGCCACAAACATGGCCTTGATGAGCGTGTAGACCAAGATGGGCCCGATGAAGTAGTATGCAGAGGCACGGAATTGCACATAGAGGAAGCCCCATTTGTTCAGAGCCTGAGGGTCGGAGAAGAGGATGTAGGCTGGGTTTCCATGCATGTCAATGGACCGGCGGGCGATCTGAATCACCTTGCTAGCACCCCAGCAGAGCGCAATCAGTGGACAAAAGAAATAAAAGACGGCAAGCACGATCTCGGCGGCGGAATCGGCCTGCGTAAACTCCCAGAAACACAGGATGGAGAGCTGGGGCAGACCGATGAGGGCAATACGGTAGAGAATGCCCTTGAGAACGGTGCGCCATCCGTTACGGAACTCGAGGAACCGGTCCGATTTCATCACGCCCTGCTTGACAAGGCCTTCGCAGATGCCCTTAAACAGAGTGACGCCCAGCATGGTGAAGATGGCAAACAGCCAGAAAAAGGTCAAGCCCGTGATGAAGAGGTTGGTGGTTTCGATCTTGGCGGAGAAGGCCACACGCTGGATTCCGTACACGACATAGCCGCCAGCCGGAGACAAAATGTTACCGCTTCGTCGCACGATGTCGGCAGCAGCCCTGGGCATCAGGGCAAGACTGCGCTTGGCGAGAGCCTTGCCCGCCTCAAGGCCGGCATCCAAGCCGGCATCCAGGCCACGCTTTTCAACAGTAACTGACACAGATCCCAGGGAGCTGAAGAGGGAGGCGGGCGTGCCACCGGTGGCTCGCTGATACCAGGTGAAGATGGTCTGCATGAAGCCAACGTGGATAATACCCATGGACCACTGGAAGTTCTGGGTCCAAGCCTGGACAATGGGAGGCAGCCCGACGCCGGTCAAGCCGATCATGGCCTGGGCTTGGAAGTAGCCAAACAGGGACAGCGAGAGGGCGGCGACGTGAGCAGCCGTGTTGGAGTGACCGAGACCGTTGAAGACAGCAGAGGAAACCAAAGCGATACCAGCAATAATGGCCGTAGCCCATTTGACACCCACCAAGTTGACCGTCTTGCCGTTGGAGATGTCGGCCTGGACGCAGGCAATACTCTCTCCGGTGCTCGTGAGATTGATACGCACGCGGACGCTGGCATCCAGATCGGGAACGGAGTAGGCGATGGAGGGGATCTGCGAGGCTGCGGAGGCGCTGACGGGGATGTTGAAGGGAATGTTGAACTTGGCGGCCGCTGTCATGGGACACATGCCGGCGAGCTTGATCTTGCACGGGTCAAGCTGGGTCTTGAGGAACGTGTATCCATAGGCTGAGGCCTCAATGTCGAACATGACGTAGCCCTGAACGGAAGATGTGGCGACCAGTTGGATGGCGGCTGAATTGTTGTTCGGGGTGAAGACGACGTTGAAGAAACTGGCCTGGAGACCCGAGTTTTCCTGACAAGTGTTGAGGGATGTGGACACGAGCATGTTCTCGGCAGAGACTGGCGCCAGCAATGTCGCCATTGCGGCAAAGAGGAGCGAACCGCTCCTCGAGGAGAACCACATGTTGGCGGTTGAGCTGGTCGAAGGTACCTGCGCGGTGGTTTGCGATTTTGGATGTCCGGCTGGTTTTCTCTCGGTGAAGCGAGAAGCGGAGAGATGGCCTAGATTGGAGTTGAGGATTTGTCGGGAGGTGGAACAAGAAGAGTTGCGCAATTAAAGAGCCGTTTTCGTCCCGCGGAACGTCTCGAGTGGTTGAGAAAGGTCACGGAAGGTGAAAGACGAAAGGGAGATGTTGCGCCGACGAGATCTGAAGACGATGGTCCGGCCAAAGCGAGTCTTTCGATCGGGGAATCGAATCGGTGTATGGAGAGCGACTGGCGAGGCTCCTGGTGATGTATTCGAGTCGGAAGACGCTTACTGAGTGGCTCGCGAATCAAGTCGTCGTTGTCGATGTCGTCGGAGCGGGAGTGGTTTGGGAGAGCGATTGGAAGCGCCGTGCTTGCGAATAGAAGCCGGCGGCAAGAAAGGAGAAACGAAGGTCGAAAAAGAAGAGTCAAGATGTATTCAAAACGAGAGAAGGAAGCGAGCGACCATGTTTATCGTGGAGGTAAAACGATCGATGGATCTGTCGCCAAATAATCCATCCACACACGACGGGAGAATCTGGGGGAGGCGGAAGCAGAAGAAGAACAAGAAAAGCGACAGAAAGCGGGCGAGTTCCAGCAGAGGTGAGAAAAGAGTGAATTGGACGGATGGGCCCAGCGAGAGAAGGGAAAACGAGCGAGTGAGCGTGAGGGTGCGTGAGTGTGGTTGCAGCAGCGGACTGGCTGTTACGAACACGCGTCCATGGGTGGTGGCTGAGTCCCCCGACAGCGCCGTTTCAGGGCCGTATGAAGGCGGATCCGCTCGCAGATCGTGCAAAGCACACAAGCACGGCAGCAGACTTGGCTTGGGTTCGTATGGGTATGGCAGCGGGCGACTCGGCTGGCGAGGATAGGATACGAGGCGGTAGTGCTAATATTACTCGCACTCCGTGCTCCGTACTAGCACTGCTAGCAGATTAGAATGAAATACGGGGCCCTGGGCCTCTCCTGAAAAGAGCAGCGAATTGCACGCTCATTCGACGAGGCGAAACGAGAAGCTGGGGGGACCCCTGGCCGGGCCATTTTTTCCCCTCTGCTGCTCTTGATGTCAGCAAGCGTTGTTTATTTTTCTAGGGCTCAGGGGTGGGCAGCGATCCATACTGTGCGTCTTGTTTGCGCGCGGTTTGTGTGACGGCAGCGAGCATTAAAACTGGCCGATCGTCCACCAGGTCTGTCGACTTGGGAGTTTGTGGGAGGGTTTTGGCGTTGGTGTTGATTTGAGGAAGAGCAATCTGGTTGAAGGAGAGGGGAGAAGGAGAGCGAGGAAGAATGAATTTCCATTCTCCTTCCTCTGTGTCTTGCTTGGCTTTGCGCGCAGAGGGAAAGGCGCAGCTTGACCTGCTCCTGCCTTTTGCACTCTGCATTTGCCGGCCCCGGTCAGAGTACGAGGTCGGCTTCAAACTTCTCCGTACCGATAAATTCCTTCAAACCGGCTACCTGATGCCCTGGACGAGGTTTACGAGAAGCCAAAGTTGCTACGGCAGGCAGAATTTCATCTCAAGAGTGCCGACTGGACTCCCATCATGCCTTGTCTTCTTGCCCGTCCAAAAAGGCTGCTCGAGCCCATTTTCAACATTCCTCGTACTGTACCAATCAGGTACCGGGAACCGCGAACCGCCCCGTCCCGAGGGGCGCATTGAGCCCATTTGGTCCAATCAGAGCGTAGGGCTCTTCGAACTGGTACCCACGTCCTTGTACCACCACTTTGGCACCTTTCATGCATCGCCTCAATGAGGTGACGGTGACATGCATGGCCTCTCGAATACGGACGAAAACTTCGTATCTGCACGTATCTGTACATCGTCACGATGGGTTATACGGCATTAACGCTTACCTTTGCAGTGTCCAGAAGAAATTGACTGCAGAGCCCTGCTTGATGCGATAATATCCAGGTCATCTCTCTTTTCGCAGAGGGATAGGCTGACTAGGCTGAGTATGTTGATGAGATTCTCAGAGTACGGAGTAATAGTATTCGCGGCGGTTCTTCCACATCTGTTGACACCAATGGGAGGTGACGATTCTGCTTCCCCAGCGAGACATACTTGGTTGTATGATGCATTCGGCTCTTACTAAACTGTCTTGACATTTGTTTGAGCCTTGCGCAAAATTTCTGGGAATTTCTGATGTAACACTGAGGAGCAAGCATGCGAAAGGCTGAGATGAGCAGTAATCTCGAATCAAGACTTGGCAGCATCTCAAACCACTGCACAGCCTTGCGGATTGTTCTCCTCGTTGCCGCCTCAGGACATGTGCTCGAAATTCGTTGGTGTCTCAGAGAGGGAGTTCGATGGACGGGCCGTATGATCAGATACTTGCGTTTTTGAAAAAAGCAAGCTGAATTCACGAAAAATTCGGAATTTTGCAGAGGTGGTAGCGCGGGCGACTCGACGCTCTCGTCGAGGCTGTACTCTTGAAGAAGCAACCAAACGACGAGGTCCGCGATGATATTCGGGGTTTGTTACAAGATGCCTCAGTTTACTCTCAAAGAAACAAGACGAAAGTCCGAAAATTTTCGGGTGTCTCACAAAGATGCTTGTACGATAGTTCGGCACTCAGTTGAGGCTGTACACCTTAGAAATGAGATGAGGATCCCAAATTTTCGGTGCCGTACTCCGTACAATGCTTGTAAGTTAATTAGACACTTAGTTGAGGCTGTACTCTCAACGCAGCAGGACAAATTTGCGGGAATTTACGGTGTCTCACAGCGATATGATAGTGACACCTCATTGAGGCTGTACTGCCAAGCAAGGCTGGGCAAGTCTCGACAGTTTTCCGTGTTTCAAAGAGAACATGATACTGTTAACTCGACATATGGCGGCTTGGCTTTCTCGCTGAGATTCTACGTCGCGCTTTACAAGCGAAATGAATTCACGAAGATTTTCAGTGTCTTACGGAACGCTTTCATAGAGAGGCTCTCATGGACAGCATGACCAATGCCGAAAATTCCCGGTGTCTCAGAGTGCTACAACTTGACTCTATCACGGACACTTTTCCTGAGAGTAGGAACGAGACCCGAAAATTTTCGGTGTCTCAGAGATCTACGATAACCTGGCTCTCGGATAGTAGACTTAACATTCCAGCATGAATAAGCTCAACGTCCGAAGCTTTTCGGTGTCTCAAAGGGAAATGATATCCCAAATCTCATGTGACGGCTTACCAGATGCCAATGTTCCCTCAGGGAAAGCAACATTAACAGAAAGATACAATAGCCTGATTCTAGACGGACCTTTGCTCCTGGTTGAGACAGAATCAGTGTGCCCACATTCTCTGTACGAGAATGACGGCTCGACTCTTGACAAATAATAATCCGAATATTTTCGGTGTCTAAGAGGAAGACAGAGTACAGCCAGACTCTATGATGGGCTCCCGCGCATCGAGCCCCGAAAATATTCGGTGTCTCGCAGACAATGAGAAGAACCTGAGTCTTTCTGATATCTTGACTCTTGGAAAAAAAAAAGCAAGATCAGCGGCCGAAAATTTTCGGGATTTCCCAAATTCACCAAAGATTGAGAGTGATGACGCTTCCAGTGCTCTATATCGCGCCTATACCACCGACGTGGCGAGACATTTGCGGCCGAAAATCTTCGGGATTTCTGATCTGGCCACTGACATTGCTCGGGCGTCGTTGATGAAAACGAGACATTGAACCTGATGGTAGTCAACTGAGATGTCCGAAATATTTCGGGCCCGATGATGTCGGCGATACTTGTCAAGAGCAACCTTCTATGACCACTAATCGCCGGCTTCATGAGACAATTGCGGCCGAAATTCTTCGGGATCTCTCTTTGAGCCAGTCATCTGGTCATCATTATCATCTGGTCATCATTGTTAATGAGACTGAGACATAAGATTGACGATGGCTCATTGAGGCGTCCGAGATATTTCGGGCCCGACAGTAGAGATGATTCGCCCCGACATACAACTTGCTTACCACCGAGTCCATGAGACAATTGCGGCCGAAATTCTTCGGGATTCTCTCTCAACAGTGGTGGTATTACTCATCTTTCGCCATTGTTCTCGAGCACGAGACATTGCGTCACGAGTGAGACCGCCCGAAATATTTCGGTCCTGACAAAGATCGTCAACATCAACTTGTCATCGCTGCTTATGACCGAACTTTACAAGACATGTGCGGCCGAAATTCTTCGGGATTTCTCTCTCCTCAGCAGTGGCATAGCTGAACCTATCATCATTGTTCTTGAGATTGAAACATTGAATTTGATAACCCAAGATTGAGACAGCCCGAAATATTTCGGCCCCCGACAATGAGCGTCGAAACCAGCTTGCCATCACTGCTTACCACCGACCTCGTGAAACATGTGCGGCCGAAAATCTTCGGGATTTCTGTCAAAGCTAATGGCATCACTTCTATTCGTAATTCTCTCAGTAAGACATGCGCCCGAAATATTTCGGGGTGGAGAAAGAGCGACGACAATGTCATAGATTCCCTGATATCGTGACCATAGTGGTGACCCTCAGGCTGAGGACATGTGTCAGTACAGAACTTTGCTCGCGCAAAGCAGTGCTGTGCACATATCTGAGACATTTGTACGCCCCAAAACTTTTCATACTGCTCGTAACATGACAACTTTGTATGAGCCCGAAATTTTTCGGACATCTTTTTTGGTGGAAAACAGACACGGGGGAGGCACCGAAGAGAAGATGCAATGTCTCGGGCCCGGCTGCTGCCGCGCCACGGGTGACTTAATTCACAGCCAGATCCGGGCTCTCGGGTGCTTTGCCCCGTGTCTGCCATTGTTGCACCGCATCTACGGAGTACAGGCCTGTTCGTCACAGTTTGCGGAGGATCTTTTCGGTTTCGGATCGTTTTCCATCCGGTGTTTTGGAGCTGAAGTAGCAAACAGTCGTTGTTTTATTTTGTGCATGTCCTGAAACATAGCACCTCCGTACGGCAATCCCCGCTTGCTGCAGATGGTGCCGATTATGTTGTAATTGTACTATCAAGCATTGGTTAATGAAGTATCCTGATGCATTGACATTGGATCAGATAACTCCTAAGGAGGAAACGTGCAGTGTGTGATATGGTTGTGATGATGTTGTCCCTATTGGTGTGTTTGGCAGATAGGTTGAATGGCCATCTCGACTGGTAGCAGCTTGACGATGTTTCTGCCCGATCCTCGGAGGATATCGCGTCTAGAACACCATGTCCAGCGGTCTTTCTCTTCTCCTTTTACTTTAGAAATATCAGTAGACTTATTTTTCTATCTACTGCATTCATCTTTGCCCACTAATTTTACCTCAACAACCTCCAATGTCGCGGCATCCATCATGAATATACTTAATCTTACCCTAAAATCATCTTCTCGTATCAATTTGTGCTCGTTTGATTCGTATTGAACAATGAAAACCCAAGGATAGCACATATGAAGAATACGGATGACGACGTATTACCTGCACATTATCTCGTCTCCTCCTTATCATCTTGAAGCCGCAAAAAACTCCGGTCTCTCCACCCCCGGATGCAACACCTTGCATCTCGCCATTGGGTCCCTCAGAAGTGATCCATCACCATCGCCACCTCAGCTGCAGTGAACAAGAAAAAGCAAAAGCAACGTACGTGTACATCATGTCTCATATCAAGCCTCACCGCAACAGGCACCAGCAGCAGCAGCAGCAGCAGCAGCAACAACGACGACGAAAACAGCATCTCGTATAACCATCAAATGATCGTCTCCTCTCTCAATGCACATGCAATACAGACAGATTGATAAGCCGAGACAACATCGAGCCCATAGAAGACACGGCTCACATCTCAACTTCAGGTCTCAGTGCAAATTGCGCTCCCTTACATTGTACTAATAGCCAACACCACCCTCCCTTCTCTCCACATAGCCCATGTCTCTCTGTGCCGCTCTCCTTCTTTTCTTTTTCTCTCTATTCCAGCTCTTCCTTTCTTTTCTTTACGCTTCTGACGCATCGTGCAGCGACAGCGAGACACGATACGCTCTCAAGGGCTCATGATACATACGTGTACGAGTAATGTATCCCGGCTGCAACTCCCAGTGGTGACCAGCACGGCATATGGGTCTCTTCCGCCCAATAGCTTGCGAGGCCGCGTCTCATGTCACCTAATCTCGTACATAATGGAATTGTTTCTCGGGTTTCCTAGGCTAGCTCCCGCGGCCGATGGGGACGGGATGAGGCTCTCGCGGCGATCGATCTTAGCTGGTAGGAGAGATCCTCGCTTAGGTACGGAGGGGCTTGTTCGATGGTCCTCAGCTGCCTCGCTGTCCTCGCTCACGCAAAATTGGAGCTGTGAGAAACCCTTGCCGGCAGCTGAAGCTGTCATGTAAGTGAGCCTGCAAGTGAGCCTCTAAGCGAGCATGTAAGTCAGCTTGTAGGCTAAGGCAGCAACAGAGAGGCGGGCATCTGAATCGATGAATGGTCGTAAAATCCTGAGTGCTAGAAAGAAAGATCCGTCTATATAAGCACACCTTCCTCTCGTCATCATCCCAATGTTCTTTCCTCAACATCATTAATCCAACTTTAGTCGCTCCTTCTGCTTTCCCCCGCCCTCAGGGGCACCTTCCTCCTCGACTTAGGCGTCGTCAACCATTTTTCTTCCTCGCATCGGTTCAGCTGCTTTCCATCACAAAACTATCAATGCCGTGTCCGTTGCGAAGAAGCAAGACGCACAAGTCGAGGAGGAGGGTGCCCTTGAGGTGCTGCCGCTCATTACTCACGGGACATCGATCATGACCAGAATGCATCGAGTGAGTCTCTTGAAATTCCTCAACAGATCAAATCGTCTAACCAAGAGCTCGTCCGATTCAGGCCCGCTCCCCTTACAGATACATGCCCATTGCTATACTCACCAATATTCACTCATTTCAAGTATTGGGCATGTTGGAAACTTCAAAAAATAATTAAAAAAAAGAAGGCGTCAACCATCAGCAGCAACAACCTACTCAGGAAACCATCGAAAGGGTATTGAAAGGCATGTCCATCGTCAAATGTCAGGCCAACCCAACCGGCCCAGGCATTTACGGCAATACCAGCAAGCATGCGAACAACATATTGCAACATCCATTCTCGACTCCGCCATGAATGGATCGCTTTCCAGGAACACACGCGCTCGCAACATCGTTGTGTTGTCCTCCTGGAGGACGTTTGAAGCATGGGCCAAAGACTCGCCTTGAGAGGTGTTGGAAATGATGCATTTCCCCCTTCTGGACTTGGACTTGGCTATGTGCCCAATTTGCAATATGGGCCTTACCTTTTGGCTTTCACAGTTGTACAAATCTTGTTGCTCCAGAATAATGCTGCTCCTCGCTGCAGCTTCTGCTGAGAGTGGTCAAGCGCAACTCTGTTGAGCCTGGATTTGTACAGCTGGATGAACTGAGTCATCCATTGACGACCCGCCGTGCCTGGACGAAGGAGTTCAGCAGCACATAGAGAGGAGGAACGAAATCAGAGCGGGCAACTATAGAGCGGAGGATCTGGGAAATTGGTCAGAGCGGAGGAAATGGCAACAGGCAGGCAATATGGCCAGGCTGGAGGATACATGGGCTGAGAAGAATTGGAGGAAACAATCGGCATTCTGGTGGAGGTACTTCAACGAACTGCCGTGGATTGAATGTTATCCTGGGCCGCATGCGATCAGACAAGCTCGTTAAGGCTTAGGCAACATTTTATGGCATGCGGCCCAGGATAACACTCGATCCAGTCATGGGATCCCTTTGCGAGATACGGAATTCATGACAAAAGCCACGGACGGACGGGATTGGATGATGGGATTGCATTGGGCTGGATTCGGGATTGAGGGGACATCTAGAGGAAGCATCGGGAAGGATATTGGAGGAATTGCATGGACTGGGCGAGATGGAATGGGATGGGGTCGAATGGGTCGGAACAGCATGGAGCTGGGTAATAGAGCGGAGGATTGGGCAGTGGCACTGAGGGATGAATGGATGGATAATGGGATGAACGGCTGGAACTGGGATGGAACTGGGATGGAACTGGGATGGAACTGGGATGGAATTGGGATGGAACTGGGATGGAATTGGGATGGAACTGGGATGGAATTGGGTGGGAAATGGGATAATTGCTGGGGTGGATGACAAGATGGAAGGCTGGAAATAGGAAGGGAGCTGGACGAATACTGGGATGGATGGACTTGGGATGGAATTGGGAGGGGTGAGACGATGGAACTGGATGGATAATGGGAAGGGCCAAGAGGTGGAACATAATGGATTGGAAGAGCTGGAGATGGATAGGGAATTGGCTGGATAGGGAGCGGATGGTTGGAAGATGAGAAGGAAATGGATGGGATGCTGGAGTGGAGGATGGGAGGGCAGGGAGGCAGATGGGAGAGGAATGGATGGGAAATAGGATGGACATTCGGGCAGGAGAGCCCCCTTAGATAAGTCAGAAATGGAAATATCTATTTCGACATTCTGTGATTGAAGCCAACGTGACAAGAATGGCGTGAGTCAAATATAATACATCTGGTAGACGCTGGACATTGCTTCCTTTTCTCGCGTGTATGGTATCGGATTCAAGCTGCTTGCGTTACATGCTCAATAAACACATCATGCCTCTTGGCGATGACAAAGCGAAAAAGGTTATTGGAAATCACGCTGTCATATACTCATGATACATAAAACATCAGATCTGCAGAGTCAACGAATCCTCACCGAAACTGCCCCGGCCCCGGCCCAAAAGACTCTCCAGGAGCCACTGGGTTCAATCTGCACAAGCCAAAGAGGTCGCAGCCCTTGGTGATGACCGTGTTCCCCCACCAGTTGAGGTGGATCTCATTATACGTCAGGCCGAAGAACTGTATGAGGGCAGAAATGGCGAGACCGGTAGAGAGGCCAGCAGACAGGATATAGTTGTACTAGAGGAAGGCCATGGACGTTAGTAGATGCACAACAGGGCCTGAGATGACACTTAAAGACGTACCTTGGCCCAAAACGCCAGATAACGGACCTTGATCCAGAGCCAAGAAGCGCAGGCAATGGGCAAAGCGGGCCACAAGTAGGTAAGATTGAGCGGGTTCCAGAGGCAGCCTCCGTAGAGCAGAACAACGGGGTGGACGTTACGCAAGAGGGTATTTCGAGGAAACTTCTTGCCGAGGGCCCAGAAGACGAGGACGACGGCGATGCCAATGGGAAAGCCGGCTAGAGTGGCAGTATAAGTGCCGTCAGCCCCCCACAGCCGCCGGGGACCAACGGTGCCCCAGAGAACGGCGGCAGTGAAGAAGGAGTTTGCGGACGGGCAAGTGAAGGCATAGGGAGCACCCACCGGGGCGCAAACGTTTTCGAGGTTCATCTGGAACTGCAACACAGCAACGCAGATGACGGTGGAGAAGAGTGTGGGAATCATCTGGGCACAGAAGATGATGCGCGGTGGGATTTTGAGATAGTGGGCAATCTTGAGCTCGGCACTGAAGTGCAGGGCGTGAGAGCAGGTGATGTAGCCAAATGTCTTGAAGTAACACATGGCCAAGGCGTTTCCCTCAACCCAAGAACCGCCGATAAACTCGGCCAGGACGTTGAGAGATACCTCGATGCCCGTCATGGAGAGGATAATGCCCGTGGGCACAACAAAGATGAGGGCCAACGCAATGCCGAAGAAGACGACGCCGGGCGAGGTGTATGTTGGGTAGTGAGCCAAGGCAACACATCCAAGGACTATGCTCACGGCCAGAACTAACAGATACCACCACTCAGGTACTTCCTTATACGCCTTCATTAAGCGGTTGTGGACATCCAGAGCTTCGGCCTCGGCTATTTCCTTCTTCTTTGATGGACGGAAGCTATCAAATAACGAGGAGAAGCCGTGAAGGACGTCATGACGGTGGTAGAGGAAGCCGTAGGTGAGGGCTCCGGTATAGATGGTGAAGAAGCCGAAATTCGTGATTGTGTTGCCGGCAGAGATGTAGGGAGGTGAATAGGCATGGTACTTATCGGGGTCAAGAATGCCGCGGCTGTCGATGATGGAAGAGACGTTGTAAGCCTTGCCGAAGCGGTCAAAGAGCGTATTGGAAACGATGGGAAAGTGTGAGGTGTGAAAGCTGTCGGTGTAGTATATGGCCAGGATAACAAGGCCAAAGAAGAGACCTCCGCAGAAGAGGTTGATGGTGCTGAAGATGGGGGTGATGAGCGGCTCGATATCGGTGGTGAGAACGGCCCAGTCAAAGGTTGGGAAGGGGTTAAAGCCCAGTCCTGACGTGGACCCTGTGATGATGCCGACGGTCTTGCTCTGAGGCGCAATCCAAGTCATCCAGCTGAAGACGGACAGCCCTGTGAAGAGAAAACCAGGCACCCAGAACCAGCAAAACATGCCGATAAAGGCAAAGGCAAAGAACTTGAAGCGAGACATGGTCCACATCTTGTTGAAGGGGCCGGGAACGGTAGGGTTTTCGTCAGCATGAAATGCCGAATTGAGGGCGATGGTAACGAGGGTCAGGGGCCAGGCGCAGAAGGAAGGGTAAACGAGGAAGCGACGACAAAGGCCAGCTAAGCCATAGCCAATAAAGTTGGTAGACAGGGCGATGAGAAGCTGATAGCCCATACTCTTTGCCCACGCCTGATTAAAGAACCTGGGCAGGTACTGAATCCAGATGATGTTGTTCGTGTAAGGCTGACTGACAGAGATGGCGGACATGAGAGAGATGAGCATGTGCTCTTTCTTGTTAAAGGGGCCCGGGTTGAGGCTATGTCGAACGCCAAAGAGAGTAAAACCCCAATCGGGGAGAGCCTTTTCCATGAACTTGCCAATTGGATAAGCGAGCAGCTGGACAACGTTGCTGCCCACGGAAATTGCTGGCAGCCGGATGGCGAAGAAGGCGTTGATGAAGGCAACGCAGGCGGCGAAGATGATGCCCATAAACCAGGCACGGATCGTAGATACAGGGAGAGACGGGTCATCGTGGTTATCGACGATGGCCCGGACTGGGGCATATGGACTGTTGTTGATGATGAGTGCGGTTTCAATCTTCATCTCCTCGATAAGACCATGGTGCTTTTCGGGGTTGTCAAAGATGAACTCGTTGTCTTTGGCAAGTCAGCAAGGGAGGTTACACCAACTCTGATATTGACTCACCGAGAAAGTCTCCGATCCTGAGAAGCACGGCAGAAGGGAAATTGAGGTCATGTTTGTGACGATTGTGCACAATGATCAAGATCTATTTCGTGAGCTTAGAACGAATTCAGCTTATATGAAGAGAAGAGGATAACTAACCCTGCGCACATCTTCGAGGGAGTACGAAGCTGCCGTGTCTCTTGCCTCGAGCAAATCGTCTTCTGTGACGACGAGATCGCGGCCCACGGCGGCGATATTTGTGTCTTCAATTTCCGTCTGGCTGGTCTGAGCATCATCAACGGTGGCATCAAAGGGCTGTTGCTTGGAGTTGGAGTTAGCAAAAAGGTGATTTCCTTCCAATTCTCGCATGGAGTCTTGTATTATCCCGATTCTATGTAAAGCAACGTACTGATTTCTCATCAAAGACGCCCCCAGACGGCGGACGTTTGCTGCCCGACATGGTGGGTGAGAGGGTCAAGCTGGTGTGATATTGATGATATCCAGACAGGCGAAAGAGGTAACCAAGGAAAATGATATATAAGACACCATACACAAAACCACCAAAAGGGCAACAGAAAGGCTACAAATGAGGATGGATTCGATGAGGAGCAACAAAGAAAAGAGGAAGGAAAAAAAGTCAATTGCTGGTGGCGTCAATCAAGATGGAGCATGTCTCTCTTTTGTGAAACTGCAACACGGCGGAAGGCGCGCTTCTTCCTTCCTTACTTGCTTCAACTCTTATCGTATCAGATGCCGGATGGCGGGATGCTGGATGATATCATTAGACGTGACACGGAAGGAGCGTCTCACAAGGCTGAGGACATGATGCTTCAACGTGTAGCGATTTTCTATCTTCCATCTTCATCCAAAGATACAGCAACGAATGAAATAACTATTAATTCATAGTAGATAAGCAACTAGATGAGGTGTGGTTCGTTTACTTGAACAATGGTCTGGTCGGCTCTGCATAGATTAGTAGTAGATTAGCCTAGTAGATGCAGACACACACACCGGCAGATGCAGAAGCAGTTGCAGAAATGCTAAAAGAGGAAAACGGCACTGATTGACGCGAGGCGAACGTGAGTGGCCAGCGGCTGGCGGTGGTGCTGGCTAGTGTAGATGCCCTCTATTTCACAATAGAGTGAAAGCAGACGCCCCGTTGACGATGAACGGATAGAGAGCGCCTCTGCAAGCCTTGCTCTTCTAGCTGGTCCCTTGAAGATGAGGCGCGGTTACTGACAGCTCTTTAGTGGCCTTTCTGTCGAGATGTGTGAACATGTGATCACAATCGGCAGCTCTAGTCAGCCCTTTGTACGGCTCGACCAATGCAGCATCAAGGCATCTAATACCCAGTAAGCATCTCCCCTGCAGCCTCCGCACGGCAAGACGCATGTCAGGCTTCATCACCTTTTGACTCGCGTAATACAGCAAAGATCCCAGCCATCCGCCATCATGCTGAACCTGTCAACTCTAAACTTTGGTGCCGAAGTCTTGATTGATGTGGTAATCTCGTCTTCAAGGATGCCATGTGGCTCACGAGAGCAACATGACTCAGTTCCGGCAGTCGCTGATGAACTGAATGAAATCGAACCGGCCTTGAATCAAGAGCTTCAGCGCCACGTCTCAGTATCAAGCGCAGCCACCCGAAATAAGACTAAAAGGTCCTTGATCGCCCACCGTCATCGCGAGCTGTCGAAACCCAAACCGACAGCCATCAGCCTCCAGATCCAATGATTAGCGTGCTGACCACATCAAGACCTTGAAACAGATTCGAACCGTCCATCAGCTTTCGTAACTAACATCAAGCCAACTTCAACTTCTCCGCATCAGATGCTACGGAAGGGCTAGCTGCCGATTAGAGCCAACAGTCCTCCAACTTCACGATCGTGAACCCAGACTATCGTCTTCTCGAGCTAGTGGTCCTGCGTGTCTCCAGGAACTTCCGTGCCGTCCGGGTCGTCTCATGCGTAAAGAGACGATGATACGTAGCAGTAGTCTTCTGGGCCCATCCGAGAAGAAGCTCATGGCCGTTTGGCATGTCACTGAAATATCACTTGACGCAAGTAGCTGTATCGTGAGAGCATCGCTTGCCGATAGGCATATGCAGGAAGCCTCGAAGCTTCGCAGCCTCTTTCGTAGATTGCCATTTCTGGATAATGAAAACTGCAGCGGTCCGACTGCCGTCAGTTAGCTGCGTATCACTGCATCTTCATATCCGGAGCATCGGCATACGAGAAGCCACCTCGACGACCAATAGAGCCTGTTTGCATGCAGAGCAGCACATCAGTCGCATAGCTAGAGATTGAGAAACCCCCAAGTCGTCCTACAATCGTAAAGTCTCATGCAGCCTCAACCCCCACGCACCATCTCTCAGCAGATAGGACTGCCAGCATGATGATACTGCGAACTTCTCACGAGATGATAATTGGCACTCAAACATGGGTTAATTACCCATCCCCGCACTCAAAAGGGCCAAATTGAGTCAGAATCTGTCGTCACATCCCCTCTCGCTGAGCCGTTGTGAGGCTCTCGAAGCTCCGATCCCCTGGTCATTTATGCTCTTCATACTTCTCCAACCAAGGGGTGTGTGTTTCGGTGGAGTCGATCTCCTCGATCTCCTCAGATGCAAGAAAAGCCTCTTTTTCCTGGAGATCGGATTAGGTAAACTCGAAAGCCTTCATTCAGCTCGAAGATGAGAGGCTGAACCACAGCACGTGGCGTTGACGGCCCTCCCGAGCAGCTCTCCCGCGACGGTCTCTCGACGAAGACGACCGGCGCAGACCGGCTTGTGAAGTGGAGAAGTCGTTGACCATAGCTCGTCTCCCCGGACATCTGTAGCGGCTCTAGGTGCCCGCAAAGGGGGAAAGCGTCAAGCTGGAGCCGTGGTGGCTTGGGACGATGAGAGCGCCTGGGTTTCTCTGAGCTACGAGGAGGTAGCTTCGAAACGCCTCCTCATGTGAACCAACAACACAACACCAAGCCACCAACAAGGTGCGTCTGGGAGAAGCAGCCTCCTCTTGAAGTACCCTGTAATGACACTCCCCTTCAGTTGGAGTAGCGGCGAGGCTACTGCTAGTAGACGCCTAGTCGAAGGCACCTGTTTCAAGCCACAGAAGGCCGTCCATGAGGCTATTTTAGAAACAACGCGAACCGCCGTAGCTTCAAAGGTTGAGGCCTGCTTCGACATCTGGCCCAATCAGACGAACCTCGCAAGAAGCGACCAAGTCTCTCGCCCAATCATCAACCAGACTCAGCGGCTTCACCCTGACCGTGTTCATAGAGAGATGCTAATCTGCAGAGGATACAGACACCTCCCCCGACTGTGGCTTCTCGCAGCCACCATTCCTCGAACCCCCGCCATCTCCGGGTGTCGTACCCGCAGCAAGGCATGAGGGGTGTAGCGAAGCTGCTTCAAAGCTGTCTGTGCAAGCGGTTGAGCATCAAAGGACCCCTGACCATGGCAATTCGGACAAATTTCACAGATCTTGAAGAGTTGGGGAGGTGAATCTTGGTGTGGTGGCAGCAAGATAACGGTAGATAGATTGGCTAAAGAGGCTAATTATCCCTCATGCCAACGCTGATGCAAATATAGTATCAGCCAAGTCGTTCTTGGAAAGTGTTCTAGAACGGGTTCTTTGGCATGGCTCCCATCCACGAGCCATAGAGTAGAGAGAGAGGATATATGAGGGGAATTTTGCTGGTACCACTTCGCCGATCCATTCATGCCAAAGATAGGACATGTTGAGCGGCCGTTGGGCGCAGCCGGGAACCTTGAGAACCTCTTATCCAAAGAGAACACTTCCAGAGACAGGAAAGCACCATAGCGTGAGAACTTCGCAATCGTAACATCGATGCGGTTGGCTCTGGCCAACACATCATGGCGGTAATATCGCATGTAAACCTTAGTCGGGCAGGATTAGTTCCGTGGCTCTCCCCTTTTCAACCTCCCTTGACTGCGAGAATTTGGTGACATCTTTTGATCAAGTATTTGGCTTCGACCTCTTAATCTCTATCGGTGTTGCCATTAGAAGGCGGCAAAGGTCAGCGTCAAGTTCCTGAACGGTATCAACGCTCCAATCACCGCCGGCACATAATAGGCAGACCGGTTGATCAAGTCTCCAGTCAGCAGTCCGATTGATCCCGAATGCAATCTCGAATTCTCGCTTCCAAACACCTGATCGCCCGCCGGTCCCAACTCCATGCCGCCACGCACCAGCCTGGCTACCTCCTCTGGCTGGAAAAAGGCCGCCGTTCGAGCTCTTCCCATGCGTTCGACGTCCCTTGAGCTTCCAGCAACATCACTCGTTGCAATAGTGTCGATCGAACGACCTGCAGCAGACTCCTTCAAAGACTTTGATGATTCTGATACCGAGTCTGACCATGTCGTCTTCGCTCTGCCCAGCACAACGACCCAGGCAAACGTCTCCATGGAGCCTCCGCTGTCGTCCACGCCGCCCTCAATGCCAACCCAGTACTCTGCCTGGGGCTCTGCATCGCGGGCGTTTTGGGCTCGGTTTCTGGCGCCCTGCAGGGTTTCTCCATCCGTCATGGGCTGGTCAGCAACGCCGGAGGGGACGCTGAGACCAGTGAAGGAGAATTCTGCGGACGGAAACATGCCCTGAAAGGCCTCCCTTGCGGCTGAAATTTTGACGGGGTTGCGCGAGGCAACAACCACTCGGCTGACCTGGTCTGTCATGTCGGTCCTCTGTCTTGTTCCTGCTTCGTCCAATGCGATCCCACAAACTATCGTAGAGCTTGCAGTAAGATTTTGTAAGCAAGGCGAGTCTTTGGATGAGCGCGTTTGTTTGATTCAGTGAAGCCTTGTACGCGATCTGAACTGGCGAAACTGTTCGAGGATTCTAATATTACCAAGAATGGCGAACGAGCGCTTCGCATTTCGCAGCGTCGCACGGAACCGAATGAGTCTTACGCCGGCTGATGATCCCTGCTAGCCTGGAGATCGGGGGCGTGATCCCGGGCCGCCCCCTATCACCAATCCGATGGATTTCGGGTTTCGTCCCGGACCCCTACGCCGGGGCGAATAGAAGACGGCTGGCCCCAAAGCAGCAGGAGCAAAGACGAGGGCGAGCACAAAGTACACAGAAAGGATTGAGGATAAGGTAGGAAGATTCACGGCGGCGGTATAGCATCACTTTGCTCCGTCGCCAGCGACAGATAATCCACGCCCATGACGCCCTCATCAATCCCAGCATCGATGTCCAGGTTGTCTTCCTCCAGCAGGGGAATCTGCTGTCCCCAAACCAGCCCGTCCAAGTCCATGTTCCACGGCCAGTCTTGATCCAGCATGTTGACAATGTCGCCGGTGCTATATCCAGTCGAGCCCATGGTGTCTGTTCCGTCGTCGACCCCCCAGAACCCGCTCGCATCATCGCTTGGCGCCACCCCTTTAAGAGTGGCATCATGAGGATCGCAACCTTGTCCTGTGTTGGAAATCTTGGAACTGGCCTCGAGCAGGCGGCTGACAACATCTCGGCTACGGCGTGCTGTGAGAGACCAATCTTTCATGGCCTCGAACAGCTCCAGCGTCGACTCGATCTGGGCCCGCCACTCGACAACGGCCGGGCTATCGGGCTGCCATAAAATGCTGACCAGTGGTATCATGGCTGCTTGATACAAGAACCACACGGCGTTCCATCCAGACATCTGCTGACGCATCCACCCCTTGGAGACACTGTCCACCGTCTCTCGTGCGGCGCCCTGGCAAATCTCCACAGCGGCCACATCTTGCTCCGACATGGGCAACTGACCCTTGCTGGCCAGAGTAAGAAGAACAGGGCGGTAGAGCAGCATGCGCAAATTCCAGTACCGCCATATCATGACGCTTCGCGCAAGATGAAGTGGCTCTACACAGGGCTCCGTAGACTGGAGAAGCCAGGGGAGATTGTTGTGCCAGTCGACAAGAAGGCTGTCTAGATGATTTCGATCTTCATACTTGAGAAGAGGCGTGACTGCGAGCATGTCTTGAATCTTGGTCGCAATCTTGCAGAACTTGATGTTTTCGAGCAAAGGCATGATGCCTCCGAATTGTGCAGAGTCGTGCTCTTCCTGTGATGCGGAAAAATGAGTAAAAAGTTGTCAGACAGTCTCTAGCGGTAGGAAGAAATAGAGTGATGAGAGCAACTAGAAAGTTCCTGAAAGACCTACATTCTCTGTAACAAGCTCAGGGGGCTGAATGTTTATCGCCGGCCCCCATCGCCCAAACGAAGGGCGTCCCAGAGTCGTGGTGCCCCAAGTGTCGAGGCAGAACAACGTCCACCAGGTGCGTCTCCGTGCCTCAACAGCAGCAGGATCGGACTGTGACTCCTCCGGTGGTGGTTCGCGATGCAGGCCTAGGGCAGTGGCCATTCTGAGCGTGGCACCGACAATGGCGTTGGCCATGTTTGGGCGGTTGATGTAGTGCAGGTAGTAGCCCCCAAGAAGCCCCAGGGCATGGATGGTCTCGATGTGGCTGCTCCCAAACGCACTGAGATGGATATGCTCTATGGCTTGGTTGTAGTACTTGATGTGGCTCAAGTTGCTCGATGGCGTGGACATGACGCTGCTCGTGGCAAAGACCATGTTGAGCAGGGAGAGCCAGGGGGCATCGCATCGCCGGCCCTCGTTGTAATGCTTCCGGAAGGAAGCCTCATCCACCAAGGGGGTCAGGACGTGGACGCGTTTGAAGTAGGCATCGACAAGAGCCTGCCCCTTGTATGTCCACGGAATAGGAGACTGCTTCTTTGTGGACTTGATGGCTGCACGGAAAGGAGGAATCTTGCTGCGTGCGTTTTCGTCACCAGAGGCATCAGGAGACGATTGTGAGGCAAGCAACAGCTGTAACTGGGGTTGGATCTGAAGCATGACTGTCAAAGCGACTTTGACCGACGAGGCGCCGAGGTAGGAAGTAGCCTGTTTGTCCATGGTGAGAGACAGGGCGTTTACATCGTCAGCTTCGGCCGGCAACGGGTCCCGTTCTCTTCGCTCCTCATCCCACTGAGAGTTCTGAGCGGGCATCTGCTCGAGCTCCTTGGGGTGCTGCTGATCGTCATTGGGAGAGGGCGGGGCCGGCGACAGCTCAGCAGTTTCTTGCTGAGCCGGCTGATTTAGGAGGTCACAGAGCTCCTGGCGTGATAAGGATAGCAAGTGGGAGACGTCATGGTTGGGATAGAGACGCCGCAGCACGGAGCGGCACTCTTCGAGGCTCCGTGACAGCTCTTCTAGTGACCTGGCGTACAAGACGGGAAATGTTAGCCAAGAGAAACAATGAGTGAGATTAAAGAAGACTCTCAAGATGACATCATCACGGGTGATGGACTGACTTTCGGGACGGGACGAGGCGCTGGCGATGCTGCTCATACACGCACCGCCTCCGGGAGCGGCTGGACTGGCACCGGTTACACGGCTGCTTGCCGTCGCATCGGATCTTGCGGCGCTGGCACTCGAGACAGGCATGGAGGCTCTTTGCGGCTCTGCTGCCGGCCGCGTCCTGGGACCTGTTGCCGTCCGACGACGATTGGGGGGAGCGATCGACAGCCTTGCTCTGGACCCCCTGGACTAGCGAATGGATCTCCTCGTTAGCCAGATGGCACCGATTGGGAAAGCCAAGACGATTGCGTGAGATTTTGGAGAGTGACTTGAATCTTGGAGAGTGACTTGAGTGGCTTGGGAGCCGAGATGTGAAAACAAGGGGTGTGCTTTGCATGAGGTAAGATAGATAGACAAGGAGGCGAATAGATAGAGAGATAGATGGAGACTCCACCTACAGGTGTAGAACATGATGTCCGGAATGTGATATCTGTGTGACCAACTACCGTAGCAGCGGCCGTCGCACTGCGTCAAGTTATCAGAAGAAAAGGAGGAGAAAATGACCGATAAGAGAGTCAGTCATTAAAGTGACGCGTTCACTCGTGACCAGCAAAAGTGTGATGTAGGTATCAAGCAGAAGTTTGAAAAGGGGAACAAGTGCCGAGGTGGTGGTTTAGGTGCTAAGCTCCGCGTAGAAGGCAGGCGAGGTTACTCTGGATTAGATGCCATTACCTAACACTTGTGAAGATGAGGAAGGAGCTTGCTGACTATGTCGTATATCAATTATGTCTCAAATACTAGGTAGGGATGAGCTCACCAGCCCTACCTACTACTAAGCAAGTTAAAAGAAATTCAATTGAATTGCAGACGAATTAGTTAAAGTGGTGACGAGTTACATACAAGCAGCCGAGGATGAAAAACATCCTGTGATGGAGCCCTCCGGACCTCGTTCGTTTGACCGGCTCTCGCTCTGTGGTGGGGAAGCACAGAAAGAAATTGTGGGCGCTGAAGATGTCGGGCTTTGTTCCCCTTCCAAGCAAAGCCACACGCCAAACAAAAAATAACAGAAAATTAAAGAGAACTGAGGGAAAATCCGGGGTAAACTAACAAGAGGGAACCGCTAAAAAGAAGCGAATCCTACCATACCTTACCTTACGCCAAAAGAGAACCAGCAGTTTCTTCTTCTCCTTCGCACAGCACAACACAGCACAGCACAACACAGCACAGCACAGCACACACTCGAGCATCCCCTTGTAAACAAGAGCGTCGCAGTGCATATGCATCACACGCCTTTCCTCCCTCTTCTTCTTCATCTTGTCCTTCTTCTTCCCACATCCATCTCACACAAGAGCCAAATTAAAATCGAATCGGTGGTGCACACACACACAGCAAAGCTAAGCGAACAATGCACCATCACTCGCTTGTCTCTTCATTCCCCCCTCTCCCCAGGATTACCCCGTGGGCAGGTCTGGATGTCGGCCGGCGTACTAGTCCCTTTGTGGGAGGTTGGGCCGCTTGTGCGGGAGACGCGCTTCTCCGCGGTCAGGGAAGCTGGGGGCCTCTAGACGGTTCAGACGGACAGGGGGGAGAGGGGAAGTGGATAGTATCTATCTATGCAGTCTGGTGATTTGTATGAGATTTTACACCTTTTCATGTCAGGCATACATCATAAAGCACCATTGGCAAAGAACAGACGAGCAGTAATCAATAGTGCCCGTACGTACGAGAGCTGTGAAGAGCGGCATCAGGTTACGGTCGTCCACAGATTCTACTGGCACGGAGAATTAATCTGGTAGGCCATCGGAGTAATACAGAAAGCACCTAGCTGTCTGCTCGTCCGGGGCACCTGGAGTTGAGGTTATTAGACCACTACCAGTACTAGTGGGATGCCACTCCCGTTGGGTAGTAATCCTAGTAGTAATATGTACGAGCAACATATTTCCAAGTTGAGCCGGGTATGCTGGCAGAAGATGGACAGGGTAGCAAGCGTGCACAAGCATGTGAAGTAGGTAGCTTTTGGGTGTTAACGGTTGGTACGGTACATACGAGGATGAGGATGGGATGAGGTACACGCGCGGTTATGGGTGTATGACATCCGTACATTGTTTTCTGCTGCTGACCCCTCAGACCACATGATGGGGAGAGAACACACATCCGAGCATGGGTGAGACTAGCCGTAATACTCCGTAAATTGCCGCTATATTGGGGGTTGCTGCCAGATACCTAGATGGGCAATCAGTCCATATTGGCTGAATGCACGAGACACAACCACATACGTTCCGGAGTGGTGGGTGAGTGGCAAACAGGATCTCATGAGGAGCATGCAGACAGAGCATGGCAGCAGGCACTAAGCACAAAGAGGCACGCATCAATTGGGAGCGAGTTGTGTGGCAGTTGCAATATTCATGCTGCATTCTTGAGGCTCTCACCTCCTCTCTCTCCCCAATAGCTCACATCATTAAGTGGAAAAAAGAAGTAACAGTAGAAATAGCAACTAAGGTTGTGTCCTCCCAGAGAAAAGGCCGTGAAAGCAGAACATCAGCTCACAGCCCCAAGCCCTGCGCACAACTGCCCAAACATTTTTGGTTTTTTTGTAGTATAGGATCGTGATAGCAAGTAAAAGTCCTCGGCCTTATGCCTTCTCGATGTTGACAATGCCGCCATGGCTGTCCACGGCCACGGCCTTCTTCGCTGTCGACGCCTGGACCGGGTTCTTGGCCTCGAAGATTTCGTCAAGTTCTTCCAACTGTAGAGAAGACAATGGGTTAGGAACATGCCATGGAGTTGAAGGATTGAATTAGCAACACTTACAGTGCGTCCCTTGGTCTCAGGAATGAAAAAGTAGACCACAATGGTCTGGACGAGATCCCAGATGGTAAAGATGATGTACGTCTTCCAGCCAATCTTGTCCATGGACACGGGCCACGCAAACTGGTTCAGGAGACCGGCGGCGTTGGTGGCAAAGCTGGAAAAGGCCATGCCCTTGGCACGCATCTCAAAGGAGAGCACCTCGACGGGATACAGGGCCTGCAGAGGAGTGATGCCCACAGAGTACACGGCACCAAAGATGAAAATCATGGCCAGGGCGGCCTTGGACGCGCCGGGGTTGCTGTAGAGGGCATTGCCGCTAGCGTCGGTACCGATGTACGACTGTGCAAACTCGGCCGAGGCAACCGTCATGCCCAGCCAGACAACGGTGCAGGCAGCAAAGGAGAAGAGCAGCAGAGGGCGACGGCCCAGGCGGTCGACCAAGAAGGCACCCAGGATGGCCCAAGCAAACTGCTGGCAGTTGTTAATGAGCGTGATGTTGGCCTGCGCAATGGTGCCCGTGTAGCCGGCCGTGTCGAGGACAGAGCCGAGGAAGTAGGACAGGACGGCGTTGCCAGCCCACTGGCCGAAGATGGTGATGGTGACGTTGCACAGCAGACGGTAGACGGCGGCGCGCGAGCGGAAGAGCGCCCGGTAGTCCCACCAGCGCTTGTCGGCGCCGTCCATGTTGAGGAGCTGCTCGTACTCGAAGAGCTGGAGCTGGACCCAGACAGAGTCAGGGTTTCCGTTGCCGTGGTACTTGGTGAGCACGGCCTTGGCCTGCTCCTTCTTGTGGTGCACGTAGAGCCAGCGGGGGGACTCGGGCAGGAACATGCAGAACAGGATGATGATGCCGGAGAAGAGGGCCTGGAGCCAGGTGATGAGTCGCCAAGAGTAGTCGCCTCCGACGTTGAGTCCGCCGCGAGCTGCACCGGAAGAGATGATGGCGCCCGAGAACCACAGAGTGTTGTACATGGCTGGGGGAAGAAGAGAGTTAGCCAATGCCTTCGGTACGATTGCTGAGCGTCTTTTGAATATTGCTCTCTTCTACCCCTCTCATGAGAAGAAGAGGAGAGTCAACATGATACTTACCACCAACGCGTCCACGGTACGCAGGATGGTTAATCTCAACCACGTACATGGGACCGGCTGCCGCCGCAATGGACACGCCGAATCCAAGCAGGAAGCGGCCTCCCATAAACTGGCCCTGCGAGTTGGAGAGACCCTGGATGATGGTGCCGACGACAATGAGAATGGCACCCAACAGCATGCCAATTCGGCGGCCGAAGCCGTCAATGGCAGGGCCGACAAAGGGGAGGGCGACGACACCACCAATCTGGTACATGGAAGACACGATGCCGGCCCAGATGCCGTCGTTGCCAACCGTGTACTTGGCCTTGAACCAGGGGTTCTGCAGCAGGTTGTTGATGAGCGAGCCATCGTAGCCGTTCATGGTGCTGCAGAAGAAGGCAATGATGGAGAAGCTGTAGATGAGGATCTGAGCCGTGGTCCAGGCCTTGGGCGGCTCCTTCAGCATGGCCTCCTCAAAGGCCTCGTGTCCGGTCACGACCTTGGTCCTGATTTCTCCCTACACGAAGCAAACAACACAAAACGGCGTGAGCGGATAGACTCTCCCAAGCGAGGTGGCAAAAACAACAGAAGAGGGGGAGCAGAATTGCAATGGGGTGATTCGCCTTACATGGTCGAGCTCCTCGTGAGCGTGGATCTCTTCTTTTTCGCCCATTGTCATGGTGAATATCTAGCCTCTCGGCCAGAGATAACGCTTCAGTTGGGGAGGGAGCGCTTGAAGGAAAGCAATTCCTGCACAAAACCCCCTTTTCTGAGGTGAGGAAGAGTCGATGGGATTGCAGGTTGGGGTGAGAGAGAAGAGGAGGGAAAAGGTGAGGTAGCAATCTGGATGGCCAGGGGGGCTGCCGCTTTTATGTTATGTTGTGTCCTCGTTCCCTTGCCGCGTGTGATCCTTCCCAGGCGAATTGGACGAGTAACTATCGAAGAAACGGCCCTTGTCAATAGGGCCGAACAGGCAAGGCGTCGCTGGTACGAATGAAGGCCTGGCAGCATCAGTTGGTCAAGCCATCTGGGAGCTGAGTTTCGCCGGTGCAGATGAATACGGGCGGATTATTTGGCAGAGACGCTGGTAGGACTCGGGCAGGCAGGCCTCTGCCGCTTATACGGCTGTCCCCTTTCCATCCTTTCCACCGTTGCCCGCGCTGCATTTCTGCACTCACACGCGTACGGTGAAGCAGCTATTGGACGGCGGCGGCGTGCCGTGGCGTCGTCTTTTCGGCCCTGGCCACAATGCGGGGGACCAGGCCCCCCAAACCAGATACAGCCGCGGAGGATTGTGGTCCGCCTGCTGGCCGGGCATAGTTTGGGGATAGCTCTGGCCTGAGCCTGGCGCTTCGTCTGGACAGCCGGATCCAGTGAATAGAGATTAGCCTAAGTGGTGCGGATCATCCGCCTCTGGGGAATCTGGAGGTGTCGAGCTTGACGATTGGGCCGAGGCCACGCGACGAACGGAGAAATCCTACATGGCCTTTCTGCTTCTGGCTGGCGCGGGGGAGGAGGGCACGAGATGACACGATGCAGAGGCTGGCGAGTTATTGGATGCTTGGTGGTGGTGGTGGTGGTTGGTTGGTGTTTCGCCCTGGTTGCATGTCAGACGGCGAACATATGAAGGAAGCTGACTGGAGGGGGAAGTGATAACGTGACGGGAGGTGAACGGTGAGCAAGAAGAAACTTGTAGAATAACGGTAAACTCACTGCTGCTGAGGTTGGCTGGCTGGTGGCGAGACGAAGAAGCCCTCCATGGCATGATGGTGAACTGGTGATTCCAAAGTCCGGAGGTGATGGAGAGATGAAAGTGAAGTGGAGGCTGCAGGCCTTCAGGTACAGAGCAAGACTCACGAGGTTGCTGCGGAGTAAGTGAGTAGGTGCAGTACAGGTACAGCCTTGCATACCGGTTCGGCTAACAGGATCGGATGATTCATCAATCAGCCGGCACATCTTCAAGTGAGTATGGGGAAAGAGCAACTGCGAAGCTGAATAAATTGGTGCCAATGGCTGAGGCAAGGCAAGACCACGCAGCTGTGATCCGAAGCTGGAAGCCATTAGACTAGAGGTGGCACATGCAAGACAATGGCGTCTGCTTTGCTAGGGAAGCGTCAATACTAAATGTATCCGTACATACTATCTAGTCTATACTCCGAACCTTGTCAAATATCCATTTACCCATTCAGGGACGCTGCCGGATCTCGGGCACCAGCAATTGGCCCAAGAGGGAGAGAAAACCCGCCTGGCGCCAACTTAACTTTACAGTTCTCGTAACGGTTTAGTCGGGCCTTTGTGAAAAACCACCAGTTCTAGGGTAGCAAGGTAGGCCAGCATCTAGTGATTTGCTGACGCAAAGTGAGAAGCAGTTGATACAATGCGGAGTAAAGGCAAGTGTTGCTACCAAACGGGTATCATGCTGAGAGATTCTCCGAATGTCCTTCATCTGTTGAACTAGCAGTTGATTGCAGCTAACACGCGTGCTGGGGACATGACCAATCGTATCTGGTTCTATGGTCTCCTATGCAAGGTGTCATTTGAGCTACCTTGCACATGCCATTCTCTCGTTGTTTGGATCTTTCTGTAGCAATTTTTGTCTCTACCATGCCACTGTATCCTCATCTTCTCTTCCAATTCCCTTACAATCCAACTGCCTTGACACTCAGATCCCACAGCTTGTCCGCCTCGATATTGCTAATGGCATGAGGATGGACCGGGTCGACATAGTAATCGGCCACCCGGGCCTTTTCCAGCAGATACTTGCCATTGTGGTCTAATCAAAGCAGAAGAACAATTATTAGCAAAATGCGTGCCCACCTTTACCGATGAAGACAGAGAGACATAAACATACCCTTGAGGACGGGATCGAAAGACGCAAAGATGTGAGTGGCCACCCCTTGATCATGCGTAAGCATCTCCTTTTCCATCCAACCAAACGGCGACGCAGTCAACCGAGAAACTCGATCTGCAGAGCAAGTGAACAAGCGTGTGTTAGCAATGACAACCTCCAGCAGTTTACATGATGTGCTGACGATCAAACTTACCCAGCTTGTCGATATCTCCTCCAGGGGCAAAGTCCAAGTGTCCCGCAAGGTTCGTCAGAATCGATCCGGGATTCAAGCTGTACGCCAGCATGCCGCGGTCGCCAAACTTGTTCGCCAGACCGAGGGAAAAGAGGACGTTGGCCGTCTTGGACTGGCCATATGCGTTCCACTTCTCGTACGTCTCGCCGCCCTATAGTCCGATCAACCCTCGGTCAGTCATCCGTGACACGCACGATGATAAAGAAACAAACAAGAGGAAGGAGATGACTTTGTCTGCTGCACTTACATCATAGTTGAGGTCGGCGTAGCGGATGGCGCTGAACCAGTGCCCGCCGCTGCTGACATTGACCACGCGCTTGTCAGTCGAAGCCAGCAGCTTGTCAAAGATCAAGTTGGTAAAAAGGAAGTGGCTCAAGTGGTTGCACGTGAGATGGCTTTCGTATCCGTCCTCGCAGATCTTGTACGGCACCGCCATGATGCCGGCGTTGTTCATCAGCACGTCGATGGCGGGCACGTCGTCCCAAGAGTTGACCTCGGCAGCGGCTTTTCGCACGGCAGCAAAGGAGTTGAGGTCGAGTTGGACCACTCTTGTCTGGACATCGGGGTGCGCCTTGTTGACCTTCTCGGCCGTCTGATTTACTTTCGTCAGGTCTCGGCCGGCGAGAATCAGGAGCTTGGGCTGTCCGGCGGCGATGGTCTCGACGTAGTGGGCGCCGAGGCTGTTGGGCGAGACGCCGGTGGTCAGGATGGTCTTGCCCTTGATTAAGGGGGCGTATTCGGCGACCAGCTCGGTGCCGGTGATTTCGTTCTTGTACGGGTAAGGCATGCTTAATTTTTGTCGAGGCTCTTCTTGCCAAGAAACAGAGAGGCTTGGTGGTAGAGGGGAAGAAGTGAGAAACTTGGTAATGACAAAGATTGCTAAACGAAGATAGATGCTATGACAGTGCTAACAAGCCGAAGAAGAGAGAGGAAGTGTGTAAGGATGTCTCCGAGTCTGAAGAGAGGAGGACGAAGCAAGCTTGAACCTTTATACAACCACGATAACTCCATTCTGGAAGAGCGTATCTCCGCAACTGATGGCCACCTTCAACTCTCCACCTATTTTCACCATATTGCCTCTCTGTCCTCACTGACTTGTTTATCCAATACCATTTGCATACCGCATACCCTCTAGCTTTTACAACTACTCTCTTGGGAATGTACACTCTTCTCTCCACCTTAGCCCTGTAAGAAGTGGCAAAGCGAATTTGCTAATTGAAGAGTAAACACCATAGGGGTTTGGTCATTAAGACCGAACCCGTTCCTTGGACAGCAAAAGGCCCCCTCAGCGCCAGCCATCTGGTTGGCTGTCTACACTTTCCTAAAGCGGTAAATCACCTCCTCACCCTATGAGCGACGGCCGTCCTTTAGACCCCAGATAATCCAGAAAATCGGATCTCGCAACGGCTTCCTGCGCGCCCAGTGCCTAGCGCACGTCAAAGTGGCGCCTGGCGCTTATTCTCGACGAGGCGTAAGCACAGGCGAGCCTCTCGACAAGGTGTACATAAGCAGAGGCAACTTTTGTTCAACTTCATCTCTACGACTTCATGATTTCACACTGGGGTTTGCCTCCCGGTGTTCGTGGTTTCGTGGTCAGCAAAATGCGTGCTATACGGATTTGGAAAATGCTCGTTCTTCTTCATAAGGTGGCGTACTCTGATTGTGACGTCGAAAACAGATACACGTACTCTCTCTCACTGAGTCTCGTTTTGAGTTACCTTCGGCCAGAGCTCTTATGTTGTCACGAGGCGAGTCACATCGATTTAACAATCTGATTATCCCGTTAAAGTTGCATGGCTTTGAGCTTGTCATTCACATTAGGTAGACTATTGCATTGAGTCCGTCCCCCATCTAGCCCAGCATGAGATGACCGTAAGATGGCTGGTGATGCTTCCAATTCCATGACGGTCTACCTAGTCGAAGGCGAGTAGATTCACGCCAATTTCGTGGCTAATCGAGACTGAATATGATGGCAAACCAAGTGAGAGATGGTTGGCAATGACGTGGCAGTGACAATCATTGAGACAATCATTAAGACAATCATTATCATATGGCAGCCGTATGGCATCGCAGTATGGGATAGAGACCCTCTCCGGAAAGCCACACGGCAGGTAGAGGAAAACAAGAGACAAAAGGAAAGAAGAGACCTTTCGCGATCGCATCTCGAATCATGGCCCGCCGCCGGCAACCTCATCGCGACCAGGAGAAAGCAGGAAGAGAAACGAACCAGACTCGAACAAAAGCCGTAAACAAAGAATCCGTATAACAAGTTGGTATCCGACAAGGTACATTGTTCATATCAAACTCCAAATATGCCCCAGCCTCGACGCTGCCTGCCCCTTCGGCAAAGCACAGGACCGTTTTCATCTCTTTTCCATTTCAGTGAAAAATTGCCTTCTAACCGCCCCGAATGCCCTTTGCCTATTTTTATCCCTTTTCTCTCTCTTATTCTGCGCACTTGTCCCAAGCGACATCTTCCCCTGTGTGTTCCACGCAGATGCGTCATGCTCATAGATTTCCGTGAACGATTGGTGCCTGCTTGTCGAAGAAGTCGAAAGAGTAAAAGATTGCAACTCAAACTCGCATGCTGTTTTCGTTACTCGTTATTCATGTCAGATGTATTCTGAACGCGCTCTTCATCTTCGTATTCGCTCCATGTAGAGTATTTCTGATCCATCTACTCCTCTTCCTCCTCGATGGGCGCCGGGGTGCGACGCTCAACACGCCTCTTGGGTCGCCTATGCCGGCTGCTACTAATGTTGCTGGCCGAGTCATCGGGATAAAGGTCGTATTCTTCCATCTGCCAGTCATCGTCACTGGCATTCTCGGCATCGCTTCCGGCCCACGCGGGTCGCTCGTAGCCCGAGTTTTGGGAGTTGCCCGAACCTGGGATCGAGAGCACGTCGATGCGTCGTCGGTTCTGGAGATTCTGCATAAGCCCAGCGCCGCGCTGTCGCAGGGCCGTCCGGACCGTCTCCGCCTGGTGGTGCAGCTTCTCAAATGCATCCTCCAGCGCCTCCATGCCCTGGTAGATCTCGCGCTCAATCTCGGCAATGGCCGCCATCTCCATCTCTTCGTCGTTGGACACAGGAGGCCGGCTGCCGCCCACACCCGTAGACGTAAGGCTGATGAAGGACGCCGGAGTGGCGCCGCGCGAATACGGGGAAAAAGGCGTGGTGGTTCGCGATCCCATGGCCGAAGGGCCTCGGAATGGTGTCGGGCCCCTCGACTCGACTCCGCCAAAGTCGTCACCATCAGCGCCGGACCACAGGAATCCGTCAAAGCGACCGGATGTCAGTATCTCCCATTCCTGAGTCTTAATGTTGGACAAGGTGACGAGCAGGTCGTGGGTATGGGGATTCTTGATGAGATAAGTCGCGCTCTCCGCGTCTCGAGGTACTTGTTGAAGGCGGTACAGCCGCTGCAGTGAGAGACCCGTCTTGACGATGAAGTCGTTGCGCGGTCGGTTTAGAGGAGTCGGGGCGCGAGTTGCCGGCCTCAGCTCCTTTGATCCGGCGAGGAGGGCGTTGAAGAAGGGCCGGTCTGCGGGATCGAGGTTGGTCAGGATGGCGAAGCTCAGCGTCTCGTCGTCAACCTCTTGGGGCGGCGGCACAGGTGTCTCGGCCGTGCTGTTCAGCCACCTGTCGACGGCGGATCGGACCTTTTTCGACTGTCGCAGGTAATGCTCTCTGAACTCCTCGGCAATATCAGGATCCAGCTGGATGGGGGAATCAGGCCTCGGTGGCATCTCGCCAGAGACCTCGGCCGCCTTGGTGCCAATGTCTGCCAAGTCAAAGGGCGGCCACGATGGGAGCTCAATGCGGCCGCTGACCCATTCGAGAACGTCTCCCCAGTTGAGGCCACGATGCGGTTCGTTGGACTTCTCGCAGATGATGCAGGAGCAGCCGTGAGGCGGCAGATCTCGAGAAAAGACGTTCTCGAGCCGGTCGAGCAGGCGGCGAGCGACTGACCGATGGCCGGTGGCCACTGCAACGGAGCCCTGCTTGGAGAGAACGGTTTGATACTGGTTTAGAAGGTTGACAAACGGCGTAAACAGTGACTCGGCGCCACCGAGGGCGGTATCGGAAGGCCTCGAGGTGCCGTTGACAAGGGGCAGCACCGAGAGAAAGTGCCTTGTAACTGGTTGGGGGAGGCCGCCGTTTTGCAGCAGATAATCGACCCTGGGGACCTCGAGGACGTCGACAGCCGGGGGCGGAGGCGGAGGCGGCGGAGGGATAGGAGGCGGAGGATGCGTGGGCGCCTTCATGGCGGGCGTGGCGGTGCCCGAGTTGATGGTGGACGCATAGTCGTCACCGTCAATGCCAGAGGCGGGGGTGCGAGATCGCTTCGAGTCGGCGTAGAGATGGGGAGAGAACTGATGGGCTTGGGTGGGCGTTTTGGGGGATGAGTCCTGGGCGCTGGATGGAGAGGAGTCGACATGCAGCGGCTCCGGTTTGCTTTTCCTGACGCTGCGAGTCGACGAGGACCGCTTTGTGGTGTGGCGCGAGGCGGAGCTCGAGGAGCGGGAAAGCACAGAGGACCGCAGCTTGTCGTGTATCTTGTTGGTGGGCGAGCGTATCAGGGTGGCCGCGCTGGTCGATGAGCGGCGGCTGAGCTTTGAGGACTTCTCGTCGGCAGCACGCGAGGCTGACCGCGAAGGCGTCGACTTGTGTCCGCGCTCCAGGTCCTCGGCACGCTTCTTGGCGTTAGAGACGTCTGTTTCGGGGGGCGTTGGCGGTCGGGAAGCCTTCTTCGAGCCCGATCGACGGAGGTCCTCGCTGGCCCTCGATCGACGCTCGTCTCCAGCGCCAGCACCTCCAGCGCCACCGCCAACGTCGGTGGGCTCAGGCGTCAACGGGTTGGAGGCTTTGGATTGAGATGTCGGAATGGCAAGCTCCTCGCGGCTGACGATGGACTCTTTGCTGTGCGCCTTGTCAAAGGACGGGTAGGGCAGCGAGATGCGGTCCTTGTCGATGGACAGCCTGGACATTTCGTCGACGCCCAGGTCGGACATGGAGGCCGGGCGCGGAGGGAGCTTGTCCTTTTCCCTATCTCTGTCTCTGTCCCTCTCGCGATCCCGATCCCGATCTCGGTCCCGGTCCCTGTCGTCTCTCTTGCGGTGTCGCCTGGTGGACGAGGTGAGGGAATGGGTGTCGCTGGAGCTGCGAGCGGATTTCGAAGAGCGGTGGGGGCGGTCATGATCAGGCTTCCGCTCAGACTTTGAGCGGCGGGCCTTGTCGCGCATTCGGTCGTCGACATTGACGTCGGCGTCACGTTCCTTGGACGGCATTTCGAATCACCATCGGGGGCTGGCGGATGGTTTGCCGGTGATGATGCTGGCTGCAGTTGCGGTCGCAGTTGCGGAGGCTGCGAGGCGAGGCAGAGAGATGGAGATTTTGATGGAGATGGAGACTCTGAGCAGGGGTTTCGATTTCTGGCCCTTTTTTTTCTGCTTGGCTTGGGTTGAAGGTGGAGGAAGGGCGAGAGGATTCGGCAGCTGGGATAGGGCGAGAAAACAAATGGGTAAAACCAAAGCGGCGAGCTGCAGGCGGGCGATAAGATGGGACGACTGAGGAGAATGAAAAGATGAGATTTGACGATGATGATGCAAGTCTACTGCAGCGTTAGAGGAGAGAGAAGAACGGTTGGTGAGGGGACGGTGAGGGAAAGGGATTGGATGGCTGGATCAGGTCGAAGTCGAAATACGATCCATTGATGCCGAAAGCTGTCGAAGGTGCTTCAGCAGCTCTCGGGCAGCGACGACCCCTACTGAGGTGCCTGTAAACTGGGGAATGGGTGCGCGCAGGTACCGGTACGGAGGCCGGGGGTACCTGTCAGGTGGCACGGCCAGCGGTAACGGGCATCTGCAGTGCTGCATCTAATGGGGGCTCAATTGGCTCAGGTGCCTGTAGGCGATTCTCGCAGCTGATGGTGGAGCTGAGGGCGATGTGACGAGTTCTTGGGGAGGATACAGGGAGAACAAGTATCGCTACTTGGAAGGGATGGTGACGACTTGTGGGTCGGTGAAGCAGTTGAAGTGGGCAGACCATCTTTCGGCGGCAATTAATATGGCCTCGAGGTGCATTTTGAGGGAGATTCCTGCTGTGAAGGGAAATGTCGTGAGTTGAATAGAATAGATACTACGAGTACTTCATGTACAGGAGCGTCTATGAATAGATTCGTCACATTTGTTGCATGCCGTGAAGCAAGTAAACTTCTGTTGGTCTCACAAGGGTGAATTTACAGGTCTCGGAGCTCCTGATGTCACAGCAGGCGCTAAAAGAATCGAACAAAGAGAGATGACGAGTACCTTACCTTAAGGTACCTTCAAGTATGTGAAGAAGAGATCCCAAATGGGAAGATTGTATCAAACCTCAAAGAACAACGCAAGTTGGAATATTGAGAGGCAAATCTTCATCAGACTGCACGAAAGAGGGCCATCACACATGACCATCCGTCCCTGAGCGCAGTTCGACACGAATCAACGCCCAACGGTGGCCCGACGCTGCTGTGATGCGCCATCAACGCCATCCCGAGCCTGTGACTGGCTCTTCTTGGACGCCTAACCTATGGGAATGAAGCGGCCCGCCAACTCGTGCCTCCGTTAGCGCTTTGAGCTCATCTTCACGAAGCTCAATCCCCTCCAAGTTCTTTCTCTTAGCGCACAAATTCGAACCTGAAGGGTTCTGGTGGTGGAAAAACGGCGCCAAGGTTCAGCCTTTGCTGTGCTGTGCCCTCTCATGAGCTGCCTGTGCCAAATATTTGGTCCAATGGGAGGGGGACAGCGATTGGTTGCACTGCACTGCCTTTCTCGTGTCTACAGAAGGTACGTGTAATAATAACTCTGCGCCTCCTCCTGACGTGGCATCGGGATTCCTCGTTTCTTTCTGAATGGCTGGATTGGACCCAAGCTGCTTGGTTACTCACTGCCACTTGCTCTTGGAAGCTATCAGTCCCAATTAGAACAATGAGACGCGGACCAACGTTGTTCCATCCCCGCCGAGCTCTGAATCACGCACAGTATTGAACCTCGCCGCACGATTGATCATCACACTGTACGACCAACACCAAGGTGCATCATCACATTAGCCGTCCTTATTATCTCGCAGCAAAATGCAACAGTGTCGCCCGTCCGGCCAGACTCCGCGATCCAATGATGCCCGATGCTCTCACAGAAACTGTGGAGAAGCAGTCGCAACATCGTCCTTGATAGGCAAGAAACCATGGCCTGCGTGTGTCAACTCACATGTAAGGTTGTAAACGAGGCTGCCGGCATCACAGGTCTTGTCCAATAGCAGGAGGATCAGTACACACTCCCACGGCTCATTCGAATACCCCATCAAATCAAAAGACGCTCTTCTGCAAGTGTTTTGCATTATCACAGCACCGGAAATGCAACAAAATGCTCCGCTCGTGACGCAACGGCAGCTTTCACTTGGACTCAGGACTGATATCAGATGATCTATGATCGCTTGCCTCCTTCTGATCCCGTCTCCTTTCGTCTATATAAACCCGTCTATCCTCCCCGTGTCCCCATCGACTGTCTCTTCTTCCTCTCCAGTCTTTTCAAACAAGTCAATCCTCAGTCTTTACCTGTTTCCCTCGCACTCTCCCCAAAAGAGGCCGACCCTCTCAACACACATGGCCTTCAACTCGCCCTCAAATGGACCCTGAACCTGCCTCCCCTTTATATATGAACATAAACAGCAGAAAACTGGCCAAAGCAACGACTGCTCTGTGTCGAAAGCTCACTGCCAATAGGTGTTAGAATGAAGACGTCGTAGATCCCGATCTCCCGAGGACTACCGTTTATCTGATCGATGCCGTCCTGCTTCGTGACGAGTCCAAAAGGGGCTTGATACGCTGTGGCATGGCGTCGATCAGAAAAACGGTAGTTCTCGAGGTATCGGTGGTCTACCGTCTGATACAGCACAAATCATTTCTTTTTGCCTCATCAGAGTTGAGGGGATTGGGCATCTTGGGAGTACCCAGCCATCATATAAGGACCTGAGATGAGCTGAGCTGGTGGCCGTGTGTGGACGGTTGTGGTTGGCATCGGGTCAGACGAGGCCGTGGATATGGTGAGATACAGATTGGGAGGATGGGATACCATCTGTAGTGTGTTTAATAGCTTATAAATAGGCATGTTCTGTATACCGTGTCTTCTCCCCCGTAGTCTTCCCTCCTACTGCTCCTATAGTAAAGCCCAGCAGCTTACACGTACTCGATGATTGCATACATGTACTTAACACGAGGGCACGACGTGACTAATTTATAGCTTGTAGACGTTGTAATCTATTGTATCCATCCATTCTAAATCGATGCCACTTGACCAGATGCTTTTCAGAGGAAAACTGTGTATATCCAAACGCCAACTCTTTATCCCTTTCAGCCCACACAGAGTATATCTATGCACGTATACTATAAAATGGGACAGGAGAACAAAGCCAAAGTAAATGCAAAAAAAATTTAAAAAAATAAAGAAAGATTCAATAAGCAAAGACGACGGCTCGCTCACAGTCGGTCCAGCAGGCCCTTGCTCTCAAGGAGCAGAATAATCTCGTGAACAATCGAGCGGACGTTTTGCTTGGTCAGGTCGACGGTCAGGTCGGCCTTCTCGGGGACCTCGTACGGGTCGTCGACACCGGTGAAACCCTTGATCTCCCCGGCGCGGGCCTTCTTGTAGATGCCCTTTCGGTCCGTCTTCTCGCAGTACTCGAGCGGCGTCGCAACGTGGACCAGGAAGAAGGGGCCCGACTTCTCAATCAGCTCGCGGGCGTGTTTACGGTCGGCCTCGTACGGTCCGATGGGGGCGGCGATGACGGCGGCTCCGGCCTTGGTCAGCTCTGAGGCGACAAAGGCGATGCGTGCAATGTTGAGACTCCGGTCCTGACGGCTGAAGCCCAGCTCCGACGACAGCTCGGCACGCACCGTCTCGCCCAGCAGCATGGAGACGGGTCGGCCGCCGCCCTGGTTGAGCGTGGCCTGCAGAGCGCGCGCAATCTGGTCCTTGCCGCTGTTCTGGTAACCGGTCAGGAAGACGGTGAAGCCCTTTTCGCGCGGCAGCGGGTTCTGCTCGCGAAGCACCTTGACGACCTCGGGGTAGGAGAACCACTCGGGGATCTCCTTGCCGGTCCGCAGCCGGTTTCGCAGCTCCGTGCCCGAGATGTTCATGGTACGCGTGCCCTCGGGGATCTCGTTGGCCGGCAGATACTCGTCGCGGTCCGGGATGTAAATCATCTCCTGGAACTCGACCATCTTGATGCCCAGCTCCTCCTGGTGCTCTTGGACGAGCAGCTGCGCGTCGTACGGGCCGTAGTGGTCCTTGCCGTTCTTGTTCTTGCCGGGTCCGGCGTGGTCACGGCCGACGATGAAGTGCGTGGCGCCGTGGTTCTTGCGGATGATGGCGTGCCAGAGCGCCTCTCGAGGGCCTCCCATTCGCATGGCCAGGGGCAGCAGGGCGAGCGCGGCCATGCCGTTCGGGTAGCGAGGCAGCAGAGCGCGGTACACGCGGACTCGAGTGAAGTGGTCGATGTCGCCGGGCTTGGTGAGGCCAACGACGGGGTGGATAAGCACGTTTGCCTGCTGGGAGCGAGCGGCGCGGACCGTCAGCTCGCGGTGAGCGCGGTGCATCGGGTTTCGCGTCTGGAAGGCCACGACCTTTTGCCAGCCGAGCTTGTTGAAGTGGGATCGCAGCTCTGCAGGAGTGACTGTCGATTCGCGCTGTTAGAAATGCTGTGACATATCCTTCTTGTCGGGATTTCACTTACAGCGCAGATCGAGGAAATCGTAGTGCTCCAGACGGTTGATGGCCTCGAGCTTTCCGCCAACGTAAAAGTCCTTGGCCACGCTCAAGAGGTGCTTGACGCCGGGATGCGTGTCATCGTCGCTGCCAAAGACCAGCTTGGCCTCCTGAACCCTGGATTGCGCACGCAATTTAGCATACGATTCTTCTGAATCAGGACCCAAGGCCGTTGCTATTCTTACTTGTCTGGCCTGTACACATCCTCGACTGTCAGGATGGCGAGATTCCGGTCGTCTCGAAAGTCACGCAGCGTGAGTCTTGCGCCGGGCTTGATGGACAGCTCATCGATCTGTGCCTGGTCTACATCGAGGGTAATAGGCATGCTGAAGAGCAGGCCGCTCTCGAGCCGGTTCTCCTTGACCACTCTGGCAATGCGCGTGTTAGCTGACACCAGTTCCCATGCTCTTCTGATAGTTTCTGCTCGACTTACCGGTTGTAATCATTTTCAGTCATGAAGCCTGGACGTAAACCCCAGCGTTAGCATTTCGTCGAGACATACTGGACGGAGATATTTGGGCGACAATGCTCCCCGCTCGGCTTCAGACGCGGGGCAGCAGAATCGTGGCTTGTGCCCCCCTCAACAAATTCCCGAAGTAAACACTGCGGCAACTTACCCTCGAGAGGCGAGAAACCGCCATTGAGGATCAGCTCCAAGTCGCACAGGTGGCGCTCAGACAGAACCAGCGCAGGGAGAGTCTCGGATTCCTCCAGCAGCTCGGCCTGGCGAGGCAGATCGCGCGCAAAGAGGTCCTTGAGGACGCCGCCGTGGGGAGCGTTGGCCATGATGACGATGGCGGGGTACTGAAGAGAGAGAGACGGTCTACGTGCGATCTCGTTCGAGGATGGTGTCAATGGCACGGCAAGTCACGCAAGAGGCTCCAACGAGGGGACCGGAGAAGATGATGGCAAACAAGCAAGCCAAAGGGTATAACGGGAGACAACGACAGAGTGAGGAATCAAGAAGTGAGAGAAGGAGAGGGGAGGAACGAAGGCTTAAGATGGGGGAGTGGTCCGAATACCGGGCTATAAATACGACGAGTCTTCTTGGGGCCACGCCGGAGATGCTAGAACGGAACAGTCGACGAGTACACCATCAAAAAGAGAAGAGGCACTTCTTCCTCGGGCGAATCATGGATCGAACTGGATGATCCGTAAGCAGCCTCCCCTGGTGGAAGGGGAAAAGAGCCGCTTTTCTCGTCTTCATAACACACCCCACCGAAGGGTTGGAAATCCAATCCGTTCTGCTTGGTGAGGATGGAGGCTGGATGGCCTGGATGGAATTGCGATACGCAGTCGCACACATGCAAAACCGCTGCTCCACAGGCATCAACAAGGGCCTCGCCATCTCCACCAAATCCAGGGAATGGCGGCATTTGGCTCAAGATATTGGCGATGACGTGCTCGAGGCGCGATGCTCCGAGTCCCGCATGGCTTGAGGGACGAGGCCAATCATGGACGCTGATTTCGAGCTGCGAGGCACGGCGAGAGGAACGACGCCTGGGGGGCTTTCTCCCTTGCTGGATTAGCCGCAATTGCGAAATCTCGGGCCATCGGGGTTGGTGGAAGTCGGTGCTTCTGACGTGGAGAAAGTTTTTCTCTTCTTCTCTCGTCCCTGTCAGAATACTTTGCCAAGTCTGCTCTCCTTCTTTGATGTTTGAGTGATGCTACCGGGATTCCTTTCCCTCCGTTTCAAGTGTATCGGTGTCCGCGTAATCCCATTGCTGATCATCGTTGCTGCCGCGTATGTACAGTATGGACAACTTCAGGCTGGAAATTAGCAGAGCAACGGATCGTCAGGGTGAAGAACGACAAGCCTGGCCAGGCTTCAGATCATCATCCAGAGCAAAAAAGATGGACACACCTCCCGAACTAGCCAACGGCCTAATTCCCTAGTGTCTCCATCACGGGGCCCCCACGGCTTCGGACCATCGCTCTCTCTTGCAACGTTGATGTGGGATTCCTGCCAATCTCACCACCTGTCGCCTCGATTCCGCCATTTTGGCCTCGGATGAGAGAAGAGCAAAGATGCTGCCAAATTCTTGTAGCAGCGTTGATTCTGCTCAAGCTTCTTGTTTTTCGCAGCGGCTCTCGGGGGCGTATTGCTTTCTTATCCTTGATTCAAATCTGCCACCCCTCCTCTGCTGCTTTTCGGAGCATCGGCGACACGGGGGGCAGGGTTTCGTTTGTGGACGCTGAACTGAAGAATGTGAATGAGTAATCCGTCGATCATCTCGAGACCTCTAAAGGCCCCAAGGCCCTTCGACTCACTTGCACGTACAGGAGTTAGAAGGTTCAAAGAGTGGTTTGTGTCTATTCCGGGGGTTTGCTGGGTCAAGCAGCAACTTGAAGTTTCTCAAGGGAAGCCTTGAAAGAACAAAGTGGGGCATCAGCTGGTTGAACGGTGAACAAATGCCAGGAAGGAGCGTCGATACGGTACGTATCGATAAACATGTACACATATTGAACTTCGTACCTTGTTACCACTCTACAAACATCATCAACCAGTAAGAGAGCGATTTCGGAACGAAGAGTACCTTAGTCTCTTGAATGCTCTCAGAACGAGAGTACTAGACAAGTTCAATCTCGACAACTCAGACCCAGCGAGGCACCAGCAATAACAGATGGACTTGAACAAGGTTCCATGTTCAGTTCATCGTTCAAATCAAACTGCTCTATTCATCTCTACTCAACGTTCAGCCACATCCTGTTCTCTGGTAAGAAAAAGAGATGGGAAGAGAACAGCCGGTGTTTCTTCTCTGTTCGCAATACACTTTCATGGCTCTGCAACATGCTTGGGCTGTTCAGCGATGCCGAAGAATCCAAAATGCTTAAATGGTGTCCGTTCGACCATCTGCAGAGGTGAATTGGACCCCCTTGAACCACCCAGTAAGTACCTCCCCACCAGTACGACTACTACATTGATTCCAAGACACGACATGATGGATCAACGCTCTCCTCATACCCCTCCGACCCATGTCGGCCTCAACTATGATGTCTTTCACATCATTCTCACAAGATACATGGACAAGCATCAGGACATCCTCAACTTCCTCCTGACAAGTAAGCAGAGCTACGCCCTCTACAGCGAGACTCTCCATCGACACAATGTCCGATATGGAGGATGCTCGGTCCTAGCATGGGCCGCGAGGGCAAAGAACATGGCCTTGGCCATCAAGACCCTCGAGACTCCCAATGTCGAGAAGTATGCCCCCAAGGAGCTGTGGGCTAACGTGCTCCAGCTTGCGGTAAGCAACGGCAACCTGGACCTGGTGAGGTTGCTGTTCGAGTTGAAGACGGTCCAGACGAGCATCAAGCTAGCGTCCGATAACAAGCTTGTCACAGGTTTGGATCTGCCGACCACCTCCGACCTTGATACACAGTTCTTGAGGCCTATGTCTGACGCCGCAGACAAAGGCCTGCAAGAGATTGTAGATCTCTATCTCTCCCACGGAGCCAGCATGCATCTGTTCGACTTCACGGGATGGACGCCTCTGCACTATGCCGTCTCCTCGAACACATTGGACCTTGCCAGACACTTGCTGGACAACCACGGAGCCAACCCCAACGGCCCTCCCAGCAAATCTCCCATCGTGACCGCAGCTCGCAACGGCCACCCGAGAATGGTGGAGCTGCTGCTCTCTCGCGGCGCTGACCCCAACATCAATGTGAACGGTACCCCTTTCAGCCGTGCCCTCATGGATGCGGTCGTTGAGGGCAGCGGAGACGTGGTAAAGGTACTGCTCAACGACGACCGCGTCGACCCCAATGCTCGCAACGCTTCAGGTAAGACGGCCTTGGAATGGGCGATAACCTTTGGCAGGGATGACATGTTGCAGCTTCTTCTCAAGGATGGCCGGGCCGACCCGACGCTGGGAAACAACGTGAACAGGACTGCCCTGGACTTGATCATCGAGCACAGCAGAGTGGAAATGGCACGCATGATTCTTGCAGATGGCCGCGTCGACCCCAATGCAAGGACACTTAACAGCGAGACTGCCTTGGAGAACGCCGTACGGAGCGCCAGTCATGCCATTGTTCGCCTTCTCCTTGCCGATGACCGGGTCGACCCCAACAGCACCACACTGGATGGCATGACTCCCTTCCTCTTCGCTGCCGATTCGGGCAGTGACAGCTGTCTCCAGATCCTCCTGGCCGACAAGAGGGTCAACCTCTATGCGAGGAACAATGCCGGCGCCAACGCCTGGACGATTGCCTTCCGTCGGCCCGGGAATCGCAACCCCAGGGTGCTGCTTGAGAGCGGCGTCATGGGCCCAAACGCAGTCGACGGCAACCTCAAGTCGCCCGTCATGTTTGCCGCGTGTTTGCCATCAACTATGCTACTGAGTACGTTCATAGGAGACGAGAGGGTGGACCTGAACATGGCTGATATAAACGACCACACAGCCCTGATGCTAGCAGTCCGGCACGACAGACCCGGGAGCGTTGCTCTCTTGCTCGACTCGGGCCGCGTCGATGTCAACCTGCAAAGCAAGAACGGCGAGACGGCCCTCATGATGGCCGTCAGCTTCGGCAGAGTTGATATCGCCCGGCTTCTGCTCGCTTCGCCGTGCATCGACGTCAACCTGGGAGACTGCAACGGGATGACGGCACTGGCTATGGCCTACGCCATGACAAGCCTCCAGCTGGTGGAGATGATTCTCGACACAGGTAGGGTAGAGTTTGGAAAAGCCGTACGGCCCAAGAAGATCGAGGGGTTTGACGCCGGGCTTGTTTCGTTTAAGTCCGAGATCGAAACAAGGGACGCGCGGTATCTGGACGCAATGATCCAGATGTACGCCAAGGCCGATCAGCTCAACGCAAAAGACAGAGACGGACTTACCATGCTCGAAGCAGCGGTACAGATCAATGATAAGTACACTGTCGGTCTACTGCTGAGCACCGGCAAGGTGTGTGTGGCACCCAAGGCGTTGGAGTGTTGTCGAGACGACACGGTCCGACAGATGGTGCTCGAGTATCGCTCCAACACTAGTAACTGTGCTGGGCTTTGAACTCGCTCATCTGACTGACAGGGTTTGCGATCGTCTTTCTGCCTCTTTTTTCTTCTTCTTCTTTCCGTCTTATACATCTCTCAGACTGTGTCTATAATAATCATCATTGTGGCAATGCAAGAGAAGGATGAGAAGCGAATGATCATTTGCAAAAGAATTAAAATATAGCGGCTGTTATTCAACATATAGTTTTAGATCATTAAGCAAGCAATTGGAAATTCAAGATCATTAGCCATCAATCTCGGGAGCGTCGTCCCAAACACAAACATTGTGAACCAAACCATATCAGTGTCGTAACCATCAGTGATAGAGAAGGGGATACAGAAAGCACATGCCGATATACTCCTTCTCGTACTTGAGCGGCAAAATATGCGCCAGGTAATCCGGCCAATCCATCATCGGCTGCAAGTGCTGATACGCCTTGATGTACTCCCAATGCTCGGGGTACCAGCCAGACTCCTCCCAGTCCAAGATGGCCGTCACCTTGAACGTCTTCTCATCAATAAGAATGTTGCGGGGCGCCAGGTCGCCGTGCGTAAAGACAACCTGGTGGTTCCGCGAGAGGCAATACCGCGCAAGGTGCCGCATCATCCTGGGCGCCGCCGAGACAATGTCCTCGAGAATGAACCGGTTCCACTCGCGCTCGCTGTCAAACGGGCCACACTCGATGGGCGACCTCTTACCGAAGAGCGCCTTGCCCCTGTTGAGGGCCCCGATGTAGTCGCCCCGGAGGCTGCGCAACTGGTTGACGTAGCCGTGGAGCTCGTGCGCGATGGAGAGCTTCTGCTCGGACGTCAGGTCGCCCCAGATCTTGTCGAGCCGCTTGCCGGGCATGTAGTCCATGACGATGCACCGCAGCCTGCCGTCCTGCCAGTCGGTGTCCTGGACCTTGGGCACGGGAATCGTCGTGTTTTCCGCAATGAACTGGAGCGTCTCCGGCTCGCAGGGGCGCAGATTCTCCCCAAACTTCCGGACGCGTACGTCGGCGATGTTGATTACCTTGCGGCCGTACACAGAGTGCAGCACCTCGTCTTCTTCGAGGTCCATCTTTATCAAGGCGATAGGGCTCTGCTCTCTAGGGTAGAGTCGAATGTCTGACTAGAAATGCCCTTGACAAGGAGTTTTGGGGAGAAGAAGCGTGAAAAGGTCTCTGTACTTGGATCATCAGTGCTTGTGAATCTAGATACGGCCCTGTCCGCATGCTTACCTTTCGTTGCCCTTCCTCGTCTTGGCTTGACGGTGAGATGGTTACCCAAGCTGTAGCTGTGTCGGGTATCTGGAGTAAGAGAAGAACTGACAGGAGAGGGAGGGCAGAAAGAGGAGGAGGAGAAGGAGAAGAGGGGTTGGGATGAGGATCGTGTCCGCTTCCCCAATCAGAGGAAGCATGCAACTTTCAGCTTCAGCGGGATGCATGATGCATGATAACTGCAGCGATATTGGGCACAGTATGTACTAACGTCACTTTTCATGTGGTTGGGCGGGCAATGGCCAGGGCATGAGCCCAAAGAACAACAGACGGCCCGATCGCCGCGAGATACTGTGCTTCCGATAGAGCATGAACGCAATGAATCGATCGTTTAGCTAGCAATACGCCGACAAAACGATATACTTGCATACCTTGGTGATGATTGCATCGCCAAGCTCTTCTTGGGCATGGATGAAGCAGCGTACTTCGTACGTTGCCTGCATGTGAGACTGTAGCATCACAGGGTGGCAGCGGTAGAGCGGAGATGCCCATCGATCACGCACATGTGAAATGATGTTATTGCCGGGAATTGCTTGCTTGGATTGGTTCAGGTAAATGCGCTCATCATCTTATGAATCATCATCTTCTGAACACTCGCCACACAAGGATTCTCCAGGTCCACGCAAACACCTTCAGTCCGACATCGAAATCACATCCATCCGATACGCTTCCACAGGAAAGACGTACCGCCAACAACGGCCGTGGCTCCCGTAAACGCAATCAGCGGACCATAGCCGCTTCCATATCCTCCCGCAGCCTGTCCTTGCCACGACATGCCCTTGACCAGCGCCTCACTCAGAGGCCCGGAGACGACGTTGCCGATGCCCCGGCCGGCGGCGAGGTAGCCAAAGACCATGACCGGGTCAAAGGCGGCTCCCGCATTCGCGGTGCCGGACTGGCTCGGCTTGGACGTGACCTGCTTGATGACGCCGGTCCAGGTCGACGTGTACGAGCCGGCGAAGAATCCGTAGATGACGCAGAAGACGTAGAGCACGGCCATGTTCGTCGCGAATCCCCAGAGCAAAAACGTTCCGATGACGGTGCCCACCGTCGAGATCATGATGCATGTGGTAGGGTGAAAGCGATCGACAAAGATGCCCATGGCGACGCATCCAAACACAGAGGCGACGTTGACGGCCAGGATGGTCAAGGCGGCGGGGAACGCCTCAGAGCCGAGAATCGAGGTGGCGTAGGACGGCAAGTAAAGGCCAGGCATGAAGAACCCCAGGGCCTCGACGATGTTGGCCGCTTGATACATGAGGAACGAGCGATCGAACAGGAAGCCCAGCTTGGACGGCTTGATGTGTGCCGTGGCGGATATCGGGAGTCGCGGCTTGATAAAGTAAATGACGGGAATCGTCAGGACGAAGAGGGCAATGGCCCAGATGCGCAGCGTCGTTCGGAGTCCATATCTCCCCAGCAAATACTCGAGCAGCAGCGGGATTGCGAATCCGCCCAGACCGGTGCCTGACCACATGACGCCAAAGGCGAGACCTTTTCGCTTGACGAACCACTCGTCCATGTACAGGATGCAGGGGCCGTAGCAGATTGAGCCGCCAACTGCGAAGAGGACGCCCTGAGTGAGGATCAAATGCCAGACAGTCTGGGAGAAGGAGCTCAGTGCGAGAGCGATGCACATGATGAGGAGGCCTGCGGTTGGGCCGTAACGGTTCTGCTTGGGGTAGAGTCTCATGAGAGGAAAGACAAAGGGGGCGGATAGATACATGGTTCCCTGTGAGGATTTGGGCATGATTAGCCAACTGCTACCCGTACGAATGATGGGAAATCGAAAGGGGTGCTAATACTATCACCTACCATTGCAGTTGTGCCGATGGCGGCAATGCTTGAGGAGCCTTTGAAGGGCTCATGAGTGCTGTAATAGTTTTGAAAGATGCCAAAGGCAAAGGGGAAGCCTAATCATATTGAACGAAGCAGAGAGGGCAACTGTTAGAACTCCGAGACACGTCAAACGGCAAGATCAAGACATTGCCACCCACCCCAGACAAGGCACTCGATAATGAAACATGCCGTCAAGAATAGCATCGCGTCCTTGCCCGTATCGACGGGAGGCAGCGAGGAGACTCCATCTTGACCGCCGTGTTCCGAAGCGACATCATGTGAGAGAGAGGATTCCGCAGGTGTGGTTGCGTCGAGCTGTATCGACTCCGCCGGAGGCAGCTCATCAAAAGAGGCCCTCCCCATTGTGACCGAGGGGTGCAAATGCAACGGCGCGGAATGTATCGGCTTTGTTGATGGTGACGAATCTCGTATTGACACGATTGTTGTCTCTTGTCAAGTGCTACTCCGTCTGTACCCAGACTCCAATGGCCAAAGAATGAAATAAACCAGCAACTCGAAGTTCTCAGCAACAATCTGACGTCGAAGCATTCGTCTGCTCTTAAGCGCTCCCAAGCTGTCGTATAAGAGACAAACGAATGCTCCACTAAAACGTCTGGCTCGGCGCGCCCTTTTGTTGATGGCGATGGAGATGCTCCGTATTTGCACACGGCTCGAGATTAATAATCATGCCCATCTCGTATCAGCGGTGACTTCGAGTTGCTCCATGTGATTCGCACAAGGACGAGACGCCATCCATTTCTGCGATGTCTTTGGTTCCCTAAAAGGAGAGCATCTTTGTCAGCGGTATGCGAGGGATGAGTCGGTGGAAAGCCCCCAAGTCATCCTCCACCTCCGCCGTGGCATAAGGACCCAGTCAAAGCATCTTGTTGAATTTGTACGAAGCTGGCAATGATCGATGCGAGGGTATAAAGACGCAATCAGCCACAGTATATTCGCCGTCCGTTGTTAAAATCCCAAAGAGCCACACCGTCGCTCCAACCATCAAGAGCCATACCTATCCATTATTGCAGACCCATCATCCATGTACATAAAGCCCAGTCAGATCAACGCCAAGTGCTTCGACGATCAATAAACATTGTAATTTCATGCATTCCTATCCCTCCCCGAGCGCCTAGAGCCTTGAACGGCGTAGTCGGAAACGCTCACGAGCTCATCGTTTCGAATAACAAATATGAGGAGTTTGATTTCTGTCCCAGCAGCAGGAGGAGGAGCTGAAGCCGATCTCTCGGACGGTGGTTCTCGAGGATAAGAACTGTAAGAAACGGTGTCAGCTACTGTAACTATATATGTGCTGTGAGCAATCAGGATACGTACGACAAACAAGTCAAGCACTCTGAGATGGGAAGAGACTCTGAGATGAGCTCGCCGCAACCTGGGCAGTGAATGAGTTCGCACATGCTCTGGTCGTTGATAGAGCCCGCAGCAAGCGTGAAATGTTGAGAGGAGTAAGGCCAGATGTTGATCAACCTAAATCATACAAGAAGATTGCGGGAGGAAAAAGCAGGCAAACAAACAAGCAAACAACTGCTGTAGAAGATGGCCAATCCAGACCACGGGCTCTCATCTCTAGTTGCTGAAACAGCATGAGCATCTTCGCATTCGCTTCGGCTTGACTTTATACACGTTGCACTTCCATTTTCTCGCTTCCCATTGCACCGAGCTGCCTCTGCGTCTCCATTGCGAAGTCTCGGACCGTCACAAGCCTGGCGTCAGTAAGACATCGGCCTCACAAAGAGGGGCCACCAAGTGTGAAAAAGAAAGGAAAAAGCAAGGCAGTGCAAATACAACAAAGACAGAACCTGCCCAGTCCTTGACTCTCTGGCATTCGTCAACAGGCCCGCGGCCAACTAGTGCGCTTTCGACCTGTCTTGCGAACCAACACTGCCGTTGTCGTGAGCACATTTTCCCTCCCACTCCAAACTGTCAAGCAGTGTCTGGGTAGCAGTCAAGCCCTCCATCACGCACGCTGCAACCTCGTGAAGGCCGGGGTTGCAGAAACTCTGTTGGCGAGAGCTGTCACAGGCAAAGGCGGAACGGATGGAAAGGGGGGCTCTGGGCTGCAAGGTACGGGCTGATGAACGGTAAACGCCACACCCTGTTCGGATCGACCCAGGCAGAGAGAGTCTCGAGTTGGTGATGTCCTCCTCGGGAACTACCCGAGGGGATCCCAGATTTGTGGCGTTTTCTCGCACCGCTAACCTTGCCTCTTGAGCATGTTATAAGCGACAAGGCTGCATGATTCGCAGCGAGAGCCGGCTCCGTGCTGTTCGATTCGGCCTCTGGAAAGGATCTCGATCGTGGAGGCATGCTTGATCGACGGGCCTCGATTCTGGCCGGCCAGCCATGCTACATGCAGTCGTATAGAGGTACAATAAGTTTCCGCAGCCGTGGGCTGTCAGCTGTCACAGGCGGTTCCGACTTGTCACGTCCATTGCGTCGTCGCCGTATTCCGGTCCTTGATTCGTCTCACGTATAGTAGAAATCAGTGACTGAGCCACTGTGATATCTCAAGTAGACGCACCTCTACAAGATCGGTGCTTCCGAATAGGGCAAACAAAAAAAGGAGAAGAAAAAAACAAAACGTTCTTTGTGTGTGGGCTGCCCGTCTCTCCTGACAGCAGGGCGAAAGTTTAAGACGCTGCTGCAGCCAGTCACGACGCTCGATAGGCGAGTGCTTGTCAACATCGTCGTCATCACGGAGACAAAAGAGGGAGAAGATGGAGAAAAGTTGGAGGTAGAGGGTGTGAAAGAAAGCGAGAAGGTGGGAAGGTGTGAGGTAGGGTTGTATTAGGCTGCATCCCTCCTGCCGACTTGCTGTGATGTGTGCGTGGAAGGCGGTTGTCATCTGTGAATGGTACTTGCCAGACATGCGAAAACGACGCAACAGGAAGGAACTCCTGCCTCAAGTAGCAAGATAGGTAATATATGAAACAAAAACCAAGAACCCGACCGGAATAGCACTTCGAATGAAGTCATCAGTAAACAAATACAGGTAAGGTGACGAATAAATCCGAGACAAAATCGTTTTTCTTGATACCGTACTATCATATTGGTGACATACCTACCTCTCAACATTCAGATAAACTTCTTAAGGACCGTGAAGAATGGTGAACAGAAAATCAGGGGCCCAGGCCGACCCCCTCTCAACACCACAGCTTCCATCAACTCGGCGCTGCTCCCTTCTACCAACACAGTACGATTTGTCAACAACTCCACAAATGCATCCGGATCTCGCGATGCGCTATCTATGCGGTAACACAAGCCTCACTCACAGGGCTGACCAACAAAAAAAATACGATTCAAGGTTGACCCCGGCATTTGATGGACGAGTCCGGGGGAGGATGAGGGCGAGGCCCCTAGACGATCCACTCACACATGAAGATCGTGGATCGAGCAAGGCAAGCCGAGGGATAGGCAGGAATCACAGATTGAGCTTGACTTAGTCTTCTTCTCCGGAGAAGCGCCGTGGCGTGAAACTGCACTAACTGGATATCAAGTGTGAGATGCTTGACATAACAGCTCTGTTGAATATTGACTTGCCAGGAATCAGGTCATTATCTATCCGCAGCAAACTCATTGTGCTTCTGGAAGGGAACCTGGCAGCTTGAAGTCCGTGAAACAATTCGTCAACAGTGTCCATAAACAGGAGGACAATGACCACAAAAGCTAACTCGTAAAATAGCCTACACGCTCGTCTTTTCGTTCCTTTCCTCTCTAGCAGTAACAGGTTGAAGCATCCCGCAACTCAAGCCCAAAATGCAGCGCCATGTCAAACTCCACCAGAACATCCAATACAGATAATCGTTGTCATCGTTGTCCGTTTATGAAGCCCATGCACTCCATCCATACATTACCAAGTGCGGCCCCATATCCGTTGTCCGCCATGCCGTACCAAATAGTTTTTATCTCCCCTCCCTATTTTCCCTTCCCGCGGAAGACACGCCAGCATACCCGCAAGTAATTAACGACAGGGGAGAAGAGGAAAACGAGAAATTATAATAGCTGACAAAGTATCTTCCTCGTTCAAGCATAAGCATATTTCGCGTTTGCTGAAATCCTGCTGACAAGAAGAGAAGTAAGAGAAGATGGAAACAAGGGTGGAGCAGAAGAATTCCTTCTGGAGGCCCTCCGGATGAAGCAGAGTGATGGTCAATTAGAATCAAGCTAGTATTATATCAATGGTACGAGGCCGGAGACTTTTATGCGTAGAGAGCCTCGACGAGGTAAATGATGCCGAAGAGCAAAAAGGCAACAGCGCCGCCAATCGTCACTAACAAGGAAGCCCTTGGGTCAGAATCCATCCTCATTCGAACAAAGGGGGGTCTTTCACATGCTACTTACCAACTTTGAGACTGACGCGTCCGGCAATGGCTCGGCCGCCAATGACTGCAACGCCCGTGCAAATGGAGTGTCCGGCCAAAGCACCGAGGGTCACCCACCAGTAATCCTGTCCGGCAGCCATGGCAATGGTGGCGATCTGGCTTCGGTCTCCCCACTCGCCCAGGAAGGTCATAACAAAGGTCTGGACCCACGCAGGGCTGAGGATGAGAGAGCAGAGGTTGCTGATGCCGCTAACGAAGCTGTTGGCGCCCCCTGACTTGCGAGAGGGCATCCGGGACGGCGACTCCGAGGGCGATCGCGGGGAGGGAAACCTGCTCTTGCGCGAAGTCCTGCCGCCGAGGCCCATCTCCAAGGCATCACCGGAGATGGATCCGCCCCTACGCTCGAGTTCCTTCTCCTTCTCGGCGAGTTCCTGTTCCACTTCATGCATCTCGGCAGTCACGCCTTCGTTGGGGTCCATCTGCATTCCTTCTCGCAAGAGCCTAGCTCCAAAGACAAAGAACAGACCGGCGGCAAGGAGGCCGGTCAGACGCTTGGGGATCAGAGCGGGGACCGCATGGCCCAGAACCGCGGACAGCACCGTCATGACAAGGAGGGCACCAAAGGCGGCAGAAAAGACGACCATGCGGTCGTGCTTCATAGCCATGAGAGCCGCCACCAAGAACGTCTTGTCTCCAACCTCAGAGACCAGGATCATAGTGAACGACAGGATAAAGGAGTGGAAAGGTTGGATGATGCCTTCGTCCTCTTCTGTGGGATTCAAGGATGAAGATGAGCTTCCGGTCTTGGGCTTGGAGATATCGAGATGGTCCTTCTTCGCGGAGTCGGGAAGCGGCGGCGGCACCTGTTCGCGATCCATATCGGGGAGATCGTCGGGTTTCTAGTCATCATCACGCACGTTAGTTGACATCCAGTTCATGTTTACCACGCTCGACAGAGGGTGATAACGAAGAAGTGATAGCAAAAACGGGGGAAAGCAGATCCAATTGCAGTTCGTACCTCGAGCCCAGTGTAACCCGTGTCTTCGCCATCTTTGTCGGAGGACGCCTTTGCCTTTGACTTTTCCTTGTCGGCGTCTGCTCCCTTGGTCTTGTCTTTGCCTTTCTCAATCTTCTTCTCTTCGCTATGGGGGATGGGAGGGTGCTCTTTGGGCGCCTCGGGCTGGTTGACGAGCTTCTCGCCCGTCTTGCCCTCGTGGGCCTTGCGGGCCTTGTCCTTCTCGGAGACGCCTCCCTCAGTGCCAGTAGTGCCGTCCTGGGGCTTCTCGCGGTTCTTGTCGAACATGACGCCATCGTTTGACTCGGGAATCTTCTTACCGTCGACGATGGTGGGATCCTGGGGACGCCCCTTGAGTGTGGGCAAGTCCTTTTCGCCCTTGGTCTCGGTGGACGCCGTGCCGTCGGTCTCGACGAATGGGCCTAGATGAGGCTTGCCATCCTTTCCGTCGACGGGCGCGTCTTTGGTGGGCACCCCCAGGCGGCCCTTGAGCATTGCCGGGTCGGCCACGTCTGCGGCGAGTGCCGAGTCTTTGTCATTGCCGGCGACAGGGTTCGTCGCAAGGGCGCTGGCGATGGCCGGCAGGAGGAGGAGGAGAATAGGGGAGTTCTTCGTGCGGAACTGCATCGTGGCGGGCGGCGAGGGCGGCCTTCAGATGTAGATCTCGGTAGCTAGCGGTCGACTGGGGGGACAAGCGAAAGCCGTCCTCAGCGCATCAGGATATTGTCAGGTCGGCGGAACACGAGTCTTTGCCGGGTGTCGAGACGCGGAACAGTCGCGGCTCTGAGCGATTCAATTCGACAGTGGTGGAGATGCGATCTCGATGGAGGCGAGATGAGGTCGAAAAGGGGGGTTCAGAGAGGGCGATGGAATGATCGATTGTCGACGCAAACTCGCGTGTCTTTGGATGCACAGGGCTCGGAGAGGATTATCTTGTCGTCGATCCGAGGTCAAAAAGGAGTGGCCGAATTGGCGGCTGCCGAAGAGGGGGGGAAAAAGAAAAAGAGAACGAAAAGACAAAGAATTAACTGAGGGAGAGAGAGAGAGAGAGAATGGTTCAGAAAAGATGAGGTGGTGAGTCTAAGAAAAGGAGATACCTAAATGCTCCCGCAAAAAAAGGGTAGACAAGTCGGAAGGGCTAGAGCGTTCCAATAGGCTCGGGATGTTTTCAGACTTTCTTCTGCTCGTCTGCTCTCTTTTGCGCCCCTCCCAATTGATCTGGTAGATGATGCGCGCCTCTGAAAATGAAGCCGGCCGTGGTCCAGGGTTTGGGAGGCTATCAGACGATGGGAAAAGGTACAGGTGGTCGTTTAGGTCGTGGGTGGGCCTCTGCAGGGATGGGGCAGGTACAGGTACATGGAGTCCGTTAGTGGCATTTAGGCCAGCTCCCTTGCCTTATGCGCTAAAGTCTGGGAAACATTTAGACGGGCCATCGCTTCCCCTGAAAAGAGGCTTAGAGAGGAGGCGACGACGAGTCCACGCAACTCTGGGACAGAGTCGCAGAGACAAATCCGAGTGTAAGGGAAGACACGGCTGATTGAGAATAAAATAGCGGAAGAAGAAGAAGAAGAAAAGGAAGAAATCTTTGACGTCTTATATCTTGAACTATATGAGCTTTGCCGAGTAAAGTTCTCGTCTAAGGGCGAAGTCCGGTGTGCGGGAGTGCTTTCAGTATCACCCATCTTTGGTGCGCTCATGGAGAGTCTGCTACCATTGTTCTTTAGCATCGCTGCAACTCTTTGATGTACAGAACCAAGGAGAAAGAAGGAGAGGAAATGAGCAGAAGGTGAGACCGGGGATTCATGCTTGACGTGGTTTATCCAGTAATGGCCGTCATATGGCAGCCAATTCTGATTACCATACCGTGTACTCCGTAGGACGGCGTATGGATGGACTCGACTCCATATTACATGATCTCGAGTCTCTCAAAATCCCACCCAGCCTAACCTCACCCACCCTTCAACTGTTCCAGCGTGATTACATCCATCCATGCAAGGCCGGGGCTTCGTTAGGGGATCCTATAGGCGTCCAACTCGCTGTAGCGACGCGCCCACCAGCGCACTTCCAGGCCATGGTTTCAGCGCTCACAGCGGCACCTTATCTAATCCTCCCACTCGCCACTCTGCACCTGCATCCCATCTTCCCCGCTGCAGGCCGGATAAGATGGCGTCACGGCTCTTGAAGCTGGCGGGTCACCACTTTATCGTCCTGGTCCGCTCCGAGTGTCGCCCGTATGATTACCCATACAATTGATCGAGGTGCTGCTGCCGTAATCAACCTACCTGACCTGACCAAAGACCTAAACTCCGAGTTGCCTTTGATCCCTCTTTTGCCTGACAAATGCCCATTGATCCGATCCGTGACGTCCTCGCTCTGTAGAATCAGCCTGACCCTCGTCCTCAAACCATCGTGGACAGTTCGGCAGCCATCACCACTGCCCGCAGACCAGCTCCGATTGCGCCGTATCTCCGGGACGACGAGGTGCTCCTTCGTGCTAACACTCCCGTGACTCCCGGCCCTCTCACCGGTTTGCTGCATTTGTACACGCTCAGGCTCTCGCCCCCCTCAACGGCTGGCCACATCTTGAACGGCCATGGACTGGACTCCGAGTGATGACGATGTTGGCGGAGATGAATCCCATGATCGGGACACCGGAGATAACCGGTTAAACGCACACGGTGGCCGAAGCACCGCTGATGATGGCCACGATCGCTACGGCCATGAGGAATTTGACGATGATGATGACGAGGAATACCAGGACGGGAACGAGGAGGAGGATGATGATGAAGATGAGGAGGAGGAGGAAGAGGATGATCCCGACTATCGTGATGAGCCGAATGAGGAAGATGAAGACGAAGAGTTTCACGGTGAGTCTCCCTATATCTCGTCCATGAGAACCCGCTTAGGGCTGCCTTGCTGAAACTGCTTGCTTTCACAGATGCATTTGACGAGCAAGGAGAAGCTGAGGAAGACGGTAAGAGTTGTTCTCAAGCACCGCAACGGTGATGTTGTTGACGAAATGATTCTCTAACCCTTCAATCTCAACGTAGCCGCAACTCTCGACGATCACATGCAGTATGCCTTTGGTGACTTCCGGTTCCAGATTGTCATTGAGGACGAAGAGGCGGAGCAGAACGAGGCCACCATGAGGCTGTTTTCACTACTAAGAGGTACGACTGTCTTCTGTCCGCAGATTTGCGCCCCTGACATTTGGCTTATTTCGATCGTTGCTAACATGATCGCCATGACCTCCAGCCGGCCAAAGGTCGGGGCTCCTGACGAGACAGCAGCTTATGACCCTCTTCCGCGGCACCGGCCTGGCGCGTCATGCTGTCAATCCAAAGGACCCCAACCGATTTCCCAAGGTTCCCAGTGAAGAGGGCCGAAAGCTCATGGGATCCGGAGTCTTTGGCGTCAGCGAGACTGACCTCCGCCACAAGAAAACCATCGCCAGACGCCTGCTGGATCGTGAGCTCGGGCTGGGAGACCGGGTCTGGAGGAAACGGACCAATGGTATTCTGGCTCAGGTATGCATCTCTCGTCCATTCATGGCTGTTTGATGCTAACACCCTCTCCTCCATCACAGAATCTCATCCCCGGCAGCAAGGCGGAAAAAATCATCCACTATGACCACCCCATCTACTCTGGCCAATTCTCCGACGATGGCAACTTCTTCTTCTCGTGCTGTCAAGACTTCAACGTGCGCATGTACGACACGTCCAATCCATACAACTGGAAGCTCTACAAGACAGTGAGCTACCCCTTTGGCCAGTGGACCTTGACAGATGCCTCTCTGAGTCCAGACAACCGCTGGCTGGCCTACACCTCCATCCAGAGCATTGTCTCAATAGCGCCCACCGACCCCAGAGACAAGGGCGAGCCGTACTCGCTTGAGCTTGATGACGGAGACGGCCATGCAAGGCTCTCCTTTTGGCGCAACCGCGGGTCTTTTGGCATCTGGTCCGTCCGCTTCTCGGGCGACGGACGAGAGCTTGTGGCCGGCACCAGTGCTCACTCGCTGGTCGTATATGACATCGAATCCAGGACGGTACTCCATCACATCACCGGCCACCAGGACGATGTCAACGCCGTCTGCTTTGCCGACAAGTCATCCCCTCACATCATCTACTCAGGCTCCGACGACACGACCATCAAAGTGTGGGACCGTCGAAGCATGGGAGACAACCGTGAGGCGGGCGCCTTTGTGGGCCATATTGAAGGCCTGACGTACATTGACAGCAAAGGCGACGGGCGGTACATCCTCAGCAACGGCAAGGACCAGAGCATGAAGCTGTGGGATCTCCGCATGGCCATGTCTACCGATCGGTTCCGCGAAGTCACCAAGGACAACGATTCCCGCCTCGATAGGTTCGATTACAGGCAAGACGAGTACGACGAGGACGACTGGGACGTGCACCCCCACGACAACTCTCTGGTCACTTTCCGAGGCCACAAGGTCCTCCGCACGCTCATCCGATGTCACTTCTCGCCGCCGTCGGCGACCAATTCTCGCTACGTCTACTCTGGCAGTGCGGATGGCAAAGTGCACATCTGGAACATGGACGCGACCAAAGCGGGTGAAATCGACGTACAGCGTGCGACTCATCGGACGCGGAAGCTGGACCGCCGCACTCGGGTGTACTTTGACGAGCCCGGGGGCTGGGGTACATGTGTGCGCGATGCCAGCTGGCATCCCAGTGCTCCAGTCATTGTTGGTAAGTACTTCTTCTCCTCTCTTCGCCCATGTCAGATGCTAACGGTCTATTTACCCTTCTCTGCTTGGTAGCTTCTGCTTGGAATGGGTACAGCATGGCACGAGGCACCTGCAGTGTCCACGCATTCAACGAGTCTTCAGAGGATGAAGGAGAGCCCGAGATGGGAGACAGCGTCAATGAGTCGTTGAGGCCAGACCCGGAGACGTTCTACCGGTCCAGCTTTCAGTCGGCACGGTGAGGAAAGATGGCATGAAGGCGTGGATCGTTGAGTGTTCTCCTGATGTCGTTTGGATTTCGGGTGTCGATGTCTTTACCGTAAAAAGTATCGGATGATGGGACGGTTTGTATGACTCTAGGTAAATGTTCCAACGTACGTGATGAATCTTGAGCGGGCGAACTTGGTCTGGTCCCATTGTTCGCCCTGTCTGTTTTGGTGTATCAACTTTTCGTTCCTCTTTGTTCCTTCTCCTCCCGCTTGTATCCGCTGCCGGAGCTGCTGCATAATGTGGCTAAGATAGCTTGCAGCTGTACCGAGTCTCGTGCTCGCTGTTGCAGATTCTGCTGCCTCTCTGGTGTCACACAGGCACAAGGCCATGGCACATGAACCCAATCATCTAAGGTAAGGTACCGCCTTCAAAGGGCGACAAAGAAGTGGCTGAAGCTGCAGTGGCTGGTGGCTGGTGGCTGGTGGCTCGTGCACTCGTCTCGCTTTTTGGCTTCAGCCTCGCCCCCTTGGCTTTTCACCTGTTTTCCTTCCGGCAAACGACAGATGCAAGCTTGCACTGCAGTCTTCACCAGCTCAAACAGAGATTCTCCAACTGATCTTCTCTACTAAGTATTCTCTGGCTTTCGAAGAAAAGACCTACTCAGAAGGATACATACGCAGCCATCTGCGGGGGTCGGTCTCCGTTTGCAGCCTCGTCACTCGAGCAACAGCCTTGAATCCAACTGCTCTGCCGTTACCGCTGAGGTCACTGCGCCGGCAAATCTCGGTGTCGCTGTACCCGTTCAGTGACAGTGACGCGCCACTACAGTACCGTCTTCGCGCCATCATCCGGTAACCTTCTTTTTTTCCTTTTCCTTTCCCCTTCTTCTCTTCCCTTTCTTCCCCCATTCTCCTCTCTGTCTCCTCTCGCCTAATCGCTGTCGCCCATCAATTATCTCCCCCTTTTTTTTTCTCCGTCTCCATCTGCTGCCCTTCCCCCTTCCTCAGCTGGTGTGACCTATATTTTCTCCTTCGTCAGTCTTCCTCGTCCTTTCTTTTTCTTCTCCCCTCCCTCTGCCGGTTTGCCCCCCTGTTCACTCCCTCTCCTCCCGACCTCGGCCAATAAAGCTACCTGCCTTGCATTCAATTCGCAAGCTGCCGACTGGCCGCAGCGCATTCAGGCCTTGACCCGGTCCCACCAGAAAAAGAAGGCGAAAACGAATTGTCTTGTCGTCTCCAACTGACAGCGAGGAGAAAACAAGACGTCCTGCAGCCGATCGAGCTCGAAACGCCAACCACCGCCCGGCTCAGCCAGCCGAGCTAGTCATAAGGTAGAGATAAGCTTGGCCCCTCTCCTCTCCCTTCCCTCACCTCCAATCATCTCGTCACTCCCGTCTTCCATCCTCTCTGCACTCAATACTACTCCACGATCCGCAATTGGTTTTGGGCCGCCACCACCCACACCAGCCGAGATATAGGGTACAGGCACAGCCAGAGGGGAAGCTCCGGCTTGCCTGAGAAACTTGGGCTGCAGGCGACAACTGCAAGGGAGCAAGACAGAGATCGTCGGGCTTGGAGAGAATTCGAACCAGCTTTTGGGCCTTCGTTCTTCTCGGGGACTGTACGTACCAGCAAGTCTAGCCCTTTTATACGCTTGCCTGTCACACCTCGATTGTTCCTCTCTGGTACAGCCTTGTCTGCCTATCCATCTCTGTCTTTGTGTTGCTGCTACTATCATCACCTTGTTTCCTGTTCCTGTTCCTGTTCCTGTTGATAACTCTCCCTCTCTGGGCAAATCGAGAAGCGACAACGAGAAGAGGGAAGAGAAGCACCACGAGTACGCTAGACGTTTCCAAGCTGCCGGGCACCATTGAATCATGGCCTTCTTCTTCACGCTTCGTGCCAGAGGGCATCGCATGTATCTCGCTTCTTGAGTATCATAATAACAAGCTGTCGTTTCATTAGTGGCGTCACAATCCCAATCCGAGTTCAACAACGGCGATTTTCATGTAACTGTCCGTGTCGGCGAATTTCCACCAACATACGAGACCGTCGAGATGGGTGACACCGATTTCGACATTGATTTTTACGGCGACGCCGAGGGCGATGCCAACGAGCAAACCAACGACCAGCCTCACCAGGATGAGCGCCGCCAAAGCGGTGGCGATTCGCGAGATAGCTACGACTATCGCGGTCGAGACGACAGACAAAGAGACGACGAACACGAAGACGATCGCCGTTACGAGAGCGGCCGCAGTGAAGATGTCGAGGAGCCCCGCCAACAGCAACAGCAACAGCAACATCAACAGCAGTCGCAACAGCAGTCGCAACACCATGGGGTCAAGAGAAAATCGGAGGAGCAGGAGCCCAACGATCGGCCCATCGACAATGGCGCCACGGCTGCCATTATGATTTCCGAGCTCAACTGGTGGACGACCGATGATGATATCCGAGGCTGGCTTCGAAAGGCCAACTGCGAGAGGGAAGTCAAGGAGCTCACCTTTAGCGAGCACAAGGTCAACGGCAAGAGCAAAGGGTGAGTCTGCCAATTCGGATATTTGCGCTCTGCTCGTGGGGTCTATCTGTATTCTGTACTGATCCTTCTATCTTGCCTCCTGCTCAGCCAAGCCTACGTCGAGTTCCACACGCGCCAAGCTTCCACCGCCGCGAAGCGCTACATCGACACTGTTGCATCAGAAGGTGTGCAGCCCGGCCAGAAGAAGATGACCATCTCCTACTGGAACCCTGGCGTCAACCCCTTCAGGACCCTGCCAAAGGACGCCCCGGCCCGCGTTAAGGAGCAGCCGCGAGCGGCTCCTTCTGGATCCTACAGCGACCGAGGCAACTACGGAGGTTTCCGCGGCCGAGGAGGCATGGGCGGAAACCGAGGCGGCATGAATCCCAACTTCAACCGGAGCTATGGCGGAAACATGGGCTACAACAATAACAACATGGGAGGCGGCGGCGGCTTCAACGGCCCAATGGGCGGAGCCTCCGGCGGCGGCGGTACTCATTACGTATTCAGTGGCCGAAGCAGCCCCGGAGGGCCCATGAGAGGCGTTCAGACCATCATTCGCGGTAGAGGCGGAGGCGGACCTGGCGGCGGCATGATGGGTATGAACCCCATGGGAGGCATGGGCATGGGCATGCCCGGCAACATGGGTATGGGAATGATGGGCGCCGGAATGCCAGGTATGCAATCTGCACACACTCTCCCCGCCCCCAAGACCCCGCCCCTTCAAATTGTGCCGGCAGCGGGTTAGAACTCCGTGTCGATGCAAACACCCCCTACACCACCAGTCATCATTTCACCTGCGGGCTTGGACGAGAAAGAGATACAAGAGGCGATGCTTCGAAAGCAGAAGGCACTTCAGGAACAGCAGCAACTTCAGGAGAGGCAGTACCCCCTGGAAGAGGCGCCTAGGCAGCACTTTGATGAGCAGCAGCTTGCAAAGCAGCAAGCCCAGGAGCAGCACCCTGAGAAAGTCCAGGCTCAAGTGAGTATTCAAGCTGGAGAGGAAGACCGCGGCGACGACAATATCCTCGCCCAGCAAGTGCCAGAGGACGTGGAGATGAAGAATCCACCGCAGCAAGTGCCGCCACAGCCGCAAGTGCCGCTTGGGCAGAACCCTCCAGTCAACCCAGCGAGCTTGAGGCAAGCGGTGTTTGCCGCTGGAGCACTGGCTCCATTTGCGGCCCGCTTGCAAGAATACGGGCGGCATTACTATTCCGGTGCCATTGGTGCCGGTCAGCTGGGAGCCGGAGCGACTACCTTGATTCCGTTCTGCCAGATCCATGCCACGACAGCTCCCAACTGCGGTTACTGCCAAGTAGAATATTGGCGTCACTATGCCTTCTTTGTTGACGGTTATCGTCACCATGGCCATGCACCACCACAGCCACACCCCATCTTTCCAAGACCAGTTCACCAGCCCAGTCCGTCTCTTTTACGCGTTCCCTCGCCTTCCTGATGATAGGATGCTGACTTGTGCATAGGCTTTCAGGGCATGCCTCCCAACTTTCCAGGCGGATTCGGCTTCGGACAGCAGGGCGGCGGCGGTGGCGGAGGTAATAACGGTGGTGACTGGGGCAACCCTCACGGTGCAAAGCGACCTCGTCCCGAGTAAGGCACGGGCCGTCAGCATACTCTCCTCTTCGCCTCGTATCACAGGACGAGGACTGAAGCTCGGGCTCGAAATTGGTTGCGAAAGCACAATGGATTAATTTGATCGTTTGGAGGAATGGGAAGAGCACTCCTATCTACTCATCTTTTGGCGGACCGTTGGGGAAATCACTTGTCAGGTTGCATCAGGAAAAAGGTTTTTTTTATCTCTTTTTCTTTATTCTCGTTCGTGAATATTTCCTTTATTTGTGGGAACAATGTATAATAGAAGAAAACGCTGGGTTATTAAGATGCCAGGTTCAGGTTCAGAAACTGTCTTGTGGAGATTTTGTCATCATCTTCTTCTTTTTCTCTTATCGTCTTTCCTGGGATTTCTTTGCTTTTTGTATTCTCTCCTCAAGTGACTTTCCGGGAAGGAAAGGGGGGACAACACAATCCAGGCTGGAACGGGGTTATGATTCAAAATGACAGGATAGTTTGATGATCAAACAAAAGGACGCCAACGCTGGGGATTTCGTCTCCGCTCATGTACGTGTGTGTAAATAATGACAAGGGCTTGGAAGAGACGGCCAGGAACACAGATCTCGCAAGGGAAAGGATGCTGACTACTGTCCAAAATGCCAGCACTGCTAGCTCTGTAGCCGCTCGATCGCTGCTGTCACTAGTTGTCTGATCTGAAGCCACCTATCCGTCAGGCTTCCTCTCATCTCCTCGTCACCAACTGAACTGCCAGCGAGTTGCTCCAGAGTGCTGGTGATGTCGCTGTCGTACTTCTTGAGCACTTCCAGCAGTGCTGCATTTATCACAGGGCTGTCGTCGTCTTCGTCCCGTACTCCATCTAGAATGGCCTGCCAATGCCGAAGAGGCAGGCAGAGCATTCGTAGAGCGACGTACGTGCGGTAGCACGCCGTTTGAGAGTCGAGCATGTACTTTCCCAAGAAGCCCGCAGCCTCGAGGCGCTCTCTCTGATCAGCGGTCATGGAAGGGCAGATGTAGGGATCCAGGCATGTTTCGTCCCAGGGGTTTACAGACGACGGCAGAGTGAAGCCGTACTCCACCAGCAGCATGTCGTTGCCGTGAGTTCCGTAGCGGATGAAGACTTCTTCGCCAGGCTGGTGTGTCCGCGTCGTGGTAAATGTGAAGAACTTGTCGTCAAAGTTGGCGTTGCAGTAGCCCTCGGGCGTGTGATTGAAAAGATCCGCCACGGGCTGCAGCGCCATATGGTCTTCTTTGGGCAGTTTCTCCGTCTTACGGTTCGTGTGATAAAAGGTTCGAGTGTTGACCAGGAGCCAGTTGTACAGATACTCATCTTTCTGAAGTTGTGGGTACGCCGCCTCCACGAGGGCCCAGTCCTTGTTAAACTTTTCCTGCTGAGCTGTGAGCAAGGCCTTGGCTCCTGGCGGCAACAGAGATCGCAGCTTGGCCGGCCAGCATATGGGGAGGCTGGAGGCAATGTCTCGCCGAGAAGGGAAGACGGGGCGCCATTTGTCCAGTTCAGGGCTGGTCTCCAGACAGAGGGAAGCAGCAAGGATGGTGTGAACAGTGGCGCCGCTGAGCTTCTTGGTGATGTCCTTGGGAGTGCTGCTGAGGGTGCGCAAGGCAGAGATGGGCACTTTAAGGATGACTTCGTTGGCCTATACTTGAAATTAGTACTTGATACGCACATGAGTACAAGGAATAAGAGCGTCGACGTCAGACTCTGCTGGTGGGTGTTCAAACATTGGAAAACAAGGACAGCAGGTTTGCTTACCTCAAGCTGCCGGGTAGCAACTATACCTATACCTCGCCCGTGGAGAGCTTTCGGATGGATGCCGTTTAAAGTGACCCCTATGGAGTTTGTCCATTCTAGGAGCTGCTCGATCGCCTGATCCATCGCTGCGGCTGGTGTTGCAAGATCGGAATGGCCGTATGAAAATTATTGCGATATGGCGACGCTACTGGAGCGGCGTGGTGAGTCATGAGAATATAGCGCTGTTTGGTGCGCCTACAGTATAAAAGCACAACAGAAATGTCGAGTCGTTCTGGCCACAAAAGCTTGCATCGGCCTCGGTTTGAGTTTAGACAGGCGCTGAGTTACTGGTTTGTGCATCATCGGGTTGGATGTTTCTTCCGGTTCTCCTTCCTTTGGCTGTGTAAAGCCGCTCGCGGTGTGGATGGAAATCTCGTTGATTCCTCTCCAGAGCAACATCGTATAATATCCACTGTGAAATAGTCGTCGTTCTCAGCTCAACCATGGTGGTGCTGTAGGCACAGGACCATAGAAAGTATGCATGATCTTTCGATTGCTGCCATTGGATCAATACAAATTTTGATTCTGGACGACAGAATAGACGATACAATCATACAATGGAGGTGCCGCGATGTTGGGAGGTAGAGGGTTGGCTCGGCGACTCGATGCACCTTGATGTCAAGACGGGAACCGACCGCTCGTTGAAGCTACTTACCTATCAAAGGCCGAATGCCAAAGACTTAGCAGAACTCAATTCAAAAACGCAAGTTTGGTGATATGATGGCTTTCAAGCAGGACTTCTTTCTGGCCAGCTCAAGATCAAATTGAGACTCACTTCAAAACACGCAGCTCGTTGAAGCATGTATTATTCGAACATGGTTTGCATGGCTTTGCAGGAAGACGGTCGTATGTAGACGTTGCTTTCCACAAACCAGTGGTCAACTTCATGATGAAAGAGAGAAAACCAGAGCATGAAGAAGAAAAGAGGAACAAGGTTACCTGCCGTGTCGCGAGATAGGTAGTACTTAGTAGCTCCTTCCTACAGCGAACCGTTCAGTTTGGAAGGCAGGCCACTGGCACTTTCCTGTTACCTTCGACTACCAAGGTAGCACCTACCTTGGTTTTGAGAGCACCCTTTTATCACTCATCCCAAAGGGCTTATACGAATAAAACACAAAACGTTTGGACAAGCAGACAATTTCTTCAACCTTGTATTGGAGGACCGCATCTCGTCAATCCTCTTACAAAGTCTGTGTATCTAACTACTCAAGTCTTCCTCGCTCTCTCAAAGAAACGAGATACAATAATTACCACAGCGTAAAGGTTCAGCTGGTACACTACTACAGCGACGCCGACGTTGAAGCCCACGATGCCCTCTGCCGCCATTCACCCGTGTGCTCATCTGCAAGAGTGGTGACTGGGTTACAGCTTTCGACCGTCAATCATTTCTCGGCCCTCTACTGCTTGCTTGAGATGTTCTGGTGTTGATTTCTGCCTCGCTACTACCTGTCAATTGTAAGCGTCATGAATAGTATCTCAGGTGAGGATACAACGGGCATCGGTGAGCATACCATGGCAGGTTGCCTGATAGCAGCTAAGTCTTTTACCATGAGCGATGTCCTCGTGGTATATCTCTCAGAATCGTCCAAATCCATTTTATCGCGCTTGGAGCCTTCTCAAATATCCAATTAAAAGGCTATCTCCTGAGAAGTAAACAGCGAGAGGCTTATCTGACGGGGCATCGCACCTTCGGCTCCATCAACCTACAATTTCGGAAGCGTCCATTGATGTAGCGGCGGAGCATCGCAATGGCGTCCATAGCCCCTATCTCCGGAAGAAGCCCCCGAGCTGGCCGATGTTGAGTCTATTGCTGGGAGCCAAATTGAACTTGTGATGTTACCCTTGTGACATACATCAAGGGGGGGAGCCGTTCATGAGGGCGTCCACAGTCTTCGCCGCTGCACACATCCCGGCCGGTTCGACAAATATGCCCTTCTCGTCGACTTGCCACTCTAATATTGAGACACTCTTTATCACTTTCTCCGCCCATTTACTCTGCTTTCGTGACGGGGCAAGCCGTGGCATCGTCGTTAAGGTACCATAACTCGTGCCCAGGGTCCCTCCTCGACGACCGCGATGAGCGTAGGAGCCGGTCGAGAAGAGCGGGTGATTTTGTCCCTTTTGATGGATGTCGGCGACTCTGCTTCTTCTTGACCCTGTTCTGCTGTTGCTGCAGTGGCGTCGACCTTTTCCCGCGCAAGAGTTTCCCATCTCTGGCTACGTGCTTGTCTTGTCGATGAGAGCCGTGAGGTGCCGTTCTAGACTTTCTGGGCCTTGGATGCGGTGTCGTGGCGGGCTCTGTCGAGGCGGCATCTGTCATTATGACATCTCCATCTTCTTCACCTGAGTCTAGCTCCATAGGCTCTCGGGTAGACGCTGGGGAAGATGCTTCGGATACAACACTGTCTATCCTGTGTCTTTCCGACAGTGGCTCTGTGGAAACAACCAAGCCAAAACCTTCCCCTCTTGAGATGTCCGTTTCTGTGGGAGCTGTAAACCCTGTCTCTGCGGCGCCGGGACACTGTTCACTGAAAGCCTGTTGATGATGGACTTGAGGTTGCTCCTGGGGCTCATCTGGCGGAGTGTTCGCTAATGGAGCAGCCTCTATGGGCTGGACTTCATCCTGGCTTGTAGATTGTTTCCGAGGCAGGTTAACTGAGGGCAGCAATCCGTCAGGATACCATATGCCAGCGCAAAACAGCGAGTCTGGAGCAGTCAACTCAGCAGTCGTACGAGCTGAAGCCGCAGAGGCAGCAAGGCGCTGCATCCTCCTCTTCTGTAGCACTCCGGCGCAGGTCTCTTCTGCCCATCGCCTTCTCCCTTCCTCGATTATTGTCGAGATGTCGTCAAGATAGAAGGTTGACGAGCTTGGGGAAGTTGCATTCTCATCGTCACCCTCGTCATGATGGTTGTCATCGCCGCCTTTGTGGCCTTCGTCTTTGTCGGCATTCTGGTGATCAATAGTCTCTTCGTCGACATTTTCCTTGTCGGTAGTCTGTTCGTCGCCCAATTCCGGGATGGCCAGCAACCCCGAGTTTGACTCAATGACGGCACAGATACTTCTCCACGCCCTCACCACCTCCTGTACGCGTTGGGCTTTTCGTTCCTCAAGTCTCGCCATGAAATCCTCCTCAGTCTCAGCAAGCTCGATACAGCTCTGAACTTCCCTGTGAAAGTCTTCGGGATGTCTTATTGACAGCGTATGGCTATTGAAGCGGTTATGTAGGTCGGTGGAGAGGATCTCTGGCTGCAGGTAGTACTTCTTCCAGTCCCACTCCCATTGCCTGTCATCTTCACCTGGCGGGGCTGTGCGGATGCGTCCCAGTAAGTATTCCATTCTCTATATTCCAAAGAATAGATTTGAGTCTGTTTGCTCGGTAGCTGAAGGCCCTCGGTTTGATGTCTTTGACTTGGAGTGCAGTTGAAGGTCGGTCGTTATGGGAAGTAATACAAGGGTCAATGAGAAGCAGACATTTGCAGGGAAAGATGAAGAATATAACATAAAACAAGGACTGTTATTCAGTGTCTGGAGACTCAAGCCATGTTGAAGCAAGGCAGAAGGGAGCGCAAATAGCAACTGTGAGTAAATGCAGGCAGCCTGGCACAATAGACCAAAGATTGAGATGGACTGCTGCTGGAGTGAAACTCGTAGCCACAAACATGGCTCATGTGGAGATGCCGTCCTACCTTGTGATACTCACCTTGAACTCAGCTTGCTGTTGGACAGCCATTCAATGAGACAACCGGCCATCTCTACGTCGAACAGCTGCCGGGCTATTGTGCTGTTGTTATGAATGTAGGGTGGACTGGTGACGGTGGTCGAATGCATGTAGTATGGTTGGCCAGCGCATTGTTTGCGACGCAGCATTGCCGCCAGAGAGTTCATAAGTGTATCTTCATATCAAAGGCGTGATATAAATAAACTTTTTAATTAATCACGAGATTTCAGATAGACCCTATATTTCTAGGTGACAAGCTCTGGCAATATCAAATCCGACGTGTATATGTTATAGATCTGCTGCTACTTTAGTGTCCGGGATCCATCTCCAACGGCGTCAGACGGGACGGGTCCACCCCCTCCAGCCATTAAGCAAATCGGTAGCTTCTCGTCATTGGAGCCGATTTTCTTCCTTCTGAGATGGCACTAGCAGGCAGTCGGATACCAATAGCTGACGGGACGGGGGGGACGAGGGATCACCCCTGAGCTAGATGCCCAACGGCGCCAACCTCGAGCTTTTTTGCAATAAGCCTTTGTTTTGTTTTGTCCCTTCCCCTCCTCCTCCCTTCAGCTCTGCCCTAAATCACGAATACCCCCCCGGCCAGCATCATGGATCTATACGGCACAGGCAAAGGCGGCGTGGGAAATAATGTGTGCGTCGTCGGCACGGGCGTCACCGGCCTGCTGGCGGTGAAAAATCTGGTCGAGCAGGGGTTGAATGTCAGAGCCCTGGAGCAGAACGAGTATCTTGGAGGCAATTGGCACCATTCAGTAACCGCGCAGCAAGTCTCGGCGCTGCCGGAGATGAAGGTCAATATGTCGAAAGAAACAGTGAGTGGCTGCCGCTGCCATTGCGCTTGCGATTGAAATTCCGCGAACAAAGGAATCTTGTCTTTGTGTTGAGCACGTGAGAGAAACAAGGCTCATGGGAAGATGTCGTTATACAGAATTCTTTTACCGATTTCCCAATGCCGGATGGTAAGTCCCTAGATGGGAGAGGGGGAGGAAGATGGACGGAGCTGTAGACGAGGGCTGGCCTTGCTGAACCATCCTGTCCTGCCAGACTATCCGTCATTCCCCTCCGCGCAACAGATCGGCAACTACCTCGAGGCATACGCGGACAAATTCGAACTCATCAAGCACATCGAGCTTTCGACGGCCGTGACGAGCATCCGACGAGACGAAGAGGACGGCGTCTGGGTCGTTGCGACAAAGCACACCAAGACGGGCGACGAAGAGGAGCGAGAGTATGACCGAGTCGTCCTGGCGACGGGCGCATTGAACGTCATGAACGTGCCCGAGATCAAGGGCATCGAAAATTTTGCCGGAGACGCCATCCACTCTCGCGACTTCAAGGACCCGTCGAGATACGCCGGGAAGAACGTCTTAGTCGTCGGCCTGGGCTCGACTGGAGCAGACACGCTGAGCTTCTTGGAGAATGCCGGCGCAAACAAGCTGTACCTCAGCAGCAGGAGCCGATGTTCCTTGGTAGGTAGTCTCGAGCTCGGAACTCAGCAGGATAAGAGGTCGCTGACATAGATGCTTGATGCCGACGTCTAGATCCCCAGAACAATCCGAGGACGACCGTGGGACCACTACATGACACGCCGCAGGGACGCGAGGATACGAACTCTGTTACGGCTGTCTCCCAGCGCCACCAACTACTTTGCCGGCAAAGCCATCGGCCTCGTACAAAGCTACGCCTTTCCCACCCTGAGGGCACATCCCTGCTTCAGCGGCGCCGTCAGCGGCCCGTTGTATCGCAGCCCCTTTGTGTGCGACGACCTGCCAGAACTTTTAGACAGCGGCCGTGTCAAGGTCTACCCCGGAATCATGGGTGTTGCCGGTCCACGAACCGTCGTATTCAAGGACGGCAGCGAGATTACCGACGTCGATGCCATCATCTTCTGCTGCGGCTACTACCACGACCTATCCCTCATCGAAGGCGAGGGCCATCCTGCGGATGCTGAGTTTTCCATGGACGCTTTCGAGGAGCTCAAAGCCGCAAAATATTACACTCAAAAGAACCAATATCAGAGGCTCTACCACGGCATCCTGTCGGAGCGATACCCGGAGTCGCTGGCAGTCCTGGGCAGTCTGACAACCCTGCGCCCTACGTTTGTGCTTTACGACCTTGCCACCATGGCACTTGCCAGTATGTGGTCCGGCAGCTATCCACTGCCCTCACCGCGAGCCATGAAGAGGGAGATTGATTCTCATTACAACTTCGTGGTGCGAGCCCTCCAGAATGGCCCGCTGGCCTATCTGGGTCTTCGTATAGACTTCCAAGGCACATATGCCTGGCTCAATTCTGCTGCAGGCACAGGTGTCATAGAACGGCTCGAGGGATGGGGCTGGGAAGCGTGGAAGTTCTGGTGGAAAAACAGGACGCTGTACAAGTTCATCATGGACGGGCCGAACGTCTCGGCGGTATACAGGCTCTTTGACATTGGCAGAGGGAGGAAGCCGTGGGCCGGAGCTCAGGCGGCCATTGAGAAGGCCAACCAAAGGCCGGTGGAGAGGGTCGAGGAGATTCAAGTGGTTCAAGAGGTTCAGGTAGTCCCCGAAGAGATTGAAGCCGCCAATGAGGACACCCCGGACGGGACAGAAGTTGCGGATGATGACGCGGATGAAGGAGACTTGGTGGAGCAGGCTGAGGCTGAATGAACAGACAAGCCGTGTGTTATTTGTCAAAGTCAGACAAAGGTCAAATGAGGCAGTGGAGGACGCGGGACTCAGATGAGCGCAAAGTGAACAAGCAAGGGCGATCGAGGAGAGGTTTGGGGGCCCAAAGGCAAACAGGACAAGTGGACACACAAAGGAACAAGGGCAGAGATGCCTCGATGGCTGGATGAGGAGAAGAACGCGCCACTTGGGCAAACATCTCGCGGAAAGCGAATGAAGCATGATAATGAGATATGATAATGAGACATGAAAGCACATGAACAGAGGGGTCCATGCGGGACGGGCCTACATACATCGATTCCATCACACCGCCAAAAAGAAAAACAAGGTGCTAACTAATTTCCTGGAGAAAACTAGGGAGGGTGGGTGGTCCGGCATATGCACGGCTGCTTGTCTGTGATGGATCTTGGTTTCGCGCGGGCCTGCAGCTGATGGATGGGCTGGAGGCTGAGAAGGGGTGTGAACGGAGCAGCGACACCCGGGATCCTGATCCGTACGTCAAAAGTGGCTTGCAATCCTTGCTTGGTGCAATATACAGGGGAAAGATGTGTAGCTATCCGGGGCTTGGGACCGACGGGACAGGGCTTTCGGGGGTGGCTTCACAGCTTCTCCTCGGGATCATTTGACCTGGGAGAAAGCCATCCAAGTGCTAGCAGGCCTTCAACCTGTTTGTTTGTTTGTTTGTTTGTCTGCTTGCAGCAGGCTATTGCCACTATATGGTGGTAATAGGGATGCTAGCATTGTCAGGCGCGCAAGGGATGCATAACCCATTTGCCTAGAGCCCAGAGCCCAGAGCTAGAGAAGTCCTCTCCGGCGCTGAGCATCCCGGGAGAGACAAGGTCTCGCTCCGGAGAGAAAGAAACCCGGTTCAGTCAGAAAGACCGGGATGCTGTCTGGCCCGATCTAGAGTGAGTTGGCCGAGATAATGTGGCTGGAGGCTGAACCTCTGGCCGTCACCATACCCACATCACCCTGCCATCGCGTCCCGTCCCTCTGGAAGGTGAGTACAGCGCTGGATACCGGGTTCTCGGTGCTGGTGCTGATCGTCGCCTGTGCCGTGCTCTCTAGTCTCTTCCGTCGCACGTGGGTAAGATTATCCAGAGACAGTGAAGCGCAATACTTGACGATCTCTCTCTCTTCTCCCTGAGCGCAAACCATCGGCTGTCGTCCATAGCAGCAAGCAGTATCGAGCTGCGAGACAGCGTGCAATGCTTGCTGGCCTTGAATTCTGACCTTGACTTATCTCATATTTGTGTCTTGCAAATCGTGAAGGTTGCCTTTTTTTGCCTTTTCTTTTTTGATGTGCCCCCCCTTTTTCCGAGCCGTGACTTGACATGGCCTGACCGGCTTGAATATAAGAACCTCGCTTCATCTGCCTTGCCATCGACTTCATACCTATGTTGCAATCCATCTATCTCTTCATAATCCGTATCATCAGCCTCCAGTCAAGATGACATCTTCTACTGCCACCAAGAACAAGGTAGTCTCATACCCTCCACTCCCTTCCACAACACTGTTCGAGTCACTTACGAGAAACTTCCCTAGAAGGTGTCATTTTCTGTGCCACCAAAGCCAAAGGAGCCTGCCCTTACAGAAGACGAACTTCGAAGTATTTTGCCTGCTTCGTTCCGCAATGGTACCGCCTGGGTAGGCCCGCCACACAACCGTGTTCGATACTTTCTGGCGGACGACCTCAACATGGACAAGTTGACCGAAGCCTCGGCCTACTTCTTCCTCCTCGGAAAGGTCAAGTCTCCTCGACCTCTCCACTACCAGCAAGCTCTCGGCCTCGAGATCCAGGTCAGCGAGCGGATGGACACGCACCTGCTCTGGGCCAAGGGCAAGATCTACATCAAGCCGCTTCCACAATACGTTCTCGAGCCCAAGTTTTGGTCAGAATACCTTGAATGTCCCAAATCGTGCCGGTACTCTTCCGACTTTCGTCTTCTTCGAGAGTCGGGGCTCATGCGGCGCATTGCCCAGTTCTCCGAGGAGGTGCCCTGCGAGCACAGCAAGCTCTGGCAGTGCGCCATGGGCTTCGTGTACTCGTACATCGCTCTTATCGCGCACGAGAGCGACTTTGCCATTGCAAAGTCACACAAGCTGATACCTGCCAGCTTGGAGTTCCACGAGTGGAAGCTGTTTGTTGATCGCATGCTCCGCGGCGGCAAGATTTACAGCCAGATCGACGAGCGCTTCGTCTATGGCGAGCTGGACCTGGCCCGCCTCAACACCGTCATGATGCTTCATCGCCCTCTTCGTTATCTGTCACCATGGGGCGGTGACTCGGAGGGCTTCTTCCAAGGCCACCGATTCTCGCCGCTACCGGCCTTGTCCACCGCCGTGGTCTCTATTTTGTTCTCTTCGGAGCAGGTGAAGCTGGTGGTGACGAAGCTCAAGGAAAACAAGTTCCTAGTCTTGGTTGTGTATGTCGCCCTTACTCTCTCTCCCGCTGCACGGCACTCGACGCTGACATTGACACAGTTTGTTCAGCTGCATGTGGGCAATCTTGTACTCGATCTTGTTCATCAGTGGAAGATCTCGATAAAGTCGACTATGAAGAACAAGGCCGAGTCTGAAAGAGCGGAAAAGGGTAGTCATGGAGCTCAGATGCAATGCGAGTAAAAGTAGCAGGTCTTTCGCCGACTGGAGGGAATTGTTTCTTTGGAGTAATGCGGCTTTCTCGGTACATGATTGAAGATATGGCCTGTACATTTTGTAATGACGGATTCTTGATCCCTTCGACTTGGCTGGATAGAAATGGCGGAATAAACGAAAAAGTATTACTAGCATCTTAATCACCGGTGATTCCCTAGCAGATGTTGGTTCAATGACGGAGTAAAACGCTGCTGTTCAATGCTCAGTACCTTACCTAGGTAGTAGTTAGATGACAATGCAGATGGAGAAATATCTATCGTTGTACTTCGGCTTTAAAGAAACTTCAGTACCCTAGGGTAACAAAGCAAGTACTATAGTACCTTAAGAGATCGTGTACATGTTTACGAGAAGTTACTATAGTAGTACTCCTCCCGGGAGACAGCAATGTACAAGAAAGAAGGACTATGCACCTTGTTCGTCACAAAGAGAAGGGAAGAAGGAAGAAAATATAGATCCGTAGCAGCATCGGGGATAGATCAGAGGATGGAAGTCACATTTTGGGAGCACTCAGATGGGAATCGAATTCACTTAACACTACTACCCTTACTAGAGAACAGATGAGAGGGAATAAATAGCGAGGGTAGAAAGAAGAAGGTAAAGACGTAACCGCTCCAAACGCCACCACTAAAGGCTCAATGAGAGCACAACAAACAGATCTAATGATGATACCTGATATCATACCACGCAGGCCAAGAGAAAACGTCCTCGATTTACAAACCTCGCTCTTGCCAATGTCTCGCGTCTAGCAGTCGATTTCTGGGCATCTTAGTGGGCGCTCCATTCGCTGTTGGGGAGGACAATGTAGCCTTCAAAAGCGAAACTTCGCCCTGTTGAGGATTTCGGAAGTAGGGAACATACGAAGAGCAAGATATGTGTTGAGGCCAATGGTTTTCAGCACAGTCTCGCAGGTGATATCCTCGCTGCTGGGATACCTGCACATGGAGGTGTGGTCGCCATAGACGGGGAAGTACTTTTCCCAATATTCTGGTCTGGCGTTGATTATGGCATCTTCCTTCTCGACAAGCTAGGGTAGAAGGTGCCGAGTTAGCATTTGCTTGGTTCTTGAAGCAGCACAACTCACAAGCTTGCCGCGGTAGAGGCTGCTGCCGTGAAAGTTGATGATGACGCGTCTGCGGTAGAGGCGGCCCCTCTCCTCCATAGCCGCCATGCGCTCAATGTGCTCTTCGCATGCCTTGTCCAGCTTGTCGAGGACTTCAGGAGCCGTGGGATTGACGGCAGCGCTGGCAATGTTTCGCACAGACTTGGCCACGTTGTGGTGAGGCGTGTTGAAGAAGGCCAGCATACGGGTGCACTGATCAATGATGTGAATGGTGCCCGTCTTGTCCAGATGGGCCTTGGCCAGCGCCTAGAGTTCATACAGCATGGCGAGGCGCAGGAGTCAGCAGGCAGGAGTCTTGTGGGAGAATGAGGGGGGGCGGGGATGCAGAGTTGACACTCACCTCCTTGACAATCAGTCCGCCAACGCCGTGGCAGAGGAAGACGATCGGCCGAGTAGGATCTTCTAGCCGGTTCTCCATGAGCAGTCGGAGAAGACGATCTCCGTGTTTGACGAAGCGCGACTCTTCTTCAGTTACGGCGAGCCCATTATTCCAGGAGAAGAACATGACTCGACAACGTTTCTCATAGCAGCTGGGAAGGATATCTCTGGGCCATAACTTGCTAGAGTAGCACCAGGTGTCTTTGTGCAGATGGTACTTGGCCTCAATGTTGAGGCAGTGGATGGCAACGATGCTGAGGTTGAGTCGAGGAGTCAAGAGAGGGTCAGCGAGCAGCCCAAAGATGGAATAATGACAAAGATGAAAGGATCAAATCTTGGACACGGGGAGTGGGAAATGGGATACCGAAAATGAAATGGATCTTGTACATACTCAACCTCTATCCGCTGATAGGGAGGGATAACACCCGGACGGTAAGGGAAGATGGTTTCGAGATCGTAGTGCTCCATGTGTTCTGAAAAGATCATAGGCATGATCAAAGCGTTCACGACAGTTGAGAATCTCTCAGAGAGATGGAGGATTCCTGAATACCTAAGGTAGGTAGCGAAGGTTGAGGCGGACGAAGAAAGGGGAAAGTGAAAGGGGTGGAAGTTGGTTGATTCAGAAAGAAGAAGAAGGAGAGAGAGAAGTGAGGGAAGGAGAAGAGGAAAGATGGGTCGATCAAGAAAGAAAGAAAGAACAATGTGAGTCGCAGCTGCTACGGTTGATGGCGTCCGTTTGCTGCTGCGTTTGCAGTCGTTCGTATTCGTGTTTGCAGCTGGCTGGGCACCCAAGGCGTGACAGCTGGAATCGACCGTTATCACTTGGCTGATAGCTGCCTTGTATAGGTACTCAGGTAGCAGTGCGTCCGTTCTCTGTTCAGAGAAGTCAAAAAGCTCCCCTTCATGTATCACAGACGGTCATTGAGAAGGTCTCGTTGACGGAGAGTCTCTTACATGGAGAGGCCTCGACGATGGCAAGCCTGAGCCACGGAAATTCTGCTGTTGTGGATTGAGAACGAGTTACACAGGATATGGCGTTGGCTGGAAGTGGAAAGAGGAAGAGAGTGGGGGAGACAAGGACGCGAGAGGAGAAAGGGGGGAGGAGAGTTTGATGTTCAAGTGCAAGTTCCCGTAAGTAGATGCAGCCAGGATCGGAAGAAGGAAAGGTTGGAAGTCCCTTGGTAAAAGGAAGTGAGGATGCCAGGATATCAAGGTAGCAGCTCTCTTGTTATGCTGCGAAGAGGATGGGGAAGTAGATAGAGGAGGATGCGGAGGTATAGAAGCAGCAGTTGACTGTAGAAACGGAAGATGCACGGGAGCAGAGTATTGTACGTGTGAAAGGATTGGGCAAGTGAAGGAGGGAAGAGAGAGATGAAATACAACGGTCGAGACAGAATCTACCCAAGATCTATCTGTAGGTGCATGTACCCAGAGATGCTGCTGTGATGACACACACCACTCCAATGTCTTCCAGCTGAGAGAGAAGCCCAGACGTGTGCCTAGATTCGGAGCACGCCGCCGGCAGGTTGCTGCTACGCTGCATTGCATGTATCTCCTGTTATGTGGTTTACGGACTTTCTTTTGCTACCTTGAGGGTGATTCTCCATGGCGACTGTCATCGAGAAAGCTTACCAGACGTACGATCGAGGTGTCGATCCCAACGGCCCGAGCAAGATACCCAACGACAGTCAGCCGAACTCGCTCTCTCTGTTCTCTTCTCCCCCAGCCTTCTCCCCCTCCGTCAAGAGCTGCACGCGGAGAACAAGAATACACAGGCCCAGGCCGTCACTGTGTTACACGGGTTATGCGCCCAGAGCCCAAAGGACTGCTCATGTGTGGCAGCTTTAGATTTGTGCTCCCACATCTTGTGGGGTTTTCCTCCTCCAATCTACTTGCTCAATGCCGTCCGGTCCCTCTGCGTCTGCCGGGGACAAGAAGCCTTTCTGCCTTTTTTTCTCCCCCGCCACGAATCACTGATCGGTGGTGAAAGAGGAGGAGGGAGAAAGACAGAGACTGTCTGTGTTGATGCTGCTGCTTGCTGTGACAATGAAACAAACCTTGCGGCAGGGTTCCGAGTGGCTTGTTCTGAAGAGGAGAAACAGCATAATATTGATGTTTGCGTGTTTTCAGCTTCTCGTCCAAGCGCAGCCCATCCTTGGACCGAGATTGCCACAGTACCTGGGTATGTATGTACTCATTCTTGCTGTCAATGATTCCGAGTGAATGAGATCGGAGATTATCGGCGGATCTACCGGACGAGAGACGGCAGGAGTTTGGCATCTCATGCATGTCTCGGTGCTGAACACCAAGCGCGTTGATCATGATCGTTAGACAACATTACAACTATGTAGCTGCCACTACCCGGTATCTTAGCTGCTGCTACTTGTGTTGCTACTGCTACGATCTGCCGAGTCAGTGCATGCCATTAGACTTGGTTCAGCCGCTATTACATCAGTTGTGACCATGGCCCCTTCAATGTGGTAATACAAAGACCAGCCTCGAATCTCGGTGCAGGCATCAGAGACACACCAAGACAACGATGCCCCAAGATAAGGCGACAAGAAGGTGGTTGGCGAACGAAATTCAACTGACCTCAACTAAACTCAGACTGAACGGAACTGAACCAAGTCAAAGTCGAGCTCTGCCTCTTCTATTACTCGTACAGTAAGTAAGTGCCTGACCTAGGCTGTAAATCTCAAGCTCTCCACAAATAATGGGCTAGCTCATAGGTCGTCAAGGTAGGGTGGCCGGCTGTCATCCGATCGGTCCAAATTCTCGATCCTCCACCTCATCCAGGACCTCGTCTCGCATCTTTTGTTCCGTCGGGCCTCGTCTCTTCAGGCGGGCATCCAATCCCTCGCATTGTCTGTTTGAGATTACAAAGCCACCAGAACTGTGGCTGACAGCAAACCAGGAGGGCGTGCGGGAAACCAAGACAAAGCCACGCCAAGGGGGGGAGTGTCGCAGCGCCCATCGCGGAGCCAGTTCCGTGATCAAACCTTGATTGTCTTGCTTCTTTCTACATACTTTCGTTCAATCCTTGCTCTTTTCCTCCCTTTGCTCGGACGGAGAGCCCCGGCCTCTACTTTCAGCTGCTGGCAAGCACCGCGTCTTTGCTGCATTAGTGGCCCTGCGCCGAAAGACGGAAATGGAAGCGTCGCTCGTGAGAGTCCGGTCTGGGCTCGGCGCTCGTGTGGCTTCTGCGGCCTCGGTTTCATCGTCGCCATTGTCCCTGCCTTCATCGCTATTGTCGGCGTCCTCGGCGTCCTCGTCCCCGGCTTCGCCCCGGTCATCGCCATCACGGGGTCAGCATGCAATCTGCCGCTCTTCGACGACCACGAAAACGCCCTCGACTGCCATGATGGCCCGCAGCTTCTCTGCACTTAACCGCCCTCCGCCCAAGTATCCCGGCCATGTGCCTCTGACCAGGATCGAGCAGGCAGGCATGGCGCTCGGATCTGGCATCATGTCGCTGCTCAACCCCTACCGTGCCGGTACGCCCTGAGTTGTCATCTCATACGATGTGCTTCCTCTTGTCTCTCTCATGCTTCTCATGCTGCTCCTCCTCCTCGCACTCCTCCCACTCCTCTCTCTACCCCTTGCAATGCTACATTAAGCCGATGCTATGCTACGCTATCACCGGTCCTGTTCTTTGCCATGCTGATTCCCTAGTCCGGGTTCCTTCTCCCCCCTACCTGGTCCTGCTCCTCTCCTGTTCTACTTGTTGTCTTGCCTTGGTGTTGGGGGCCTAGAAGTAGCAAACAAAGGGCTGGGTCCGCTTTTGCAGGATTTGTATGACGGCTTGACACCACCCCTTGTCTATCTCTCCTATCTTCCGATAGAGAAAGAGGGTAGGTGCGACGAAGGGAGAGGGGGGAAAGACTTGAGGCTGAGAAGTGGATATGGAGAAGGGATACAGAGCAAGTCATGATGCACTGAAACCGGGAAAGATGGACTTCTATGACAGACATGACATGGCATGCCACGACATGACACACACATGCACACACACACGGCGAGAGAGGCAAAGAGAGAGACAAAGACACACATGATAAGATTCTGACGCTGGCAAATCTCCGCAGATCTCATAGCCACCCTGGGCGAGACGACGGCAACCCCGTACTTCATCTACCGCCTCCGCGACGCCATGCTGGCTGATCCCACAGGCCGCCGCATCCTTCGGCAGCGCCCGCGAATCAGCTCCAAGACGATGAGCCTGCCGGCGCTTCGAGCCCTGCCGCCCAACTCGGTGGGCCGTGCCTACGCCTCCTGGCTGGACCGCGAGGGCGTGTCCCCCGACACTCGGTCGCCGGTGCGGTACATTGACGACGAGGAGTGCGCGTACGTGATGCAGCGGTACCGCGAGTGCCACGACTTCTACCACGCGCTGACCGGCCTGCCCACCGTCCGCGAGGGCGAGGTCGCGCTCAAGGCCTTTGAGTTTGCCAACACGCTGCTCCCCATGACGGGGCTGAGCATGCTGGCCGTGGCCACGCTCAAGCCGGCCGAGAGGCGGCGCTTCTTCAGCGTCTACATGCCGTGGGCGGTCAAGAATGGCGTGCGCAGCCAGGACATCATCAACGTCTTTTGGGAGGAGCAGCTGGAGAGGGATGTGGACGATTTGCGGAGGGAGCTGGGGATCGAGCAGCCGCCGGACCTGCGGGAGATTCGCAAACGGGAGAAGGAGGAGAAGAAGCGGCTCAAGGAGATGCGAGCTCAGGGAATCTGATGGCGAGTTTGGCGATAAAGCAGAATAAGATAATACCATCTCAGCTTTTTGTTCATGCTCCTTTCAATCGTGACGAAGAACCAACCAAACATTAAGAAACTGAATAGGGTAACCGTAGTTCAAGAACCTGAAGAAGAGGGCAGAAAACAAAAGAAGAAGCCCAAAATGCCACGCTCACAAGTCGTCCAAGTCATCGTCATCGTCCCAGCCCTTGCGCCTGCTCACGACAATCTTCTCCTGCTCCTGGTTGTCCGCCACGGCCGTCAGCAGGTCCTTGAGCTGGGCCTCGGTCACCTTCTGCCGCAGCTGGCCCGTCTGGGCGAGCGTGATGAGCCGGTTCTCGATGTCGGTCGCGCGCTGCTCCTTGACGAGGCGGATGCGGCCGAGACGGTCTGCGGCTTCGGGGTGGAGGATCTGGTTGAGGATCTGCTGCCTGGCTTCGTCTGCTTGTCTGTTCGGTGGTTACCTTTGTCAGTTACCGAGAGGATAGGTAAGTAGGCATAGGTAGCTATAGCAACTAACTGTCTCTGTCTCTCTCCATCTTGACCGGATGGGCCGCCGTTGCCTCGGGAGGCGCCGCCTCCTTGTGTTTTGAGCTGCTCGAGACGAGCTTTCCGGATCTGTACAGGGAGAGATACTATGTTAGACTTGACCTGATAAAGAATGAACAGACAAGGAAATCCTACCTGTTCCAACTCTGAGTCATCCATCTCTCTCGTATAATCGTCAACTGCTTTTGTTGGTGTTTTTTAAGTCGTCATAGCGGTTGCGGGGCCCTTTTTTCCGCCAAGCTTGATAATATGGTGTTTTGGAGGGGTAGCTGTTGCCCACGTGATCGGCATGGCAGCTATAGAAGGTGGGAATAGCTGCATGAAGCTATCATGATGAGTGGCGTGAGCTTCTCCGGTTTACAGACGGAACATACCAGTTCGGCGACAGAGAGACGGATTCAATTCTGAAAATATTGAATAAGGAGATTTGCAATATTGAGAGGGTTCACCTAGGATTACACCCACCAGGACTTATAACCATCATCCGATCCGAGCTATCCTAAACGCCAATCAACGTCGAATCAACTATAAGCCGCCGCTATTGATCAAAAAAGAAGCCGCACAATACCACCCATGAAAACCCAACACTATCCCTTGACGGCATAAACAGGCCTAATCTCAAACTCCGGGGCCTCCCTCTCCTCAAGCCGCTGAGCCATCTCTCTGCCAATCTCTTCCATCTGCTTGTGCAGCTCAGGGCTGCCCAAAGCAGTCCCGTCTCCTCCTCTCCAGTCGAAGCGCCGCTTCTCTTGATCCCACACCAGTGATCTCCCCGGGCTTTCCTTGACCTTCCACTGCTGGTGCTGCAGCCGCGCTCTCGCCTTCCTTCTGTCCCCCCTGAGCAGCATTGTCTCGAGCGTCACGTCCAGCTGAATGTCCAAGACGATGTACATCGCCTGCAGGCAAGGGTACCAGTGAAGGACATCGGCCAATGAAGAGATGTCGCCCCAGATGGTCGTATGAGGGACGGCAATGCGTGTGAGCTCCGTGGTGTTGTTGACAACAAGACCAGCGAAATCTCCTTCCGCCAGCCGGTTATGAGGCTCGTTGCAAAATGTGTGCCACTGGTCCATGCCCACGAAGAGGGCATCACGCATGGGATCGAACCGATGAACAAAGACGTGGCATTCCCTGGCCTCGTGGAAGCACATCCTGACGCCTTGCTTTCGAATCCAGGCAAGGGCGACGCTTCGGGCCTCGTGGTTGACAGATGCCATCGGGATGTCGACGTGGACAGAGTCTAGCTTCTCGTGTTGGAAGCTAAACGTGATGGGCTCCCCGCGTATGCCGTGACCTCCGTCGTGAATCGCTCCGGGCTCGGCCCTTGGTAGCTTCCGGGGACCCCAGTATCCCTTCTGGTAGTTGTGCAATGTGATGCAGTTGAGGTCTGGCACGCTCTCCTGCCATATCTGCAAGCGCAGCTCCGGAGGAAGGCTGGAGAAGCGAGAGAACGAGGTGGGCTCTTTTGAATGTGCCATGGTTTCTTTCTCCGTGTCTTGTCAGATTCGATATCACTTTGGAGTATGCTGCGCGGAGATTCTTACAGAATCTTCAAGTGGGTGGTCTAAATGTGAGTGAACTTGATTCGGACGGCTCGCGATGTGAAGCAGAGTGCTTCGTATATCGACGTAGAGGGAGATGGAAAGAAGACAAAAGAAAAGAGAAGTAGAAAAGAAAAAAGGAAACCAGGCAATGAAATACAGCAGAGTGAATGGCACAGACAAAATTGGCCTCAGAGTTGAGTTTGAGCAAGCTATTCAAAAATTACCAAGCAGCAGCACACGACACACAAACAAGCCTAGCCAACGCATCCATCCCTACCTTTACTTTACCTGACTTTACCTTACCTAGATGTCTTCTACGGCAATCCTCCCGCATCCGCGACCCCGCTTAGTCCCCATGATCAAGATGGCTGGCTAGCAGCGAATCTTGACGAATACAAGAACCGCGAGCTAGTGCTCCGTACAGGTTCTTGCGAGGGAGGCAAGGCGGGCGATCGAGGACCGGGATCAAGCAGTATGATGTGATGCTTGTGGAGAGAAGGCGGGGAACGGAGCAATATGTAGATGCGGTGCGACCTTCGGTGTGTCGCATTGCATTCCGACTCGTTACAAGCTCCGTGGAAATGTAACCAGGGGGGGCAGTGGCATGCAAGGCTTCGAAATCAAAGGAAGAAGGGAAAGCTCGGAAATATGTTGTGCGCTTTGTGCTCGCCGAAGCCATCACTTTGCGTGCCGAGGCTTGCGATGCGGCGGACTGACTGACTGCAGGCCAGGCGTAAGAGTGCCTGAATTGATGACGAGGGAGTTGGGCATAAATGATATGCCTAGTGAGTACGATCTCAGCCGCATCAACACGTATCTTGCATCGATTCGCCAGGCAACAAGAGGGACGACGACGACGACAGCAACCACAGAGCCAACAAGAACAACAAGAGACGCTAGAGATGAGTGCTTGTTGGAAAAATGTATACTTGTATAAAGATCCGTCTGTCATGTCATACCTGGTTCCACGCCAATGCTAATGCCCGAGATAGAAAACTGAAAACAAGCTGGTGTACAAAAAGTGGACTCATGTATCCCCATCCCCCCTTTCTCCCCGAGTAACCAAACCAATACACGCAAGTGGTACGAGTCAATGGTGAGGAATGCACAAGTCGGCTTACACAAGCCTGTTGCCCCTTGAGTTCGGTGGTAGGGTCCGATATCGAAACGAAAGGTGGCTGGGCACTGAAGTCTCCTCGACGGGTATGTACGAGTTGAGCCTCTCGATGGCCAGGGAGTGCTTTGCCTTGATCATGTCCCGTATCATGGAGTTGGTCGGTGTCTCGATGCCCAGCTGGTGGCCGCGCCGGATGAAGAAACCGTTCAAGTAGTCAATGTCTGTCGGCAGGCCGTTTTGGATCTGCCGCGCCAGATCGCTGGAGGCGCCTCGTCTGGCCATGATACGGCTGTAAATGTGCTGCTTGATCCGGCTGCCCCTTATAAAGTTTCGGATGGCCGCCGAACCCTCAATCTCCGGCATGTTGTCCACAACCGTGATGATCTCGGTCAGCAGCCGCTGCATCATGCGCTGCGCAGCCGGGTTTCGCTGCAAGCCGGCGTACGGGATCTCCATCAGCACGCAGACGGGCTCCACGACGGAGTCCAGTATAACTGATGGAAGCTTGAAATGCAGCCACTTGTCAAAGGGGGCAAGCGACGAGTTGAGGTCCTTGACGCCCTCCATGGCCTGGACAAAGTTGATGCGCGACTCCGTCCTCTCCACGTCCTGACCCTGGAGGCTGGAGTCCGCAAACGTCAGCTGCGTCTTGCCGTGCCGCAGCTCTTTGACGGCATCGTAGCGCCGGTTAAAGGCCAGTCGGTGGCTCATGTGGCCGAGTACGAAGCTTGGCCTCGATTCGGTTCCCTGGAAAACCCGTTGCCGCACCTCTTCGAGGACGCCCAATCCATCTGTCATCAGGCACACGGCCGTATCTTTGTTGACGCGGTGCCTGACAGACTGCAATGCCTCGACTGCTTCATGTCCCGGTCCAGCCACCAGCAGCTGCTCAATGTGCGAATTGTCGTCTTTCGCGATGGCCTTGGGCCTTACTGATAAGTGTTCCAGTTTCATCTTGCGCTGGTCGCCGTGGCGAGACTTGTAGATGTTGCGATACCTTGACGAATGGGAAGGCGATGCCGAAACTGATGAGCTTCTCTTCCACCCAAGCATCTCAACAGAGTCATAGACACCAGACAAGGCGTGTGCAATAAACCTCGATCTCTCGTCATCCCCTAGGATGTGGATTTTGTGTACCGAAGGCAGTTTGGCGGCCTCGGGAGGCAGTAGCACCGAGGGTACATAGAATCTCGGCGTAGTAGATGTGGACGGCGGCGGTGAGGACGGCGATGAGGAGGAGGAGGAGGAGGAGGGTTTTGCTGTGGCAGTCTCGGGGCGCAAGGCCTTCGACCACGGCCGAGGTACGGGATATCGCGTGCTTGCTTCGGTCGGGGTCGAGGGGCCCGGCGAATGGGCCGGGCTGTTGCCGTCTCCGGATGAGGTCGATGCCACGGTGCCATAGCGCCGGCCTCGGCACATGCTATCGCCAGTCCATGCTGAATGCCTCTGACATATCCGGGCGGATAGCCGCGGTCGAACTGAGCTAGCCACCGTGAAGGGTTGCCGAGGATCGTCGGCGAGGCGAACGGTGTAAGAGGAGGAGGAGATGAGCGAGGTAGGAGATGCGATAACGGCGGAGGAAGGGCGTCGCAAGCAGTCCCGTGTTCTAGATCGGACTGTTCATACGCGCTGAGGTTTCGGCTGTCTCCCGGGAGGGCGCTCTGGGGTGGGAAATCGACGGGGAGGAGAGAGAAGCGTTGAGGAGGATTGTGGCGTATACCAATGTGTGGAGAGGTCGGCAATGCGTGATGTATGTGGCTGCCGGACTAGAAGATATCGATTGTACTTCGCAGGAGTTCAGCCAGAGCAAAAAGAGAGAGAGAGCTGCAAAAGAGAGTCAATATTGCGCTTTGTCCGTGTCGATGATCCGTCCGTTGGTCAGTTCAGTATCATCAGCCAGGGTTCTTTTTTCTCTCGCCCGTGTCCCACTGACTGCGGGATCGCGCCCCGACAGATGAATTTACGCCCCGATAAAGAGCCACAATCCCCGATAGCCGACTCAGCAAGTGCCAAACGCGGAAATCAGAGCTTTTAGCATTTTCATCTATTATCAAGTGAACAAGCAGAGGGAGAAGCTGCATCAAGCACCTGCTTCTCTACGAATTATTCGTCGAAGCTCCCTGAATCAATTCATATCTCATTCTAATTCGCTATCATGACGGATATTCCCACAATCATGCCAGACGTCGAGAGGCTGGGCTCTCAGCTGGACAACCTCGAAGATGCGCTTGAGCCTTTGCTGGGGAATCTCAGCGAGATGTCCTCCCAGCTGCCCTTGTTGGACCGGGCCAAGCTGTTTTCTATGGCGGCGTATGCCATTGAATCTCTCCTATTCTGTGAGTTGACTTGTACCATATGATTCGCGATGAGTGTATGTGAGCTAACTTTTACATGTTGCAGCGTCTTTGAAGATCCAGGGGGCTGATGCGCAGAACCACGCGGTCTTTGCCGAGCTCAAGAGGATTCAGCAGTACTTTGCAAAGATCAAAGCGGCAGAGGAACCCGCAGGCCAGCGCAAGCTCGTCGTCAACCAGGAGGCTGCCGCGCGTGTACTAAAGGCGGATTTGGTAAGTCGCTTGATATCACATCTCTCCCATACAACGTCTCAATGACATGTTTCTTTGTCTCGTCTAACACTTCTCAGAGCGACAACAAGCCTCTGAGCGCCAAGTTGGCCGAAAAGATTGCCGAGGAACGCGCAAGAGCTCTGCTCAAGGCCGCCGAAAGCAAGAAGCGTGCCGCAGACGACGCGACTGAGCCTGCCGCCTCTTCGCCATCAAGTCAGAAGAAGCCCAAGACGAAGGGCAAGGCCAAGAACACGAAAAGCAAGAAATGAGAACCAGTCATGGTTCTTCTTTGTGAGATTTTTAGCGCGTGCTTTGCTGGCTATAGAGAGTGGCGAACATTTCAGCATTTCTTCATCGGGGCGTTTTACGGCAACGGAATTTTTTATTCGGGGTTTTGGGTCTACAGTACGGAGCACGCCTCTGTTTCTTATTCAAGGGTACAAAGTGGTCAGGAACTGGATATGGGTCTGCACTGATAATACTGAGATGCATTCCTGTATGATGAACAATACCAATCATCGACAGGAGCAATTGTTGAGTGTTGAATGAAGCCATCCTCTTAAGAGTCATATGTTGGAAGCTTCTCGCAGTAAACTCTGCCAGGCACCCATCTGTCTAACGAGGCACTAACCCTGTAAGCCAATTGGCCAGCTCTGCACAAGCACAAACTCGGCCCCTCCCATTGGCCGCAAATAAATCCTTTGCTCTCTGCCATTTGCCATCGTCACCTTCAACACTTCAGCCTCGCCTTTTTCTTCTTTCTACACCTACTCCTTGTCATACCAAACAGAGTCCTAACAACCCCAAATCTTTCCTCGAAATGCCTCGTCAACGATCCGTCGGCCGCGCCCCTTCGCGCCCTACTGCTTCCGCCCCCGCGCCTCAGCAGCACCGCCCTGCCACCACCATGGCCGCTCCTCCTCAGCACCACGCTCCCACGGCCATGGCGCCTCCCCCTCAGGTGTCGCAGGGCCCTGGGCTGTTTGGCCAGATGGCCAGCACTGCTGCGTAAGTCTTGTCTTCTCGATATTGACCTTCTTTTCTGGCTTTTCAGCTGCCGGCGCAAAGCTGTGATATCATCGGCGGAAAAGCTCGGCGTGCCGCATCTCCGGACGGCGAATTGCCTCGGCTACCGTCAATGACGTAACGAAACGCCGCAGCAAAATCAAAATCAGACAGCCTTTGCTCGCAAGAACCAGACGCAGCTAACCATAATCTTGTCACAGTGGTGTCGCCATTGGATCCTCCGTCGGCCACGCAATCGGCGGCCTCTTCAGCGGCGGCTCCTCCGAACCCGCCGCTCCCGTCCAGGCCCAGGCCGCTCCCCAGCAGAACCAGCAGTACAACAACTGCGCCGGCGCCGCCCAGAACTTCACAAAGTGCCTCGACGAGAACGGCGGCAACATGCAGATCTGCAACTGGTACCTCGAGCAGCTCAAGGCCTGCCAGGCTGCCGCTAGCCAGTACTAGAGAGGGCCGGGGACCCAGGAGATGAAGAAGACGAAAGAACGATACGATATGAGGGAGACCATCTATCGAACCGATATCATGTACTATTATAACATACTTGTACATGTCCGTTTGAGACAAGTACGCATGCATATACAGATACAGAGAACACATACGAGGGGTGGTCCATGTTCGCAAAGACAGACACTCTCCATGATGGGTTAGACGGAGATTCGGAGTGCGAGACGCCAGCAAAAGCAGGTTTGTTCTTCACGGAGGTGGAGGAGAAGCATGTCTGTTGTTCTTTGGCCTCTCTGATGAGGCAGAGAAAGGCGTCTCAAGAGACCCGCCGGGTTTATTAAGAAAATCCCTATAGAAAGGCACACTCTGCTCTTAAAACCTATAGTTGTACAAATGAACAATCGAAATAATTATGCAGATGCAAAGATGAAGACAGTGATTAGACGCAGAGAAAAGAGGGAGAAAGTGAACATGTCGCCTCGGTCAAACGAAAGTCTTCACCGGCTGTGACACGTTGGTAGTAAACTAATATACACAGCGCTTGCGCTTCATGTTTCGTCGTCGTCATCGTCGTTGTCTGGCCGCGGCTCAAAATTGAGCTATACACACAGAGTCAGTCCAGGGCTCGTCTCGATGCGGTACAAGACATAGGAAGTAACATACCGAGTTCCCGTTGTACAGCTGGTGATCGCGCTGCAAGTTCTGTAACCCTCGCACCCGGCGATTCCTCTCCTCGGACGCAGTCCTGGCCGTCGCAGCTGGCGTGCTGTCCCGTCTCCCTATTTCCGTGTCGCCCCTGGCCGCGCGCTGCCCTCCTCCCAAGCCAACCAACCCCAGAAGCCAGTTGAAGAAGCCCAGAATCAGTGCGAGAAGCTTCGACCAAGGTGATACCTGTCGTTCATTGGCGCGATAAGCCGACGAATACTTTTGGACAGGAATCAGAACCAGCGTTGAGGACGGAATCAAGCCCAGCTCGCCAATCGACTTGCTTTCCTCCGTCGCGTCAATGTTCTTGTTGGGCAGCGGTGTCAGGACCTGCTTGAAGGTGTACGGGCTTTTGCTCGTGCCTCGGTTCTCATCAACCCACTGCCTGACTACCGTCAGAGGATCACCTGTCTTGAACCGTGATCGTATGGTTGAGCCGTCAAAAAGCCGGACTTGGATGGATGCCATCTCAGACACCTTCCTAGAGTTTGTGGACGGCAACTTGCTCAGCATTGTGCTGGCTGAGGCAGTAGCGTCGCTCGCCCTTCGGCTCTCATTCCTCTGCTGCTCCTTTTGCGACGCCCGCAGGCGTCTCTCCTCTCGGTCATCTTCTATCCGCTTCAAGATCCTTCGGCGTTCCTCGAGTTCCGACTGTCGCCTCTTCTTTAGCTGTTCCGCTTGCTGGTAAACTCTGGCTCCGTCCGTGTCAGCGGCTGCTTGTGCCTCTGCTTTGGCCTTTTCTCGAGCCTTGGCCCGTTCCTCCTTGGCCTTTCTCTCGGCCTCCTCTTTCTGTGCCTTGAGCTTGGCCGCCCTGTCGGCCAGGAGGTGGTCAACCTGATTGACTTGATTGACCACTACTTCCTGTGGAGCGGTGCCCACGGCCTCGACCTGAGCCTGAAGTTGGGCCTCTGGCGGTGATTGTAATTGTGATTGCGATCGTATCCGTGTCTGAGATGCGGGTGAAGGCGAGGTTGAGGGAGCGGGGGCGGTGACGGAGGCGGGAGCGGGAGCGGGAACAGGGGCAGTCAAGCGTGTCGGTGAAGCTGACGGTGAGGCCGACGATGATGAGGCTTGGGCTGGGGCTGAGGTCGCAGGAGGAGCGGCGTTGAAAGCAACGAGGATTCGGCGGAGGAAGTCTTCCTTGGAAGTGCCGGCGGCAATGTATTCTTTGAGCTCGCCGTGCTTCATGATGACGACGGTGGGCGTCTTGGGCAGCGGGAAGATTTGCGACAGGTATCCCGCCTCTTCCGACTCTGCGATGAGCCGCAGGGCAACCGCTTGCGTCTCGATGAGTTTTGACAGCTGCGGTTTGCGACAGACGAAATTGTTAGCCAGTCAGTCATGGCCCTCAACTCGGTAAGTCATGTACTGCTGCACATGTCGTAGACCGTGATGTTCCTGCATGCGGGAAGAGGGAGGCCGCGACTTACAGAGCTGTCTTGTAGAAATTCATTCTCCCATGTCTGGCTCTCCTCATTCTCATCTATATCGACGTCAGACAAAGCTCCAGGTGTTTCCAGCGACACAGGATGCCCAAACGGCGGCAAGGCTCGGGTGTCAATCACGCACTTGTCACGAAGCAGAGGACAAGCTTCTGCTGGCCCACCGCTGTAGAGATGCCCTCCTGCAGGCTCCCCTGATAGAACATGGTTCTTGTTGTTGCTGTCTTTTCTCGATCGGCCCAGTGGAATTCGTAACAGATGTCGTTCTCGATCAGTATCGCGCTTCGATGACTCTCCAGGCCTCGGCGTCTGGCTTGTAGAGATGATGACCAATTCAACGGGACGCCGCGCGAAGGAGGAGGGGGATCGCAGTTGGCCGGTGGATTACCGAAGATCGCCAGCAATGCTGCTGCAGGGATTCGATTCGCAGGCACTTTCTTTCGTCTCACGCGCGTCGCTTTTATCGGTGTGCACTGCAATAGTAACAATGGCAGCAGAAAAGGAAATGGAAAAAGAACAAAGAATGAAGCAAGAGTTTGTTGGGGCCTCACGATAGAATCATCGAGTTCACTGGACAACGTTCAACACTACCAGTTAGCTGGCATCTTAGAACCGATGACGAAAGACCGGCCTTTGACGGGCACCGGCTAGACCAGAACGGGATGCGCAGCAAGGACATGCAAAAAGGTTCCGCCGGCATCATTCCTGTTTGGGCGCACGTACGGGGACGCGGCTGGTTATGGAAGGCGGTGAGGATTATTGGCCGAGTAATTGTTGGGGGACCTGCACTAGTTTCCGAGGCTGGACATGAACCGCCAGTTGCACGTGGGATGCCTGAGAAAGATTCCTTACAATACGGGCAAGAAGTGAATATTGCGTACTGATTGATTCGAATGTATCAATTCGGAGAAACGTTGAATTTCAGAAGAACTCTGTCAGTCAGTGGAGCGAGGTCAAAGTGATAGTCTAGAGACAAGTCGCAGGAAATACTACAGGAGGGTACGAAGTATAGGCGATGCTTGAGATCTGCCAGATAAACAAACAGAAAAATAGATAGAAATTGAAAGGAGATTGGAATTTTCAATAATTGATCAAGGCCACTTATAGTATGGCACAAGACGATATATGATATTTCTCATGTACGAGCATTACAGACACAGAGAGAGAACACTCTCACGTTCAAGACAAAAGGCAAATATACCCCACTAGATGCCCCTTCTAGGCAGGCGGTCAATATCGGAGAACCGTCAATACTATCGCCATACCATGATCAAACATCTCCAGATCCATAACCAAACATTCAAGCAGCCGCCCTTTATCCCTTCATGCGGCATTCCCTTCCAAACATGAACTGCACACACAATCTGCTGCGGAGTCTACGGGCACCCGGCGGCCGCATCGCCACTACATCCGCCCGCCAATGCGCCAGAAGAGCAGCTGTTTCAACAGCGTCAACAGCAGCCCGCCTACCCACGCCTCGAACCGTCCAATGCAGACGCATCTCATCGACTGCCTCCCGATCAAATAAGCCGCAGTCCGCCGATGATCCGAATTTCGTGTCCATTGTCGACCTGCAACCGCAGACGGTTCGCGCGGGCAAGCGTCATGGCCCGGGCATTCTCCTCCTCGGTTCGTAGCCCTTCCAAGTACACCATATAAGTGAAGACGTACAGGTGTATACATAATACATACCCTGAAAACGAATCTTCAAACCTCACGTCCTCCTTTGAAAAGAGATATACCAAACTTATCCAACAAAGACTGACTTTTCCTCTTCAATCCGAACCAGCCCTTATCCCAGTCACAGCCTTCGTCCTCGGCACATGGCAAGTCCAGCGCCTAGACTGGAAGACGAGGCTCATCGCAAAGTTCGAAGACCGCCTCATCCGCGACCCCCTGCCCCTGCCGCCTCACATCGACCCCTCCGTCGTCGGCGAGTTCGACTACCGCCGCGTCCTCGCCACGGGCCGCTTCCGGCACGACCAGGAGATGCTCGTCGGCCCGCGGATGCGCGACGGCCAGGACGGCTTCATGGTCATCACGCCGCTTGAGCGCAAGGACGGCTCCACCATCCTCGTCAACCGCGGCTGGATCAGCAAGAAGCACCGCAGCCAGAGCACGAGGCCCGACAGCCTGGTGCAGGGCGAAGTTACCGTCGAGGGCTTGCTGCGCGAGCCGTGGAAGAAGAACATGTTCACGCCGGAGAACCGGCCGGACAAGGGCGAATTTTACTTTCCCGACGTCCACCAGATGGCGGAGCTGACGGGCAGCCAGCCGGTGTGGATAGAAGCTACCATGGGTGAGTATCTCTCTTTTTTTCCCCTTCGCTGTCTTGGCTAGAGACGGATTCGTTCAATCATTTGTTCCTTCATTCATTCATTATCCCTATCGACGTCATGTGAAAGCGTTCCAAAAGCAGTCTATGTATCCGTGGTTCAACTGTTACAAGTATTCCCTTCTCATCCCAGGCATACCAATGTTACCCTCCTACCCTTTGTGATACCCGCCTTCATACCCCTATCAGTATCCCATATCCATTTCCATACTCATATCCCTTGACCGTCCATTGCTAAATCAAAGGCAAAACACAATGCTTGCAGAACCCGAATTTATGCGCATGATGGACTATGAGGCTCGCGGGATCCCCTTCGGACGACCGGCCGAGGTCAACCTGAGGAACAACCACGCTCAGTACATCTTTACATGGTACGTAATGCAACCAAATTCCCCCCCATCTGTCTACTTGAAAAGGATTGAAAGACAAAAAAGCGGGAAACGACAGTGAAGGATAAAACCAAGAGTCTTGCCTAACTCGTCCGATCCACAGGTACGGGCTGAGCATCGCCACATCAATTATGCTGTACATGGTGCTCAAGAAGCCGCCGTCCAACATTGCCCGCCGCGTCCGGGCCAGCGGACCCATGTGAAGAGAATGTGCAGTATAAAACAAGTAGACGGAGACATGTAATGGAAGAGGATAGATGGACATGAAAAGTCATGAAAAATGAGGGGGGCGCAAAATGAAAAAGAAGCAGAAGATCATGGCCGGATTCGCTATACATCTAGAGGAAGAGAGAGATGGGAAACACGAGAAAAGAAATGCGGAGAAGAGAAGGAAAGAAATCACTCCTCATTCCTCATCTTCCTCTTCTTCCTCTTCCTCGTCCTCTGGATACACCATCTCCTCTTCCCCGTCATCCTCTTCCTCGTCGTCATGCTCATGCTCTTGGTCTCGCTTCCGCTTGGAGCCGCCGCCTTGACGGGGCACATACGCGGTATGGGTGGTAGAATACGTGGTGTGGGTATGTGTCTGCGTGGAATACACGGCATGGCCAGCATGTCCATTAGGTCTGGCTGCGGGAACAGCACATCTCAGCATCTGCTGGAGCTCGCGCGGGAGATGGCGGTTGGCCAGATGGAACAGGGATACTTCCTGGTTGAGGAGGCGTTGTCTATGACAAGAGTGTACGATATATGATTAGCATAAAGGAATGGTATAGAGGAGGACAAGAGAGAAACAACCGCTCACCTGTTCATGAGAGTAATCACATCGCGCTCCTCAATGGTCCTTCGGTTGGCGTGGTTCGCATAGGCTCCCAAATCGTCGCCCAGCTGCTCAAAGTACCAGTCCGAAGCCTGCGTCAGGGCGTCGAGGGTGTCGGCGCTGATCCTCTGGTTGACGAAGCCTGTGGTCTGCATGGCGGTATGGGCAACCTGCCTGACAAAGACGGCCGGCAGCTGCGGGTACTCGATGTTGTGCCTGGAGATCCTGACCTTCTTCTTCTTCCTCGGCCGGCCGTGTGGGTATCCCTCGATGTCGTCGTTGACCTTCTCCGGCTCGCGGCCAAGCGTCTCAAAGTCAATCTGGGTGATGGCTTCCATCTCGGCGTCTCCGAGGCTCGACACGGACCCAAAGTCGCCAATGTCGGGGAACTGGTCGTCGTCTGCCAAAGCCATCGTCTTGTCGGCGTCTGCCTGGCTCTTTGCACGCATGAGTGCAATGTCATCGGCCACGGGATTGGGGGCATTGAGGACACTGTGGATGTCGTCGATGACGGGAGACCTCATGTAAAAGGTGGTCTGATCGTTGTCGCTCAGGCCTGAGGGCATTTCAAGGCTAAAGTCGCTATCACGACGGTAACCAGGGGGGCGCCTTCTTGTGCGTTAGCTACTGTTGCAACCATAGTTCCAGTGTATTGTACGAGGGCAGAGAAAAGGGGGGGTGGGGGGAAACTGAGGGGTGGTTGCAGGCGATCAGAGTAGTAGGCACGTACCGCAAGTCTGCAATCTCTGGATCCATGGGAGCACGAGGAGCGAGCTCGATGGGCCTGGGAAATGGATCTGACCCTGTATACTCTCCGTAAATGTCATCCCATATGATGTCGTCGCTGACTCCAGGATAAAAGCCAAAGCTCCGTCTAGGGGGCCCCTCGCTGGTAGCCCGACGAGGCAGCTCAACAGACTGGACAGTCAGGTTGCCCTCTTCAAGGATCGACGACTGCGGGGGCTGCAAGTCGTCCGAGGAGCCCTCGTCCAGGGGCAAAGACAAGCGAGGCCTGTCAATGGGCAGCTCGTCGTCGTCGTCGTCGTCGTCGTCACGCCGAGACCTGCCGCTGCCACTGGCCTCTCCGTTGCGGTTGTCATTGCCATTGCTATCAGGAGAGACCTTATCCGGGGATGACGATGAGGCAATGACATTGCTGGTCGGGGCTAGGGCACGGCCAAGGTTGCGTAGGATATTCATGGGCGTTTCCCTCTGGTCCCGGAAGCTCTGACGACGGCTGCGTCCAGGCGTGAACATGGCCAGGCGGCGCTGATCCAGGGCTCTGCGGGCGGCTATGGCATGGGGTGTCGGGGCATTTCCATACGCCGGCGTGTTGACAACCGAGTGAGGATAATGAGGATTCTGGAAGTAACGATTTGTGGGCGTGTGGATGGAGAGGCGAGTGGTGGAGGGCTCAACACTCCTGGTGCGGCGCCGGGGCGTGTGCACGGGGTCTTCGTCGGTGAATCTGCCCATGTCCAGAATCTCGAGGTCCATGGTCGCGATGCTCGAGGGGGGAGAGGGGGAGGTGGAAGGGGCGGGATAGCACGAGGGCTCTGAGTCGGTAGGGGAGAGACTGCGTTCACGTTCACCGGGCGGTCTGGCTCTATCTTGCAGATTGAGGAATTGGCGGCGATAGAACTGGTGGGGAGGGCCGTCAGGGTGAAAGTCGAAGTAGAAGTCTTGGGGGAGAAAGTCGAGACTCAGAGACATGTAGACAGGCCGAGAAGGGAGCCGGGTCGATTATTCGAGGAGTTTGAGTGACTCTTGTCACTTCAACAACAAAGCAACACCGACTGAGGGTGTTGTTGTTGTGAAAAAGAGAGAGAGACCGGAGACCAGACCAGACCGAGTCACGGCGCGTGGTTGTTGGTTCCTTGGCTGTAAGTCCCTGATGGGCCCGTTGCAAGATGACGCTTTATATAATAGATGGATCCGCGTGTCGAGAGTGACCGCACGATGTGCAGGCTGCAGCAATCGACTTGAGCTGGAGACAAGGGGAGTTGTGATATAACGAAGCCGGTTCGGGAGTGCACAAGCAGACAGGGTGAGCAGCAGAGAGGCGAGAAATTGATGCAGAGCAACAGAAGACCGGCGATGGCAGTATAACTTGGTGCTTCGGACTGAGTAGAGGACGAGGTGTGAGAGTGAGAGGGTGCGGGAGACGGGGATTGTATTTGGCTGCTGTCAAACCCCAGATGCCGGCCGGGACTGGCCGCATGTAGCGCCGTATGCCGTGCGAAGAGGAGACGCGGCTCACGGTGCTGTCCTGGGCTGCGATCTGATTTGCACGGCTTCCCTCGACTTGCTTTTTTTTTTCGAAGCCCGGAGTCACAGGCAGCGTAACTGGTGGGCTAAGGTAGACGCAGAGAAGGGCGCGTCACGGCGGGTGTGAGAATGTGTGAGATGTGGTGGTGCAAGGGAAGATTCTGGGACTGAGACGCGGCAGGGCGTAAGTACACGATACTTGCTGATGGCTGCTGACTAAGTAGATAGGTAGGAGATGGACGAGGAGACTATCGCGGTAAGAGGACAGAGCTGGAGAGATTTATACAGTATGATTTGATATCAGATTGCCCAATTCTAGAGCTATCTGTCATTCGAATTATGAACTTTTAGCACAGGGGATAGAGTCGTGATTCCTTGGTTTAGCTACGGGTATGTTTTAGAATTAGACTGTACAAGTACTCTTTGAGTCGAGGATTCGACGAGCTGAATCACGTCGACCAAACAGCCACATTTGATGCCGCCGACCAATCAGACAACGCGGGGCACGCCCGGAATGCCCCCCCTTTGGGCGACTGAGGGTGTCGTGCCGAGTATCTTGTACTCGTACTTGATTTACGGAAAACGCTCCTCGCCAAATTCAACGCCAGGAAGACAAACAAGCAGTGCCTTATATCAGCTCTTTCAACATCCAACCAAGTCATTTTAGGTATGTGTGCGTCATCTACTAGGTAGTACTTGCACTCTCTATGCAATTCATACGAAATTCTAATCTATAGACTTATATTCACCGTAACCGCAGTGCTGCCTGGCAAGACCCCTTACTTTACCCTCAGAAACAAGAGACCTCAGGCATGGCATCCGATGCCTCACACCGGCTGCATCAGCCACCCCAAGAGTGCAATGAAAAGAGGGCAAGGAGACGATGGCAGCCAGACTCCACGAATTCTCCCACCTGCATCATGCAGAATGAAGTGCTCTGCTTCCTTTTCTTCTCACGTTATTACGATTCTTTACTATTTCTGGTATACTCGGTGATGCTCTGTACGCGGTTGTCTCCCTTCCACAAAGATGACACCCCCCTTTCCAGATGCAGATGCCGTGCACCCACCAAGGCAGCAGAGGGGTCGGGCGGAGGATGAACCGGTGAGAAGCGCACATGCAGCCGGGAGACGATGGCGCAGAGAGCCTTGTCTGTGCCCATGCGCCAACCCGGATGAGCAGACCGGGCAATTCGTGTACGAAGTGCAGCATTTCATACTCGTATACTCGACGGTGCATGTCAAGCTGTGTATCGGTGACCCGACATGTTGGCAGACACGTGTCTTCAATCATCGTAGCGTTTACTTTACAATTCGCAACGGTCTGCGTACCTGGTATCAGGCTTGATGAATCCACGGTGATACAATACTCAGACCTCCTGATACCTTACCTCTACTCGTCTGCTAAGCGTACAGTAATGTTTAGTACTTGGAAGGTGTTCCATACGTTGTATGTCACTTGTCATGTCCTGACAGGTCGAGACCTGAACCAGAAGTGTCATCACCCTGCAGCTTCTGGGCAATCAGGCTCAATTTCTCCGGCGGGATGACGACGTGGTTCCTGCGACTTCTACCTGCGAGGTCCTTCAAGGACCAAACGAAGAGGTCCAAAGACGCGTGCCCACCGTCCAGGTAGAAGGGGCAAGAGGGGAGAGGAAACGAAAAAGCATGGCTTCCACGCGCTGCTGCTGCCCGAACCCCCCTCCCTCTCGCATCGTTTTTCGCCTCCGTGACGCTTCCCGCGCTTCTCGCATCCAGTCATGATTGGGCTGGGCCTCTCCGGCCTGCAGGAGAGGCGAATGGGTTGCATGGCGGGATGCATGGGAGATGAAAAATGATATGATGCAGCAATCCACTGCTTGTAGTACTACTACCTAGGTAGTAGTATATATGTACATTAGTATCTGGCCGTCTGGCTTTTCTCCCCCGGAGAGAGAAAGAAAAGAAAAGAAAAGCCCACCGGATGTCCACACCGGTCACAGGCTGCATCGGACTAGGCCGCCAAAGAGGGTCTTCATGTCTGCGCCAGGGCCAGCAAAGCGCCCGTGTCAAGGCTCAAGAGAGTACATAGAAGAAACGGCCCGCATGGTGTCGCGGCTGCACACAGGACGGGCTTCAAGTTCGCTGCGAGCTGGTTAGTTGCCCGGCTCTTTGCCTTATCTGGCCTCTCACACAAGAACACACACACACACACCTGTCGGCTTCTGTGCCTATGCGCGTATACGAACTAAGGCTGCATGGTTGATTGGTACAGCCGCAGATACGAAAACCGAGGTATTGGCTGCGCGGACGGAGGAAGGGAGCGAAGGGGAGTGGCAACAACGGGCAGGCAGAGAAAGACGGGAAGACAAGGATCTCGCTTTGACAGTCAAGTGCCCTGCATTCCTCCAGCTCCTCCGATCTCCCGATCCACCACCAACGGTGACAAAAATGGCGAGCCCAACGTTCCCACCTTAAGTGACCATACCCCTTGTAACAATGTCCAGTCACATGCACGAGTTCAGACGCTGGCAGATGTTGGCAGGCCATAGATAGTATATGGTGGTATTTAGAATCTAGCAAATATCATAGAGCAGTCATGGGAGAATCAGTCTTCTCCAGACGCTTCTCTAAAATCGAGAAAAGAAAAAATCGAGAGATCAAAAACGATCCTCGTAGTCATGGCCAGTAGAGAAGCTAGCACTTGGTATTAGAGCGTCCTGCTAGTAGCGAGGATGTCTCGACAGACACAAAAGTGATCAATGGCCTCTCTTCTCGTTTTCCCAGTCTGTGTATCCTCTTTATATCCGTCTAACCGTGTCTTTCCCTTCATACGTCCCTTCAAATCGGTTTCAAGTCAGTAGAGACCAGTCGATTGGGGCATTGTTTCATAGTTCTCATAACCACTGCTAATAGCAAATAAGTGAAATCCTCGTCCGTAGCTTCTCTATCCCTCTACCGCTCAGGCTGACGTGCCCAGGCTCTGGATATATCGGCCACGTTCGACGTTGGCATACGCATAGGGCCTCGATTCGGGCGGGAACGTGCCATCAGCAGCCCACAAGTCGATGAGGTACTGCATGGGCTCCAGCTCGGTGGGCTGCAGCATATCCAGCGTCGTGGCTGTCAGGATGAAGTGGCTGAAGCAGCTGTTGAGCTGCTTCTCGAGGTTGAGGTGGTAAAAGGGCTCGACGAAGTGATCCCAGTACAGGTGGGCGTAGACGCGGAAGATCTGGCGGAAGATGAGCTGACAGGTGCTCCCGAGCTGCTTGGGGAATCCGCTTCGAGAACCAAGCCACTCCTCGCCGCCTTGCTGTTGCTGGAGGGCGTTGCTGGTGTACTCGGGATGCAAGGCAAATCCCACCGTGTCAGGGTCGGTAGGGAACAGCGCGGGATCGTCAATCTTTCCGGACATCCATCGCTGCATCAGCGTCATGTACTCATACGCTGGCAACTCCACCGGCTCGTGATTTCTGTTGAGCCAGGTGTACGAGTGGTTCCTATTACACAGCAGGCGCACGCGTGCATTAGGTTAGCCGACACGCGCTTCCAAAAAACTCACCGAGGCAGAACAGAGGTGATACAAGGGGCAGGGGGGCATGGAAGATTGGGCAACGGGCAGTGAACAACAACGCCAGTGGCCGAGGGGAGAGGGAAGACTCACTTGCCCGCAGACATCTTGGGGCATGTATTCGGGTTGCATATGCTGCTGCCATCCTCCTCCTTTTCGTGAATGACCCGGACAAAGTTCCAGAGGTTGCGGTAGTGCTCGACAACTGTATGGCAGTCCAAAGTCAGCAAAGGTCTCGACCGTCTCTCCTGCTTCTCTCTTCTCTTCTCTTCTTCTTTCTTCCCCTTGAATGTCTCTCTCTATCTCTTCTGTCGTCTCGATAGACTCACCCTGGTGTGCCACCCACTCTCCTGGATCAACCGTCTTTGGCCGAGCACTCAGTGTCATAAAGTTTCCCTTGACAATGTGTTTGGCACATGCTGTGTTGAGCCATAGCGGCAGCGGCCGAGGGATGTCGAGAACCGTAGGAACCACGTCTATTGACTGGCCATGCGACCGGGACTCGGGCAACGACACTCTGGGCACGGGACTCGACGTGGACGGATGGCGATCCGCAACCGCGGGCCTGTGGAGGGAGGAAGCCGAAGCCGAAGCTGAGACTGGGGCTGGGGCTAGAGACGAAGCTGGCGATTCAGCAGTCGGTGTGGTTGGACTCTTGACAGGAGTCCCTGCCTTGGCAGAGGTCCCCCGAATCTGGGCTTTTCTGGTGTCGCAAACAAGAGCATCGCGTTAGCAAACTTGCGGCTGGAGGGACGCTGGAGCAGGGGGACGCGTAGTAAAACAGGCCCGAGGAAGACAGCAGCTCAGAGAGAGCCACAAGGAACCCTCAGGATCGAAACATTGGCAAACGGCCAGGCTTACATTCCAGAGAAGAGGTTGGACATTGCGTGGTAGGA